GTACATAGGTGGAGGTAGACATGGGGAATGCAGCCAATGTATTAAATTTGACATCCACCCAGTGAGGGAGACATGGTGTGATGGTTTCTGGCATTTTTCATTTCTGTTATCACTCATCAACTAGAAGGGTTGATTGGTTGACTTTCGGGCATGGTGTAGATACTCTATAGGCCAGCCCACCCACCAAAGTACAGACCAATACATGGAGGAGTGAATGTGTGGTGACATGATTAATGTTGTAGCATAGCCACAATATGGTGAAGCATGCACTCAGGGGCAGCTTAGTCACATGTGAGGTTTATAGTGTTGAAAACGAAGTGACTACAGTCACTAGAGGATAGGGCCATCAGGGACAGCAGGAACCTTGTTTACAGGCATGTCATTGAATCCCATAATTTACAGCTAGCAATCAATATTTGTACCAGTCTAACATTTCCATTGCAGTGCTGTCAGAGGTCACACCCCTTTCCCACCACATCAGCATCGCCACCCACACTCTAAACACACCCTGTCTGCTGTCCTCACCTCAACTCCATCCCCCCATTATATGCAAACAAATCTTTGACAATGTGCTATTATTCCTCAGAGCTTTTGGTGGCCATCTTCTAAGTTTCCTCACTTTCAATGAAATGCTGATCAGAGAGAAGATCCCTTCAGATAATGAGTGGATGCACAGCAATGTCAGTATTGGGTACTCACATGTCATTGTTGAACATGAATGAGTAGCCATCCAGAAAGGCAGGATATGTGCTGCATACATACCCACCCAGTAACCACATGACATTGATGACCCCCAAGCACTTGAGGATGTCAGTGGGCTTCACAACATTGTGACAGAGATCAGATGTTTGAAGCCATAGACAGCCACCATCAGTCAAATTGCAGGGCATTCACAAGTGTACAGAAAAAACAACACTATTCTATGTGTGCAACATCAGACTTGGGACCCAGCAGAACCAGCACTGGTCTGATCACCTGACTCAGACTGGGACTGGCTTTCCTCTTCCTCCCTCAGCCCTGCCAGCTCTTCATCAAGCCCCTCAATGTCCCTGTCCTCCTTGTCTGTGGTGTCCTGGTCTGAAGGCACATCTGGCACCAAGAACTCAGAGTGCTCTTCAGCATAGGTTTCATAGGACTGGGAAAACTGGTAAAAATTCCTTAAAACCTCTTCTTGGGCCATTGCTAGGCTGGCCACATTGTCAGCCATGTGCTCCACTGCCTTGATCAGGCACTCCATCTGATCACTGGTGACAGGACTGGCCCTTGTCTCTTCACCAGTCACCTTACTTGCACCAGCCTTCTTTGATGGCCCCACAAGCACTTCAACCTCATTGTCCCCAGCACCCCCAATCACCTTGGTCAACAGTTTCCATGACCTCTTTTTCTTCTCACCAGTGTGTGGGGACATCATGTCAGCCTTCCTCTTGCCCTTGTCAACAGTCAGGCTGGCCCCCTGACTGGTCTCACCTTTGACCAGCCACTGGCAATGCTCCTTCAACTCATTGCACTAGTTACAGGCCAGCTGCCACTTCTTGCTGTTGGTGGAACACACACAGACCATGTTGGTCAGGTTGCAATGAAGACACCTGCAAGAGAGCACATTAACAAACCTGTTGAAACCAAATAGACAACTTAGCAAGGCTTCATCACCTCAATGTTTGACCCAGCCCTGGTCAACCCACCTACCAGGGCCTCTGCCTGCCATCTCTCCTCTGCCTTTCTGGCCTCTTTAGCCCTGCATGTGGCCTCTACCATCTGTGCCTCAGCCTCTGCATGTGCCTTTTCTTCCTCAAGCTGGGCCTGCTCTTGTTTCTCTGCCTCCAACCAGGCATCTTCTTGTGCTTTTGCCTTGCACCTCTTGCACTGGGCCAACTTACCCTGGATTGCCTGGTTATTGTCATTGATGCCCACTTGCAGCTCCTCACTCATCTCCTAGGTCAGGTTGAGCAACAGGTCTTGATCACATGGCATTCTGGACTGGCAAATAGACATGTTGAAGTGGGGAACCAAACCTGAGATGGACCAGTCTTAAGTCCACTGGTTTTCAAGGTCAGACACAAAATTTTCATTCTCAGCATTGTCCTCATTGGAGCCTCATGGGCTTGGCTCCTCCTGGTAAATCCTTTGTTCATAGTTTTGCTTGATAATATTCTTTGTAACATTACTTACCAATCAGTTTACCAACCATCACTATACCAGCACAAACTGGTCTCTGGTGCTACATTACACTTACTTTACCTTTAGTATTTAAGCTGTAGGATAATCTGTTTTAGCCTCAGTCTGAAATCAACCTAGTCTCATGTTAACCTGGTCTCCTCTGTCTTCTGCCTCTCAACCAGACTATGGCCCATTCCAGGGAATAGTGCTGCACCTTCAGTTGCTAAGTCCAATAGTCCAATCCTCTAGTATCTCATCTCCCCCCTGACCCCTGACTGGACTCCAGACCAGCTTTGGACCAGTGACAAACTGGACTTAACACAGTCCATCAAAACCTGTTGGCTAATATGCATTGGATTTGAAATAACACTACTGAATTCCTACCTCCACTTGCCAACAGTGTTCCAGAGTTCAACACTGCTAGACAGAGGATTGCATCCTGGTGCCCTCACAAGCAGCACCCAAGTGTGTACTTCATTGGCAACTTGAGAATAGAGCTGAATATCATCAAGTAAATTGTTCATTGGTAAGGCAAAGTTGTTAACAATGTAAATACATCATATCTGTTATTGTCTAACAACTAATTTGCATAATGCTGTAAAGGCATAACCTGAGCATTGCTAATGTGACAATTTTATTATTATTGTGCCCACATGACAGTGCCTACCATGGCTAATAGAGGTGTGTTTCCTCCTGACTATGACCATTACAACATTGCCTATTATTTCAGTTGCTTGTGAGGTTTAATTGTGAGAAGAATGCCTGATCTGATTTTAACAAGGTGAACAAAAAGCTCAACTTGAAATTGAATTTACATAATGAAGTGGCACAACTAAATTACTACCATAACTACAATTAAAAGTAGATGCCTGTAATGACAATGGAGGTGCATTTGCCTGGCTGTGCTGGAGACTGATCAGGTCTTTACTTTTGAGTGATTACCTCCAGACCCATTCTGTTCACCTTACTTGGGCAATTATTGGCAATAGGCCCATACCTCTGCATGCATGTATGCAAGCATGTCTGTGATATTGACTTTTTTCCCATATGGCAATGTGCCTGCATGTCAAGTTTGGGCCTACTCTGACCAATTCTGATGCTAGACAAGGTCTGGGGAGAGGTATGGAAGCAAGTCCAACACAGAAGGAAGGAACTCTGACTAGCAGAGGATTGGCAAGAATGAAGTCTGCCAAGACAGAGGTGGAGCAGAGTGAGGGTGTCAGGTTTAGCTCATGTGCTACCCCCTTGCACAATCTCAGCCCTCATATTTCAGAGGTAGAGAACAGACAGACAGTCAGAGGTAACTCCAACAGACAGAAGGTGGAGAGAGAGGGAGTAGGAACTAAGTTGATATTCATACTGAAGAACAGCAGAGTATGATACATGCTTTTATACTACTATGGAGGTACACTAATTGGAATCAGAACTGACATACAGAGACTTGTAAAATTTCAAGTAAAACTTTCTAGACAACAAATGAAGGGAAGACAGAGAACATATGATGGGTAACATAGAACAACCAAAAGAGGAAACAGTCCAGGTGCTGGACCATGCAGTGTGCAGGCTGTGGAGTACCTGACTGCATGCTGTCAAGGAAAAATCCAAGGGGAGGTCATGTGACCCCTCAGGGAATGGCCTGCATGGTCCAATGGTAGACCAGTACAAGTCCAACAACAGTCAGAGCAGAGAAGGTTTGTAAATGACAGAGGGTGGGCAGAGTTGGTGTGGAGCAAGAGAATGACCAGTGGAGGAGGGTGCAGAGTTAGTGGGGACTTAAGATAAATGCACAGTTGTGACACTGCATTTGACTGCCCTGTTTTTGTCTGCTTTTGTTTGCCTAGTGCTGACCTCATTTGTTCCCTCTAACCTCATCCCAGATGTGCACTACATGTTGCTGTACTCCATTGTCATGTCCACTGATCCCTGACCATGGATACTTTTGTTCCATGCAACTTTTTATTGTCTTTCCTTTTTTTTTGTTAGGGACTCATGGCACTGATCACCTCCAATTTAACCTTCTATGTCTCCAGTTGCACTGCAATTACTAACTCTAACCCATTTTCAATGCCACTCATTAGCCAGAGGGATTAGATCTTGAAAATATTGCAAGACCTCAAAATCCAGCCTCAATTCAGATGGGTCATTAAGGAATGTGAACTTGGCACATCTGGTGATTTCAAGATCTTTGGCCACCTTTTCACTCCACAAGCCAAGAAGTGTCTTTTCATGGCTGATATCTTGATGCTTGTGGCCAAGTGGCCCATCATAATGGATGAGGATCCAGATGAAAATGTAGAACAGGGATTCAATATCATCTGCAAATGTATGGTGTATAGTAGTAGGGTGATTGATGAATATGTGGGTGAGAGAGGCACTTTTCTGGATCAATGGGACATTAGTCTGTCCACTTTTAGTGATGGCTTCCTTGAGTTGGCAAAGGATATTCACTGAAAGGAAGGGGACTGTCCCCTTTGTGTACTATCAGCTTTGAGTTCCAAAATGTTTTGCATAGTACTTACTGTGCCACCCAAGTCATATTCCCCCTGTAACATGACCCATACAGCAAATTCCCAGTCAAGGAGAAAGCCATGCAACCCATTTGCAAAGTCCTCAATCATTGTATTGTTGATGCTACAATCTTGATGGAGGACACCCCTCTCGAGAGCCTGCTGTTGGACTGTTAAAGCAATTAGTATTGATTTTACAAGTGGAAGAGGATATGTACTTCATAAAATATCTCAGATACATGAAACAAGTTCCTTTTTTGTCTTGAACATTACCATTGGCCTTGCACACAGCTTCATAGCCAATCACACATGAGTTCTCCAAGACTTCATGCACAATCACCACTTCTCATCATGATATCGTTCAGTTCTATCAACAATGCCTGGCTCAATTTCAATGACCCAGTAGTGTTGCAACTTGGGAACTCTGTCAATGTCCTGGACCAGCTTCATCATGTTGACTTTGTGCAGGGCTGTCCTCTGCTCCAACTCCTCCACCCAATAATCCTTGATGACATAGTATTCCCCATTGTAGCGTGCAAGGTAACAAACAGTACCCCTTCCTAGAAAGCCTGTGCTTGAGAGTAATACATTGAACACCCCATAGAAGGCCTTGTTTACTTGGATCCTCCCAATTTCTGGGATGTGTTTGGGTGATGTGGGAGTTGGGAGTGAGCTTGCACTGGGGAAGATGCCTGACTCCAAGTGAGGAGAAGGCATTGCAGGAGAGGGGAAAGGGGAGAGAGGTATCGCAAGTGCTGTGCATTTGCAGCTGTGTGCAGGATGGGGGGATATCTCTATGGTTGAATTGAAGCCAAGAGTTGAGTGGGAGCTGAATGCAACAGCACATACAATGTATATGAAGACTTCTGTGTCAGTGTGGATATTGATAGAGGGTGAGATTGCACCACCAGAGTGGTTGTAAAAGTGAAGTCAAAGAAGTTCGCTATCAGTAATTGATAATCCAAGGACATAGTGCCTCCAGGGCTGGTTGACAAGGGTTAGATATGCCTTACTGTCCATCGTCTTCCCAAGGCAGGATGCTGGCTTGAAAGACTCCTTTGAGTACTTGGTGATGACTTTGGGACTTAAGCACATAATCTTGTTGAGGGATACTGGGGTGTTATCGACAAGGATGAGGTCAGGCTATTGGGAATAACCTGTAGAACCTCACAAGCTGGTTCTGCTCTAGTCCACCATCCATTGATGCTGGGGTTTGCTGGATAGACTGGGCATCATGGATTTGGCAGTGGTTCCAATAGCATTGAGAAACAGAGCAACTTGCTTTTCAAAGCAGAGCTTTTCCGATTCTACTGGCAGCTCTGAGGCAAGTGGCCTGGGTTGCTTGGGAGGTGAATCAGAGCCTGGGGGTGGATGAAGCTCCCAGTTCCAGCACTTTCTATCATCATCATATAGGCTGACCAGGCTGTCCTCTGACAAGCCACCCTGGTTGAAGGAGGTGGAATAGCTATGGACACATGTGGGAATTGTTTTCAGAGGGACAATCAGGGACCTGGGAGCTATGGAGGTAAATGTATCTCTGAAGGACTTGAAGATAATATTTGTAACATAACCAAGGCTCTGAGGAGAGCTAACTTGTATCCATAGTTCACAGATGATGGCGCCCTCAAGTTCTGAAGCAGTGAACTTGTCCATAACATGAATCATGCAGCCATGTTTGGGCAGGGGGAGAGAACCAATCAGCTTGTAGGTACCATCTATTGTTCAATATCTGTTTTTGTTCGAGTCTTTGGACATTTCTGAGGGTTGTTGACAAGTAGGGTCACATATTTGAAAATGGTGCCACCACTCAAAATACTGATGCATTTCAACATTAACATGTAATAAGCTCTGGTATATGGTAAGGTAACATCTAGATGGTCAGGCAGGCCAATTCCATGTTACATGATTATCACTTCAGTGCAAATCAGGACATTGTTCAGATCACTACAGAGTGTATTTCTCATATACTACCCAATCACATCCCATTCAGTGAACATAGTCACTCATGTCCATTTATAACCTCAATCACACACACCTTCATGCTGGATCGAGCATTGCCTGGGTGGCAAAGGACTGCCCCATAAGCCTCATGATGGTGGGTTCTCTTCCTGAAAAAGTCCCTCTAGCAGTGCTGAGGTCAAAGCAGAGACAACTGGTGTCTTAGCTGAGATGTATGGAATATTGGAGTCATCCACTCACACAGTAAGTTCTTTTTTTCCTTCCTAATAACCACTCATTGATAGGTTTTCAATCTGCAGCATGAATCAAAGAGTCAGCTGAATCATGAGGCACTTCTCCTTCTTGACATAGTGTGTGCACAATGCAAAGTCTTTTGTGCAGAACAAGCTCTGGCCACATGCATTGCCCACAAATACGAATTGATGGCCAAGTTGTACAAGTACAAGGCAGGCAGCAGCAAGGCAAGAGTCCATGAAAAAGATATGGAGGTTGGCTCATTATGTGTAGCAATGAAAAAATGCAGACTGGGGGAGCCTATTTTCGATGTTAGCGTTTTGGCTGGTGAGCTGCAGCCATCTCTCGAGTCTGATGCTATGCTATGCTTGCTCTTTTCTTTTGGGCCACTATTTTACTTATACCGAATCTTGATAGGCACAGTTATTGAGCATGCTGGTAGTCAAATACTCACCATTCATCTAGACTAGTACTATCCATTACTTTCCTGTACTTATTGAAAAATGCTGTATGTTATGTCTGTGTATTGTTGCCTTCATGCATAGGAACAAAGTTAGATCTACCAAGTTCCCTACTACAGTGGGAATCTAGGTTGCTGTATTAGCTAGGTGTGTCTGTTCCCTTGTATGCTAGGTAGCTATTGGTCTTTGGATTGCTGGTATCACTGGTGTGGCTTACTCAGGTGCTATGAGTTGCTTGGATGCTGGCCACTACTTTGGGCAAGTCTGGTGTAGTCTACTCTGGCACTATGAGTTGCTAGGATGCTTGACATTGCTTCAGACTAATATGGAATTGTGCAAATACTATGGGCAGCTATGAGTTACTAACACATTTTTGTGTTTTGCTGATGCTGTAACACATTTGATCCATCACATACATTGCATCTTCTAACCTAGCCAGGCAGCCTAACTTCAGTAATGTAAATGATGCTCACTTGCCAGGGCCCACTAGTACATACCACTATGAGTACTACTCCAATACCTAGCTAGCAATTGAATGTAGTTATTAACACTGCTAATGAATGCCAAGCAGAGTAAGATTCAGTATGAGTGACCCTTGTGTGACTGACATGACATTTTTGTGACTGCCAGCTGCACTGTGAGGGATAGTATAAACCCTATTGACAACTTTTGTTCTGATATAAGGCTGATTAGAACAATTAGAAAAACTGCTGTTTTCCTGATGTGGGATTCAATGGTCTGACCCAAATGGTCACCAATTTTCTCATGTTGCTTCACACCACAATGTACCAAGATTTGAAAGGCATGACAACAAGTGTACCACTGCCTATCTATCAGTGTTCTGCCAGTCAATGAACACAGGTCATGATCAGTGACTGTGAATCATGGGAAAGTCAGTGAATGTCAGTAAGGTATCCTCACTCATGACAACTGTCCATCATCATTCAATCCTTAGACACTTGGAGATAGTAATCATTGGTATGTCATACTGTATTTGAACCTTACAAGCCAAAGCAAATGGTAAAACAATCCCATAACAAGGTAAATCGAAATAGAGTGATAACTCGTAAATGGAAACTGACAAGTCATAAATGCCAGAGCGAGTGTTCATCAAACTGCGGTCGCACCGCTTGCCGTTCTATTGTGATCTGGGAGAGTGCCCGTGTGTCTCTGTGGTGCTACGATCCTGAAAAACAGCGCCATTCAAATTGCAGACACTTAACATACAACTACAAAACTTACGACTTGTTGACGATACTTTCCGAGCCGGTGTAGATAAGAAGGTCATAGACCAACCCTCCAACTTGCATACCAAGAATGGGGGCGAGAATGGGGCACCAGAGCCAGTACTGGTTCCGGAATGTGAACACTACAGACAAAGTCAGTGCCTCCCCGATAGGAACCATTCCACAAATCACGAACCATCTTTTCCATAACCGACCATAGCAGTCAAGAGCCGAGGACCAAAGTCACGCGCCGGGTTGATGGCGAAGCCAGTCTCCATACCCAACGCGAGACCGATACCAAGAATAGCAGTAAAGACTGTGAGTGTGACGAGCCAGACAGAGACTGGGCCATTCCTCTTGTCCGTGGCAGCCAAAATAGCGATTATAAGCATAGCAGATGCCAAAAACTGCCAACGATGTTACAGCGCAGCCATTCCAAATCCGGGCAATTTGTCCCTACCTCTGAGAAAAAGCAGGACACCGAAGTCATGTAGTCAGCCTATTACACTTGCATCAGTTTAGTTTCTGGGGGAATTCGGAGCAGTACGTACCGCGTAGGTTGCGAAAAGGTCGCCCGTCCCCGAGATGGTGCGAACATCAGACCCCCCCTCGTAAGCATTAATAGCATGGTAGTAGTTGGCGTAGATGATTCCACCGCCACAAAGGGCACCAAGCAGTTGGGCAAGGATATAATAGGGAACTTTTCTCCATGGGAAGTCACGGAGGGAGGCAAGGGCGAGGGTTACCTGGCCAGAGGTCAACTGAAGGCAACATGAACAGAGTGTATAAAAACATACCGCTGGGTTAAGGTGACCCCCGGATACTCCACCAGAAACCAAAACACCCAAAGCTACACCTACGCAGAGTTAGTGCAGCTGAAAACATGGCGCGAATTCCCCACTTACCGACAGCCCAACCGAAGTTAAGAGAAAGGTACTCCTTACAAATCAGTTCTGTCAGGGCATGCTGGGAGTTCTGAAGGGAATTCACTCACCCCCTTAGCGGTGGCAGAAACTGCTGTATTTGACGACAGGACGACTTGGCAATTACCACCGCAGCCAAAGATAATAAGGATCATAGTACCAAGGAACTCTGCAGCGGGCTCCCGTATATATTCCCTGAGAATAAAGTGGTCTCATACATGAGAGGAAGATGATGGGGGCGGCGCAAACCTGATCCTTGACCATCCGTTCGGGTATTTAGGGCTGTCGGTCAAACCTGCAGGAATCACCCCAATGACGGCCGTCTCGTTTATTGGTCGAATGCTCGTCGTCTCGGAGTGGCGCTGGGAGAGCTTCTGAGACATGCTGACAAGGAGCGCCGGACCGGAAGTGGGCTCTGCAGTTGAAGGACTGAAGCGACACCTTTGATTGTGGCTTTTTTATGTGGAGCCGGGAATCATGGAACTTGACGGTGGAGCTGGTAATAACTTGTGGCAGTGGAAACTTTATGAAACAGACGCTGGGACGTATGTGTGCCGTCAATTTTGAATTCGGAATGACCTTGAGTCCGCTGGTCGAAGAGTCCTAAAATGGCTGCTCGCGCCCGATTAGTCCGGGCCCCGGAATACGACGAATCAGTGCAGGCTCAGTAGTAACTTACAGACGGGTGTGAGAAACGGCTTTTTGATAATTGTATGTTGGACAAGTATGAAGGGGAAAGTAACTGGCCATACAGATTGTCTGATGGCAGTCCATGAGAATGGCTCTCGCTGTTAGCAAAACGATCCATTCAGACCACATACCGACAACATGTCGAGTTATGACATTGAGCCTAATGGAAAACAAGCACTTCCGACCTGACGCACGGAATTAAATCTAGAATAGCAAGCTTCTTCCCCCCAAGAACGGCGAACGACATCCTCGACGGAGAAATGGGTGATTCGGAAAGGTGGAAAGCAGATCTGTAATGAATGTAATCCAGTTCGGTACCGACAGTTGCCAAGGAATTGATCGCATGTAGACATGATGCATGATCATATTGCCGCAAGGTGTAAACGGACCCCCGGCCTACAGTGGCACATGCGACAAGTAGGCACGGTATCATTATCAGTGGAAACACGAAAGGGCGTTTGAAGGGATCCGAAGTACTGATATTATCATTCTCGACGTCTCCAGTAGCTTTGCCTGAAACATCGAAGGTCGCGCCCGTAAGGTGATGCAACATTGGGAAACCACACCTCAAAGGGAAGCACAAGACATGTGGCATACATTCGCACCAAATAACAGACCGCCAAGCGAAGTAGGGCTTACTGTAATTGTCAGAGTGCATGGTGACGTCTTTTAAACTGTAAAGGGATGACTGGGAACTCGACACTGTTCGATATGTGCCCGGACGTACTTTTTACCGACTTGCAATGTCCCATTCCAAGCGTCGAACCACCGTTCAACAACCGATGACTTACGTGGTTCGCAGGGCAACTTCTGGAGGCTTCTGCGCCCATATTTTGGTATCGGCCCACGATAAGGCGAACACGAAGAACCGTGGTTGAGGTAGAGGCGGCCCGATTGCAGTACAACGTGAAGCCTCGGATGCGAAGAGAGTTGGGTATTGCAAGAGCTCTCATTCCAGATCATTTCGCGGCATGCAACACGTTTGATACGCGCCTAATATGTAACGTCATGAAGTACGAGTCAAGTCCAGCAGCATCAGCAAGCTACTGGGAATGGATTGTGCAGATGGCAGTAAACGTAAGACATGGCGGAAGGCTTCGGTGAGTGAAGTCACCGTCATAGGTTCGCAAAACCAAGGATCCGAAGTAATTACTTGACCTAGAACTGTACACTCAGTTTCAGACGTAGGGTGCGACGACCTCGGCGGTGTACATGCACCAGTACGACACTATGGCCCTAGCTGAAAAAAGAGTCGGCATGACTGTCTTGACGGAATGTCTCGCAGCTGTGCTCTGCGTTTCCATACCTTGGAGAATGAGTACGAAGCCGGCTGCACTTGAAGATGTGCTCTCCCAAGGGCCAAGCACGGTATTCATCATGATTTGGCATGGATATGTACCATGGTAGCCACTTCATGCACGGAGGCATTTGGAACTTGGGGAACAAACAGAAGGTGATCTTCCTACCTTGCTTTTTTTCTGTGCTAATACACACATACACCGACGTACACCACCTTCCCTCCGACATACATGCCCCATTGGCTCCGTACCCTCTCGCCTTCTACAGGCTGATCCGCCGCTGAAAATCCCCGAAACAATTTCATGACACACTTTACCATGCAGGTATCGACACACTATTCTCCATCGAGGGCGTCACATCAATGGCACCTATAGCTGCTAGATAGTATATCTGACAGCCCAGGTGCCTGTTGGATGCTCCACGATCGGATAGGTGGTACGTTGCCGGGTTGGACTTTCAAGTATCGGAAACGAGTTGACAAGGGAACCTACGAACCACTCTTACCCCCCCTCGTCCTAACCATTCCTAGTTTCCATGACGAAGACGTGGCACTCGTTCTTGCATGGTCCTTTACTGAAGGATGTGCCGTCTAGTTTTTCGGTCCCGTTAAGTTGTGGGCAGGTGCTGGATCCTTGTCTGTTATAATGCTGGACATGCGTACCTCTATCCGCACCATTCCACGAAGCTCACATCGGAGAATACTAGCGACAGCTGCTGCCAAGTTGCCGGTCGTGAGACTAATGATGTGTCCTCGATCATTTCAACATCCGCCATCCGTCAGTCACCTGGACATTCGGAGGGGGTCGTATTGCATTTGCGGATCCGTACAACTTTGGTTGACCTTACAACCCAGAACTAATCGTAGAACAATGCCCTAACAAGGAAGCGAACAAGACAACCTACAAAGAGAGATAACTCGTAAATGGAATGATAAGTCGTAAAGCTCATAGCAACATCCAGTCAGCGTTATTCAAACTGCGGTTGCACCGCTTGCCGTCCTATCTGGAAAAGTGTCAGTGTGGCTCTGTGGTGCCACGATCCTGAGAAACAGCGTCACCCAGATTTCAGACACTTTACATACGGCTACAAAACTTACGGCTTGTTGACGATACTTTCCGAGCCGGTGTAGACAAGAAGGTCGTACACCAACCCTCCAACTTGCATACCAAGAATGGGGCCGAGAATAGGGCACCAGAGCCAGTACTGGTTCCTGAACGTGAACACTACAGAGAAAATCAGTGCCTCTCCGATAAAAACCATTCCACAAATCACGAACCATCTTTTCCATAACCGACCATCGCAGTCAAGAGCCGAGGACCAAAGTCACGCGCCGGGTTGATGGCGAAGCCAGTCTCCATACCAAGCGCGAGACCGATACCTAGGACGGCCGTAAAGACTGTGAGCGGGACGACCCAGACACCAATAGGGCCATTCCTCTTGTCCGTGGCAGCCAAAATAGCGATTATAAGCATGGAAGATGCCAAAAACTGTTAACGATCATCATGGCGCAGCCATTCAAACGCAGGCGACTGTTCTTTACCTCTGAGAAAAAGGAGGACGCTGAGGTCATGTAGTCAGCCTAGTATACTTGCATGAGTTTAAATTTCTAGGAGTTCGGAGCGACACATACTGCATAAGTTCCGAAAAGGCCGCCCGTCCCTGAGATGGTGCGAACATCTGGCCCACCCTCGTAAGCATTAATAGCATGGTAGTAGTTCGCGTAGATGATTCCACCGCCGCAAAGGGCACCAAGCAGTTGAGCAAGGATGTAATAGGGAACTTTTCCCCATGGGAAGTCGCGGAGGGAGGCGAGGGCGAGGGTTACCTGGCCAGAGGTCAACTGAAGGCAACATGAACAGAGTGTAAAAACATACCGCAGGGTTAATGTGACCCCCAGATACTCCACCAGAAACCAAAACGCCCAAGGCAAGACCTTTACGTGGAGTTAGTGTGGCCGACCACAGGATATGAAGTCTCCCTTACCAACAGCCCAACCAAAGTTGAGCGAAAGGAACTCCTGTATATCATCTCTGTCAAATCAAGTTGTGAGTTTATGAAGAGAAATCACTCACCCCCTTGGCGCTGGCAGTAACCGCCGTGCTTGAAGACAGGACGACTTGACAATTACCACCGCAACCAAAGATAACAAGGATCATAGTACCAAGGAATTCTGCAGCAGGTTCCCGGATATATTCCCTGAGAGTAAAATGGTCTCATGCACGAGAGGACGTCGGGGAGGCACAAACCTGATCTTTGACCATGCGTTCGGGTATTTTGGGCTGTCGGTCAAACCTGCGGAAACCACCCCCATGGTGGCAGTCTCATTTGTTGCCCGAATGTACGTGCTCGACGTATCGGAGCGAGTTTGGGAGGGCTTCTGAGACATACTAACGAGAACCGCCGATGGAAGTGGGCTCTGCAATCTAAGCACTTGGGAGAGGCGTTGAGTTGTGGCCTTTTTATATGTGATCAAGAATCACAAAACTTGACTATGGACATACATGCATACAGATATGGTGAGGGGGTTGGTGACGACCGGAGCCGATAAGGTCCAGAATTTTGCAATATCGATTTTTCCGCGCAAGGTTCGGTTCGTGAACTCCAGACACGAGGGATCCCATTGGCAACCGTAGGACGCTTACGAGATTTCGTGAGCAGCTGACTGAATCTCGAAGCGCGTAGCAGCTTGTAAACCAAAGTGTTCGCAAACTGAATGGTCGGACTCCGAATCAAACCTAACTTGCTGGCTGGTTCTATCTCCATGAAGATGTAATTATTACTGTTAGCAAAGTGGTTCATTTAAGTAAACTACGTACCGACAAGTCGAATTATGACGTTGATCAAGATGAGAGTCTGTTCAAGGCGTGGCAGACGAACGCCGTACCCTGAGCAGGTACGAGTTGACACAGACCCGTCTTACTCATTTAAGACGAGTATCTCCGACGTGAAACACGCAAATAAAAGCAGAATGACATGCTTCTTTCCCCAAGAACGGGGAACAGACGTGGGACCTCGACGGAGGCAAGGTTGATCCGGCAAGGTTGAGAGCTGACTCGCAAAGTCAATGCAGTTCATTACCGACAGCAACCAAGTGATCGATCATGTGTAGACATGATGCATGATGATTGTGGCGGCAAGGTGTAAACGAACTGCCGACCTACAGTGGCATACAAAAAGCATGCATGGTGTCATGACATTGTGGAACATGAAATGGCGTTTGAAGGGATCCGTAGTACCGATATTCATCATTCTCCACGTCTCGCATAACGTTGCCTCGAACGTTGAAGATTGTGCCTGTAAGTTGATGCAATGTGGGGAAACCGCACTTCACAGGGAAACACAAGACACGCGGCATGAATTCGCAGCGAACTATAGAATGCCAAGCAGAGTGGGTTTACTGAAACCGTCAGTGCGCAAAGTGCATGGCGACGTCTTTTAAACTACAAAGGGATGACAGGGAACCCGACACTGTTAGATGCGCCCGGACATACCTTCTCCCGATCCATTCCGAACTTGAGAACCGCCTCTCAACAGCCGATTGAATGATACCGTTCGCAAGCTAGCTTCTTCAGACTTCTGCGCGCACATTTTGCCATCGGTACACGATAAGAGAACACGAAGAACCGTGGTTAGGGTGGAGGCGACGCAACCGCAGTACAACGCGAGGGATTCAAACACAAAAAAGAATAGAATAACTGGGGCACAATTGAGCTTCCTATCCGGATACCATGCAATCCGCTTGACACGGATCTCCAGCGGACATGGGTTGTGCAGATCTGGCAGCGAGACTTCGTACACGTACATGCCCAAGAGTTTGGAGAGTCAATTCGCTATCACAGCCACGATTATATAATCATTAATGATTGCCCGCAAGACGATAAGCTACGTAATAATAACTGACTTGACATTTCACCTTCTCCGCGGCGCAGAGTGGCTGAGGAACAAAATGCTTTGACGGGGTGCTTCGCAGTGGTATTCTTCGTTTCTGTACCTTGGAACGTGGGTGCGGGGCTGGCTGCATTCAAAGATGCGCTCTCTCACCGCAGGGTATTCAGCGTGGATATGCATGATAGTAGCCACTTCGTATGTACAGGGATCCAGCTGGACTTCGGCACTTTTCCTACCCGTTTCGTTTCAGTGCTAACTGGCATACATACCAGCTGTACACCAGCTTCCTTTCGACACGCACGCCCCATTGGATCCGTACCGTCTCTCGCCTTCTATAGGGTCTCAATTGCTCATCGCTCAGTCAAGCCAAGACGAAGATCCGCCGACGAAAACTCCGAAATAACTTCTTCATGGCACACTTTACCATGCCGACATTGACACCCTATTCTCCGCAGCCTCTCGACGCATTCTTGGACGCACGCGTGCATGCACCGTGGCCTTACCCTCCTGTCAAGCTTCTTTTCTCCACACCATCGTGCAGTAAACCGCTATTGCACGACGGTTTTCCCCTCCTCGTCTGGGTCGACATATCATGTTCTGACTATTCGCGAGGCTGTGCCTGCTGACACAATGCAGGTCTGGGAGTCTTTCCTGGAAGGTTCCGTTACGCAGTTGCAATGGTGGGATCTGAAAGCACAAAGGACGGACGCGTGAGTGGTGCTCGCAGAGATATTGGACCTGATCGTTTGCTCACCACAGTTAGGACTGGCAGTCAGAACACGACTGCTCGCCGCGAGGCAGAGTTCGCTTTAATTGCAGGGAGGGGGTTCGCGCTAACTACAGTATAGCGCGCAAGTCAAGACTGTAACTCGAATGACATGTCGCGTGTGACTCTGGCCGACCAGCTGGCAAGACCTGGTAGGAGGCTTGCATGGAATGCTGGGCGCTGTTCTCGGCATGTGTAATGGTTATTTCCTTGGTTTTCGTCGTAGTTTACTTGGCAGGCTAACCTTCGATTTCCCTAGTTGTCGTGCCTTCCCGTGTCGGTCTCCTCGGTGTCTTTCCTTGCACTGCTGCATGACCTGATGTTCAGTTCGCTTCGGTCACATCTTTCATCACTTGCTAGAGCTCTTAGTATGGCCCTGACAGCTTCCCAGTCTGCAGAATTGGCACCGGCCGCTTTGGAAGAACTTGTGCGTGTTGATGTGGCTGTAAGAGACGAAAACCGGTGAAGGGAAGGAGATACCGTTAGGAGGGTACGTTAATGCCGATGGCATGCGGGAGTCGGAGTGTCGCGCGCTAGCGGTCGCACTTGTGCTTGTTGAATGAACAATTCTAATGAAAAAGATGCAGTCGGCGGCATTGACACCAGCGGATAATGGCCCGAGATCCTTTTGGGTTATGAGGTTGGATATTTGACTGCGAGTCGCCCATGTTCGACAGGACTCACACCACACTCGTCCCCACCCTTCTTGAATACACCCGCTGTCAAAGTGGCAGTCCGATGTACCATCCGACAAGATGTCAGAAAAGATCTCGTGGCCGACAAAGAGCTAATAGGGTCAACATCTGGGAGATAGAACTAACGGACTGGAACTCCTCGAATCTTACGTGTGTTCACCATTATGGTCTCCAACGGCATTTGGACTCACCCCGCAAATTTCTGCCGGGTAGACTATGTTCATCCCAATGCTGGCTTCGCATCTTGTGCCTTCTTCGTCCTCACGCGCTTCGCCTCTGTTGGGGGGGGGTACGATTCAAATTGCGATGTCGCTACAAAGCAGAGGTTCAAACAAGTGTTCAGCCATGTGAAGTTCGCGACGAGACCATGTCGTCCAACGAACTGAGTTGGTGCATTGCCGAGTAGACGCTCTCATCTTCGGTGCCCTCTGTTCGTCTGCTGAGATCTTGGCTGCGCTGCTACTCTATCGTACCAATCCTGTAGGAATGGTTAGGGAACGTCAAGTCGTTGCAAATTTTATACCAAAGGGTCTGCTACTTCCATAGCTACCATCTCGTGACATCGAGCTCTGCCTCCCCAAACAAACTCGTCTTTGTCACCTTGAAGTCGTCCACTCCGACTTCCCCATCGACCTCTTGTTGGTAATACTCCGGGAATTCTGTCCGTAAGAACCTAAGTATATGTTTGTTAATCTGCTCGAACTCGAGAAGAAACCCGTCATGTCCATCAGGGGATGGAATGACCACGAGTCTTGCTTCCGGTATATGAGTGGCCAGTTCTTTCTGCTCGCTAGGCGTGAACAGACCGTCCGTTTCTATGCTGATGACCAACGCGCGTCGGGGAAGGGTCGCGAGTACAGCTGCAAGCGCGGTCGCTTGCGCTGTACTGCTAGAATTTTCGGGGAATACCGTGCGCCCCCGAGCGACATCGTGCGTGTCCAGCTTACGAGTGATATGGATATAGCAGTTGGCGTCGAACCGGGCAACGAACTTTGCGCCTTGGTAACGGAGGTATGACTGTGCAGAGAAGATGGGAGGAGTGGAGGATGCCGATTGTCGTAACTCGGGCGTTTTGGATTGGAAATTTGGGCTGGATAATTTCTGACAGCCTTCATTGTGCGCAGCAAGGGCGGCGTCCGCAGCACAGGGTAATGACGGTGGGGCGATTGCGCTGGGATTGGAGACGGGGGGAACTTGTGGGCGTCGACCGAATCGCTGTTCGAAGGAGTCGCGGGAACGGTATGTAAGCAGTGCAGCCATACGTGCTGCAGCGAGCCCCGAAGATGGCTGGGCGTCGTAGTAACCGTCTTTGTACATGGGATCGCTGTATATACTCTGTCGTTGGGTTTCGCCCCAGCTGATGCACCAGGCAGAATGACGGGCGGATGTAGCGATAGGGATGATATGACGGACATAGCCTTGGGGAGTGCAAAGCGGCCACTCGAGGACTGCCATGCCTCCCATCGACCCCCCGATCGCGACCGCTACGCCAGAAGCACCCAGGTGGTCCAGTACTAGCTTGTGTAGTCTAGGTAACCAGTTAGCGTTCCGGGGTTTTCCAGCAGAAGAGAACTTACCGAACGTCGTCTCGGATAGTTGTCTGCGGAAACTCGGGACCAAACGGTTTCTGTGTATCTGGATTTACGGTTACGGGCGATGCGGTGCCGTATGGTGAGCCCAAGACGTTAGCACAGAAGACAAAGAAACGTTGAGGGTCGAACGCTTTGCCTCGGCCCATGAGGGGTCCCCACCTGCCTATACTGAACAGGTCGATCGTTTTGAAATGTAGAAGACACTCACCAATCTTCCACGTCGGCGCTGCCGGTGAACGCGTGACAGACTATCATAACGTTATCTCGCGTTGCGTTGAGTTGACCCCAGGTTTTGTATGCAACGGGGACCTGCTTCAATTCCGTTCCGGATTCCAACGTGAACGAAGGTACGATATAAATATTTTGGCCGGCCAGTGGCTCGGTGGTCGACATGGCTGTGAATCTAGTGAAGGATCAAAACTCTCGAGATTAGTACTTTGTTACCTCAAACTTCTCTCGTTCAAGCCTGGAAACCCGAAGCAACTGATGGCGTGAAATGGCGCGAACGTTTCCAATTGTGACCAGTAACGGGAAGACCCGGCCCGTCCGTAATTCCCGGATATTGTAATTACAGCTCAAGTCACGTATGTAATCGCCGAGTTCCCGAATTCAATAGGTACAAACAAAGTCGTAGTTGTTATTTGGGTCACGTGTAGCGCGTCGCCCACCTTGAAGACCGCGACACCTTGGGCCCTTGGTGGAGGGATCCCGAGCACACATATTTTCGATAACTGACCTGTCGAACTAGTACTAGCACGAATTTCCATGGCTGTTAACAAGAGCTCACCAAGTCGGCGCAATTCAATCTCGGTGTCTGGCCACAACAGGGCTCATCCCGGTCACAGACGACGCGCTCATTCCATCGCCCCAGGCGACCATCTCAGTCCTACGGCCAGAGCACGCCGTTCATTGGTGTGTTTCTCGTGTCATTGATACTCGCCATTCACCGATTTATATACACTTGTCTGTCAGGCTCCACGGAAGAGTATCCTCAAAGTGAATGCCACGGACGATGGAGAGGACAGAACGCAGGCAATGGACATGACAGGCGTCGTTCGTTTTGAGACAGATGGCTCGCGAAAGTCCCTTGGAAGGCGTGTCAGCTTCGCCAACCACGCCCACGTCCGTTTGTTCGAAGTGCCGGAGCAAAACACCAACAGCACCGCGTCTCCTCAGTCTTCCCCTGCGGCCGAGATAGGCAGTCAGTGGAGGGGCGAACGACGAAAATGCATATCCTGGCGCTTCAAGTTTTCGTCGCAACAGTTCGATTCGGAGGTCAGCAATTTTTAGCGAGGGCGGCGGTGAGGAGTCGATGGAGATGGACTCGGACGACACGGGTTATTCTCCAGGCGCATTTTTCAGGGCGTCGAACGCGCAAGAAGGTGTTAATGACATGCCTGACTTTGGATTTGAAGACGAAGGAGACTATGACGACGCTGCTGACATGGACGTGACGGAGGCTATATCCCACAATATCGTACGCAAACGCTCCCTCTCGCTAGGTGGACCTCGACAACCTCTTGGGAACCTCACTGTTCCCCGAGCTTCACTCGATAATCAAAGCGGAGACGGGGAGGGTCAAGAGAAGGACCAGTCCTTTGTGGAGGAAGACTCGGGCCAGTCGCACTCCCTTGGCTCTGAAGGCGATACTTCCCAACCCATGGAGTTTACAGTTCCACTCGTCCGCCCAGCAAAGCCACCAAGTGAAGCGTGGCTGGCTCTTCGTGCTGTTACCCACTCGGGCAATACACCCTTTATCCCATCATCAGACGACGAGGAGAACGGAGGAAATGGGGGGGTACAAGAAATGGATTTGAATGACGCTGTCTCGAGGTTGCAGGCTGCCCGTGCTTCTTTAGGCCTCGGAAACTCAAACGAAGAAGACGTTCAGCCAGACAGTTTTACCAGCACGGAGGACAGCTTTGCGGAGGAGAACAGTAGAAATGATGACGACGAAGGGAATCAAACCGTCAACGTTACTCAGCTTATACGGCGAATAAGCCTTGTCCCAAGCACTGGCGATTCAACCATGGACGTTACTTCTGTATACGGTGAGCAACGACAAGAAGGCTCTCCTGAGGTGCCATCAACAACACCGGCTACCGAATCGTTAAAAGTTCCGCAACAGACCAACCCGGTTACAGGGAAACCGTCATTCCCGACTCCTGCAGGTAGTGAAGGCGAACTGGTAGGTATATATTTAATTGCATGCAATCTGCCTGACCCGCGAAGCCTGCAATAGCGGAACCCCAGAATATTACTGTTGCACCGCAAAAATTCAGCTTTATTCCACGCCCACGAACTCCTGCGACAACCGCACGACCACCGTCTCCTTCCAAAGCCAACTCACTTCCGCCTTCACCTAAGAAATTCAGTGCGAATTTCGCTCCTCCTGTTTCCCGCCCGGTTCCCGAAAAGCGCTCCGCTGCTGCTGCCCATATTCCTGACGGTCGGTCGAGCCCAGCCAAGAAACCCTCGGGTCCCGAGAAGTTGACCGCAGGTTTGACTCGTCATGAATTGCCGCGGCCTCCGAACGCTCCTTCTAGACTATCACCCACCAAGATAGCACCGCCCCAAGCTGGGCAGGGGACACAATCCGAGGCTGGTCCAAGCAAACGTGCACCACTTGGTCTACGAAGGCCCTCAGGATACCTTGCCCAGCGGAAAAGTTTCGGCGAAGTGGTCACTCCTCTTTCCACTGGTGACGCTAGTCAGTCAAGTCGACCATCCTCCCCAGGTAAACAGGCCATGGGAGCCAGGAGGAAGAGCATCGCCGTAACTAGAGATGCAGAAGGAGTACTCCCCCGATTCAACGTTTCTGCAGAGAAAGACAGAGCGGGAAAGGACCGTGTCATGGACGATACAGCGGAGTCAGCTGAGCAGACGGAAACACAGCTCTCGGAAGCTGCACTTCCCCCCCAGCTGCATGAAGTGTCGATGGTCATTGAATCCTCTCATGATGACCAATTACCTGAGCCAAATCCGCTTCCGCCTTCTCAGCAGAACCCTGTCGAAGACTCTATGCTCGATGTAGCCCAGGATGGGGGTGACGGTAGCGATGACGAAGGCCCGAACAATTCGCTGCCAATTGGTGAGCCAACAACTGAAGCAACCGAGCAATGGCGAGAGGACGTCCAACAAGCGAGCAGTGAAGAGGAAGAAGGTCCGCCTATTTCGATTCAACAATTCTTTGAGATGACGGGCATTCGATTTATGGATGAGATTACTGCACCTCGCCGACAAAGTATCCATCCCTCTACCCTTCGTCCTTCACGGCGAGCATCAGTCGATGGACAAATACCTCTAGCAGAATATATGGTGGCCATGGCAGTGGACGTGCCACAACTCGAGCTCTATACCCATGTAAGCAAGGATCTCCAAGCGTGGATCGAACGCATCCAATCTATATACCGAGAGGCTGAGGAAGAAGCGCTCGAGATGACGCCGCAGCTTTTCCAAGAGTTCATCTCCGCGGACGAGACTGGACAGGCGGAGCTGATCCACCAGTTAAAGTTGATTAAGGTCCATAACCACGAACAGGCGAAGTCAGAGTGGTACGATTGGAAATTGCAGTGGGTCGAACAGTTGGATCAGAAGGCTAGCAAGGGCTTTGAGCATTTGGAGAAGGCATGGTTTATGTCAGGCTGTATGCGCGTAATCACTGAACCACACCACTACCAAGGATGCTAAATTTCTCGAGGGAGTTATTCATGAGGCCCAAAGTATCCTTCCTGGCTTGCAGCAGGAACACGATCAACTCGTGGAAGAGCTGGAGAAGGAGACAACAGAAATTGTAGAGTTAGAAGCCTGCGATCAAGATTATCTGAAGGAACTCAAGGCGAGCATATCTGAACAGGGGTAAGTGTGCCATTCATGCTCGTAGTCTATTGCACAGTGGCATTGACATCTCGTAGTACGGAACTTGACAATTACCGTCGGGAAGTCGAGGAAGCCAAGGCGAAGCTTAGTCGTATCGAAGAAAAGCTCAAGGAGGTCCAAACGGAGAAGGCTGAAGTTTCCGCATCGATTGAGAAGACTGAGCGACTCATCGATGTACAGAAGAACAGTACTCATGTAGAAGTTTTCCGACTTAAGGGTGAATCCCGCTGAACATATTCGCGAGTGTCACTAGTTAACTGATCGATCGACAGGTGAACTGGAGACGCTGCAACGGTTGCACATGGTGGAGATAACCAAAGTTGAAGATGATCTCTTCAAATTTGCTTATGCATCCACTTACGAAGTGTCTACGACCTGTGTTCGATGTCGTCCTGTGGTTGGAACTGTCCAAATTCAGAAGTTCCCGGATGCCAAGAGGACGGAAGTTTTCCCAGTGTTCTGTAGTGTCGTCTTGCGAATGGCGAAAGAACTCGTCAATCGACCAGAGGTGAGCAATAGCCTTCGCAAGGTACGCATGTCTCGCGCATTTGGTTGGACTTCGAATCACCTCATCTACCCCCCCCCCCAGATTGTCGAGTTCGTCGGAACGTATTGGTCCTGTTGTTCTCGACTGCAATTACAATTTAGATTGGTTGCCATCAAGTTCTATATCACTTTTAAAGAGAACCCCTCAGGTTTTTCTGTCGACGTTTCGATCTTATACCCTAGTGTCAAAGCCAAGGCGATAGTGTCTTTTATATTCGATGTTGCAACCTTTTCTACGTGGCCGTGCCACATACAGTCAATGAAGCACGATGTTAGGGTCATATATGGGCAGATACAGTGAGTACTTGTTGCTTTCTGGGTGCAGACATATCCCCCTCTGACGTTCAACCCCAGGCGAGATGTTATCCTTCAAGCTGTGGGTTCCCGGCTCAAAGATGTGACCCCTACTAATAACCATGGGTGTCTACTGGACGCATGTATGGAAGCAGCGGAATGTATTGTATAAAATTTCATATAACAACCTAGCGGGACATTCCATTTGGGAATGGAATACTCTACGATTCATGTCACACTTCGATGTATGTAGTTTTTACATGGAACGGACGCTGGCTCCTCTCGTGGATGGTTATGTCGCTCTCCAAAGAGGTGCATGAAGATACTTCTAAGGTCTGATCATGCTATCTCCAGAGTGACTTCATGATGATCTTGCTGCCGGGGTCAAGTGCAGAGACCTTCAAGGCATCTCTTATACCCCCCCGAGAATTTCGTACAATGAGCATGGCACTGATATATGCTGAGAGTATGTGCTCTACATGCATTGCGAGGGGTTCGGCTTTTGCTGTTGCGGTGGTAATTGCTGTCTGCTGAGTGCTGTGCGTACGAAGGACAGTTTTGACGGTAAGAGCGGTGAGAGCAAGAGACCGCCCCCCCTCTCCAGCAAACCTCATGACGAATACAGCAGGGTCGCATACTTGCAGTGGTCCCTATCGTCACCGGTTCTCCGAAAACCTTGGAAGATATTCCGGAATTGAAGATACACGATCAGAAAGGCTCAAAAATAATTGACATTCCATAAAGCAGGTAGGTGCACATAGGTTGCTAATAATACGTTCTACCTCGTCTACTTGTCCTACACTGTGTAAGAGGAAACCTAAAAGGTACAGACGTCAGACGGTAATGAGATGACAAATGGTAACCTATACCTCAAAGATTCAACTCCTCAGGGGAGAGTGAAGACGACGATCTTGCCATGATAATTCCATCCGAGGGCATCGATGGAATATTCCAACACGACATCCTTTCCGTCGAGTTTCACAGTCAACGAGCCCCCAACGAATGGCGGGTATCCAATGGTAAGCTTGACACCGTCGCGCAGATTTCCGACAGCCTTGGCAACCTGAACCTTGCCCACGAAAGGGATGGTCACGTAGACTTCGATAACGATCGTAAGCTTGTTCACGTCGATAGTGACGTCAATCTGCACAAACAGTCCATGAGCTGAACAGAAACGTCGTTGCGAGACGAGGAAAATTCACCTCGATAGGACCGATAACGACTTTGTAGGTCTTGGTATTCTCGTCATTGCTTTCGACAGCATAGACGAAAGCGTCACCCTGCTGTGTCTTGATGACCTTGACATTGGATTCGAATCCCTGGATGGCGCCTGTGAGAATCAGCCACTCAAGGTCAGCCACAGTCCAGCATAGTGAGTGAATCGAAATGCTCACGGATGATGTCTGATGCACAGGGGGGGGGATGAGTGACAGTGCATCCGTGCAAAACCAACGAGTACTCACGTTCACCAGAGATGATGGTATCGTCATCCCAGTCCTGGTACTTCTTGAAAGGGGGTTCAGCTAATGATGGCATTGTGCTTGTGGGTTACGTTGCTGGGTTGGTGTTTGTGCTGAGGCTGGACGACACTGTCCAAAGTCCCTTTTATACCTGTCTGCTCTCATCGTCCTCCAAGCCCGCTCCCAGGCACTTGTCAAGATGGTCGTTCGACTATGCAAATGGCCACTTGACACGAAGCTCACCAGGAGAGAAAGGTAGAATGTTAATGCGTAACGGCGGTATCGGACTGATTGTGGGCCTGGTGTCCGAGCATGATGTCAATTCAAGGCGTTGATATTGGCACTGGTCGTGGGTCGGACATGGGTACGTGAGAAGAGGGGCTGACGTGAAAAAGCGTACCTACAAACTTCACGTCACGGGTCTGAATAGTCCCTGTCTGTCCGGGGGCATTGAAAGGCATCGAGACAACTCACTTCGAGGTCAATAGTTCTATTACCTTGGATTTTGTTCTCCTCTCCAGTAGTTTCAGCCCAGGCTGCTGCCACATTCTCCGAGTCGTGCTCAGTCCTACTCAGACGCAGAGTGGAATTCTCATTCCGGACTATTCTCGATTTGAGTTTCCAGTATAGCTCTAGAAAGCATCGAGTCTGTGATGGTAAGCTGAACAATCAAGAGGGAACGACTGTCTTCTGGTGTACCTAAGGGGTTGTGCCGACTTGAAAGCAGGTATGATCGGATGTAGTTTTGTGGTTGTATTAGTCACGGCCCGGATGGCCCGGAATCATTGTATCACTTTCAAGGAACTTGTGCTAACCGAAGGTGACCTGACTCTAGGTTGCATTTTGTTCAGCAGCCTCAGGCACGTCGGATTGTGAAGCATCCCTTTCATAGAACGAAATCGACGCCAGCAGAAGTTTCCATAGGTATGCAGATGAATAAATGATTCTCACAGGTAGAATGTTCCTGCTCGAAGACCGGTGGTGGGTGGTCTGTGGCACACATGACTGAAGCCCAGTGTTTCGTAGACAGCACGTTGGGCAAGTACTTTCTTCCCAGAACTTTCGACATGGATTGCAGCCTCTTCCTCGGGCTCTCGCGGAAGGCCGTGACGATTCCAATAATATCGTACTACCAATATCCACACCCATGGTCCATACCGGTTGTCCATGTCCGCGACAGGCCTTATGTAGTCCTATTCAGGCACACCGGTTCCTGGAAGCAACCCACCCACTCTTATCCATCGCATATGCTCAGACCGGATTCTACGCAAAATGCAAGGTCAATAGACTGTTTGTGGCAAGGCGTTCTGTGGGCAGGTTTGACTGACCTCGAAGTACCGAGTTTTGTTCGAAGCCTTTGCAACGCTCGTGGACGGACGGGCGTTACCCAGACCCCCTACACGATGTATGTGGGTAACTTACACTTTTTCACGTCAGTCCTTCTCTCACGTATCCATGTGCGACCCATGACCAGTGTCGGTATCAATGCCTTGAATTGACATCTTGCTCGGTCACCAGGTCCACGATTAGTCCGATGCCACCGTTAAGCCTCAGCATTCTACCTTTCTCTCCTGACGAGTTTCATGTCATGCACTCATTTGCATAGCTCAATTCCCGTCTTGACATGCGCCTGGGCACAAGCTTGGAGGACGATGAGAAAAGACAGGTATAAAAGGGACTTGGGATAGTGCTGTCCACCCTCAGCATCAACACTAGCCCAGCAACGCAACCCACAAGCACAATGCCATCAATTGCTGAATCCCCTTTCAGGAAGTATCAGGACTGGGATGACAACACCATCATTTCTGGTGAACGTGAGTACTTATTGGTTTGCACAGGCGAATTTTCGCTCATTTTTTATTGGGCGGTCAGATATCATCCGTGAGCATTTCGATCCACTCACGGTGTCAGACTGCGGCTGACCTTACACTGATGCCCACAGGCGCCATCCAGGAATTCGAATCCAATGTCAAAGTCATTAAGACACAGCAGGGTGACGCTTTCGTCTATGCTGTCGAAAGCAATGACGAGAATACCAAAACCTACAAGATCGTCATCGGTCCTATCGAGGTGAAACTTCCTTCTATCGCTGCAATGTTGCTGTCCAGCTCATTGACTATTGTGTGCAGATCGTCGTTGCTATCGACCTGAAGAAACTTACGATCGTCATCGGAGTCTACGCAAACATTCCTTTCCTCGGCAGGATTCAAATTGCCAAAGCTGTCGGAAATCTGCACGATGGTGTCACGCTTACCATTGGATACCCGCCATTTATTGGGGGTTCGTTGACACTGAAGTTGGATGGAAAGGATGTTGTGTTGGAATATTCCATTGATGCTCTTGGATTGCATTATCACGGCAAGATCGTGGTCTTTACTCTCCCTTGAGGGGTGAAATTTGAGGTACAGTTCACCATCTGTCCTCTCAACCCATCTGACGTACTGTATCTGCCTTTTAGGCCTCCTCTTCTCGCGTGCGAGACAAATAGATGGGTGGAACGTATCCTTAGCAATTTACTAGTGTGCATTCACCTGCCTTTGATTGTTGAATTTTTTCAATGCGAGTCTATAATATTTTCCAAGCTTTGTGGGGAACCGTTGCTGTCATAACACCACCCTTCTGTGTTCGTCATGAGGTCCACTGGAGAGTAGAGGGTTATCCTCGAGTCTCTTGCTCTCTCCAAACATCTATTTTTTGCGCTCGTGAGACGCGCTGACGAGCAGCAAGTCGTGCGCACCTTAAATCAAATCATTGTTACTTCCGACAGGAATGAGCAGAGATATACTCCTGCGCATGTGAACACGGCTAAATACGGCACGACTATATATAAGTTTGCAGCCGGACGTTCTTCTTGACCGGTTAACGCAGAAATGTGGATGAGCATTATTGTCACGAACCGAATTCGACAGACAGATGAGCAATATTGCATAGGCATACACAGCGTTGTCTGTACGCGCCGTTGGGCTCAAAACGCGATGTGCTCGTCGCCTACATACGAGATGGTTACCGAGGAGGGGAGCCAAGCCTTCAGCAAAAAAATACAAAAACAATCAGATAGAGACCCAATCCTGCACAAGCGGAACCATCCAAGGAAGAATAGGCCCTTGTTCTTTCTCCTACACGTACCGTGAGTTGCAAGCGCCTAGTGAGGTGAACGAGACAGTGCACGACTCACCACTAGCACTAGTGAATATTTGAATCCTGATCTCGTGCACGCGAAAAAAAATACGGGTGCCAGTCCGCAGGAGCACCGAAACCCATATGACAAAAAGAAGGGCTCAACCGGGAATTGAACCCGGGTCACGTACATCTTGACCACATCCTTGTGGTGGGTTTTCTCCCGAAGCACGTATCATGCTACTAGACCATTGAGCCGTAGTCGGAGGGATGACGTGTGCTCACTCGTAGGTTCATCCGAACACTTATCAGTTGAGCGACGACAACCACAGAGTAAATCGATCGTCGTTGACAAGTATCTCTCTTATATTTACTTAAGCTATCATTCGTACTGTACATTATCACGGTTTCTCGTCAGTATCTGGTTCCCTGGAAACAGTTGGCAATCCAATATAAGAGGGTTATAAGCTTGTGTGACCTTCCTTCCCTTTGTAGCCAGCATAGGTCAGCATCTGCTTGACCTGTCCAGTGCTACTAAACAACTACCAAGTAGTATTCAGCTGTTGTCATACGTGAAAACCTCCTGCGAGCCACCGCGCTCGAAACACTGAAGGGTAATGGTATTCGATCGAAGTCGCTGGAGAATGGTCTTGATTTCTCTTTTCTTCAGCGTCGTTCCGTTGGGAGAGCTCGTCGATCAACAACTTTATTAATTGGCGGGTCCCCCGACTTCGGTCATCCTCGACACATACCACTATCGCTAACGACAGCACCCTCGATTATTTCAGTCTCACCATGTCTGCAATCAACATTTCTCCGACACCGACGCCCTTGACGAACACTAATGGCGTACTCCCTCATGACGTCCCCGCAGATGCAACTCCTCCTACATTCGACGTATCCATATTTAGATCCTATCTCCTCTCCCTTCTACCTCCAGTACTTGGTGCTTCTTCAGAGGAGCTCTTCTCCCTGTTCGACGACGAATTCGAAGAGAGAGTGTCACGGTTTGCTGCAGAAGGTGGAGGTGTGATCTACGTCGTAAAAGTCAAGGAAGATTCAGACGGTGAGAATATACAAAGATCTGCTTCTTACCTGCAATTAAAGACGCGTAGCAGAGGACGTGCCTTCACGATATTACTACCAGCTCGCCTCACAACTCACGTATTCTCCTTCGAATGTGATGGCGCTGGCACTCATCAAACGCGGTCACGCCCTCGATCCTTTGGCACCTCTCGCCACTCAGTTGCACATTTTGAACCTCTTCGGTGGGGAGGAAACCCCTTACGAATCCCTTCATGCAGTAGTAAGTTGTGGAGTGAAACCATGGTTTGACGCGTTTGTTGGCGCTCGGGGTTCCGGCAAGGAAGGCGACACCAAAATGGGTGTGTAGGACGTGTTCGAATATTTCCGATTACTCAAATCGTGGTTCAGGCATACCAATGACGAAGAAGAAATTTGCCGAGCTTGAGTTATCGCTGCTGCATCTACAACAGAACGTCGAAATACCAGAGACCCATCTCATCATACACCCTGTCATCCAACGGGCTGTCGAACAGGTAACGGGCACTTCTTGTTGGTGCCAACTTTTGATCGAACAGCACGTAGGCCCAAACAACCAACGTGCGACCGAATATATCGTTCATTCCAGCACGACACCTTAATGATAGCACCTTCCTCAATACTTTGCACTCTCACGTGAATCAATGGATCAAGTCTATCCAGGCAGTCACCAAGCTCTCCCGAGACGTCTCATCTGGCACTGCATCACAAGAAATCAACTTCTGGCTTAGTCTGGAGCGGGCGTTGGAAGGAATCGAGGCACAGCTACGAAGTGAAGAAGTAAATATGGTTATGGAGTGTCTTCGCAATGCCAAACGATACCATGCAACCACGAGTTTCATCGCTGATACCGGTCTCAATTCTGCGATGGATTTGGGTGCGTGCTCAATCTTGCTCTGATCTCTGACATTCCTTTTATCTTCTACTAGTGCACAAATACAATCAGTTGATGAAGGACTTTCCACTAAACGAGCTCCTTTCGGCGACCGATCTGGATAAAATTCAAGAGTCCTTGGTCCTCATCTTCGGTCATATCAACCGCAAGCTTAAACTGTCACCATATCCGATTCGTCGTGCTCTTCCACTCGTCGAAGCGATATCACGGGATTTCAACGATCAGCTCCTGCGCGTACTTACTTCCCACCGACTTCCGTACACACCGTACGAGACTTTCGATCGGCTTCTCTCACAAACTCTGAATATTTTCCGGACATGGGATGATCTCATCAAGGAGTTCACGAATGTCGCGCGTGAAGTGACGCGTAAGCGATCGGAGAAATTCATTCCTATCAAGGTAGTGCCTGCACACGCGAAACTCCAGGAACGGGTACGCTATCTTCGTGATTGGAGAAAGCAGCATGAACAACTCGCGGTGATGACCGGGCCCACGAAAGGCTTGACGACTCTTGCGAAAGAAGTCGGGGGCATGGATATGGAGGAGGAAGTTAAGGAAGCATATGAGGTGATAAAACGTATTGATGTTCTTGATGTCTCGGTCGGTATGTCACCTGCCGGTTTCCCTATGTCGACTCAGTACTCAAGATGGGTGTGATATAGAGGGCACGGAGATTTGGGTGGCGGCCGAAAACGCTTACAACGAACGGGTAGCGAGGGTAGAGAATCAGATTATTGCACGGCTACGTGACAGGCTTGGTACGGCACGCAACGCAAATGAGATGTTCAGAGTGTTCTCCAAGTTCAATGCCTTGTTTGTACGGCCAAAGGTGTGTATCTTGATATCTGCATTTCCACCATTCCGCAGATGCCTCATAGTGACCTACGTTAGATTCGAGGTGCCATTCAGGAGTATCAAACTCAACTTATTGATTCGGTAAAAGAAGACATTAAGCGATTGCACGATAAGGTAGTGCACCGATTATTATTTGACGACTTCTTCGACTAACTGTCTGGCAGTTCAAAACTCAATATCGTTTTTCAGAAGCTTACCACATGTCTCAAATGCGTGACCTTCCACCCATTGCTGGTGCCATCATTTGGGCTCGCCAAATAGAGCGGCAACTCCTGGCTTACATGAAGCGAGTAGAGGATGTACTGGGCAAAGGCTGGGAGCTATACGCAGAAGGGCAGAAACTTCAATCCGAGTCTGCAGCATTCCGAAAGAAGCTCGACGTTCGGCCCGTATACGATGCCTGGCTACATGACATCAACCGGAGAGATATGGCAGTTAACGGACGCCTCTTCGAGATTGTGAGATTGCGCGGAGGAGGGTTCCAACTTGCGGTCAACTTCGATCCACAGACCATCACGTTGTTCAAGGAGGTACGGAACTTGCTCTGGCTTGGGTTCCAAGTTCCGCATATGATCACGAACATGGCCAAAGACGCGAAACGAGTGTATCCACATGCTGTTTCATTGATGGAGACAGTCAGGACGTACGGTCAGACACTGGACCTGGTGGAAAAGAACCAGGGAATTGAGTGGCTTGTTGCCGAGTACCGGAATGATGCACAGAGGATGGTCGCCAAAGGTAAGTCCTATCTAATGCTCGTTCGTAAGGCGGGTCGTGAGTTGATGTGTTGTTATAGGCATGAACATCCGTTGGGACCATTTCGTCAACCATTATGACACTGCCCGCTTCGTATCAGGCGCGGATGGACGGGACAATAGACATATCCAGTTCGTCAGGGAATTTGCGAGTGTAGTTTCTGTTCTACAGGACAAAACAAACAACGTGATCGATCTGTATCGGGACATCCTTCGTGCAGTCGAAGACCTTGCGACCTGCCCGTATACTAGCGAGGCATTCTTGGAGTTGCTGAGCAGGATACAAGCTGCGGTATACAACCTCCACTTCAGTGTCTGATAAGCTATTATTGACTTTGAGTTCCCCCATAGATCGATCGCTTGAACTTGGAAGGATATGCAAATCTGGAACACTGGGTCGCGGAGCTCGATAAACGAATAGAAGGTATCCTATTGCAACGATTGGTCCATATCATTCAAGTGTGGTGCTCCGAATTCGACCGTGTTGATGACGATGGCCGCCGTGACATGATATCATTGCGTGACCTAACGAACAAACGAAGAGCCGGCAAGGGCAGCCGAGAAGAGAAGGTTCGTAAGAGGTCATGCATTGATTAGTGTGCATAATCACTGACCCTATAATCGGACTTGTTTTTAGTTCGTTGAAGGAAGTATTGCCATCAAACCTATTGTGCATGAGATCCGGATACAAGACCAGGTTATTTTCTTGGATCCCCCAATAGAATATGCACGTTCCACATGGATCAAACAACTACATGATTGGCTCGGTGCGGTGTTATAATTATTTTCCCCTTGGTGCTGAACCAGATGGCTTACTTCTATGTACAGGTGTTATCTGTCGGCTTCGTCGGATCCAGAGTTCGCGATACGAGATTGGGTTGCAGATGCAGCGGAACCTTGCATCAGAGACAACCTATACATCTTTGGTATGTAAATGGGCTTGTGGTGCATGTATTTTCTGGAACCTGATCATTTCGAGCAGCTTACCCACTTCCCTGACAATACCCTCGAGCGGCCTTTTGCGTTAATCGAACTCAAGGTTCAGCAGCTCAAAGACTACGTCGCAAAATGGCTACAATTCCAGTCCCTCTGGGATCTCGAGGCCGAATACGTCTTTAACCGCTTAGGCGATTCACTGGCCCACTGGCAGCAACTTCTCACCGAAATTAAGAAAACACGTTCGACGTTCGACACATCGGAGACGCAACGCAGCTTCGGAGTATGTATCGTCGACTACGAGCAGGTACAGGCCCGAGTCAACGCCAAGTACGACGCATGGCAGCGTGACATATTGAGTCGATTCGGCGTGAAGCTTGGGAATGCGATGAAGGAGATGCATGCTGCGATCTTGAAAGCGAGGAACGAACTTGAGCACCACTCCATCGAGGGCCTTGTTGGGGGTGTGAGGAGGTTCTAATAGGTACATGCTGTCATCGAATTTTTCTGAATACCCCCCTTCTCCCTCTCTTTTCAATTCCCGTCCACTTTCACCCGTCCATTCATTTGATCGTGATCGCTGGGTCGTTCGTCCGTTCCCTTTTTATGTGGATTTTTGACTCGCACTCTCCTTCCGCTACTACTGTATCAGATAGGATACGCATATATATACTTGTGTAATGGTGGATATATCCTGAATGATCCTTTGCTGATTACTCTGTTCTAACAACTCGGGAAATGCTGCCGCCTACCACACGGGCCACGCCCCCCTCCGCCATGTGGGTATTAATGCATAGTATCGCGTGGATTGTCCCTTAAAATTGTAGACCCGGTCGAGAAGAACTTCTTGGATCGATTATGATTGTACCCAACTTCGCTGTGTTCACATGCGCAGCAATATGGAACCTTGAATTTCTGTCGGCAGCATCAATAGTTTGGTCTACATTGCGCACAACTTGCTGCTGGTTAGCGTGTCTTATAGGCGCGAAAAAAAATATGTTCGAAGTGAGCAAGAGACCCCCTTGCCAGCAGACCTCATGCCTCATGATGACCAACAAAACAGGATCGTATACTTACAACAGTCCCTATCGTCACCGGTCCCGTAGAAACCTGGGAAAGGTATTCCGGAGTTACTTTCCAGGAACCCACACGTTCAGAAAGGCTTAAAAATGATTGACAACCCGCAATGCAGGCGGGTGCATACAGGCAGATTGCTAATAATACGTTCTACTCCCGTCTATCTTTCCCGCATTGTGTAAGAGGAGACCTGGAAGGTACGTATGTCAGATGGTATTGAGATGATAAACGATGACCCGCACCTCGAAAATTCCACCCCTCAAGGGAGAGTGGCGATGACAATCTTGTCCTGATAATGCCATCCGAGAGCATCGATAGAATATTCCAACACGACATCCTTTCCATCCAGTTTCAGCGTCAATGAGCCCCCAACGAAGGGTGGGTATCCAATGGTAAGTGTGACGCCGTCGCGCAGATTTCCAACCGCCTTGGTAATTTGAATCTTGCCCAGGAAAGGGATGGTCGCATAGACTTCGATGACGATCGTGAGCTTGTTCAAGTCGATAGTCACGTCAATCTGCACACAATAATCTATGAGCTGGACAGAAACATCGTGGCGACACAAGGAAGCTTCACCTCGATAGGACCAATGACGATCTTGTAGGTCTTTGCATTCTCATCGTTGCTCTCTACAGCATAGACGAAAGCGTCGCCTTGCCGTGTTTTGATGACCTTGACGTTGGACTCGAATTCCTGGATGGCGCCTGCGGTATTAGTGACTCAAGGTCAGCCATAACCCAGCAACGTGAGTAAATCGAGGTGCTCACGGATGATATCTGATGCACATGGGGAAAAATGAGTGAAAATTCGCCTGTGTAAACTAATGAGTACTCACGTTCACCAGAGATGATGGTGTTGTCATCCCAGTCCTGGTACTTCTTGAAAGGGGGTTCAGCAATTGATGGCATTGTGCCTGTAGGTTGCGTTGCTGGGCTGGTATTGGTGCTGGGGGCGGATGGCACTGTCCCAAGTCCCTTTTATACCTGTCTGATCTCATCGTCCTCCAAGCACATTCCCAGGTACGTGTCAGGATGGGAATTGAGCTACGTGAATGACTGCATGACATGAAGCTCGCTAGGAGAGAAAGGTAGAATGTTAACGCTGACGGCGGCATCGGACTGATTATGGTCCTGGTGATCGAGCACGATGTCAATTAGAAGCGTTGATGTGCAGCACTGGTCAGGGGTCGGACGACGTGAAAGAGCGGGCTGACGTGAAAAGTGTACCTACATACACGCCTGATGTCACGGGTCCGGATGGCCATCCACGAGCGCTGTAAAGGCATATAGACTACTCACTTCGAGGTCTATAGTTCCATGATCTTCGACTTGTTCTTCTTTCCAGTATGCAGTCCCAGCGCACGCTGCTGTATTCAGATTATTTCTGCCAGTCAGTACTCAGATACAAGCGTCTTTTTTCAGGATTCTGTATTTGGATTTACAGTGAGAATAGGATAAGCATCGAGTCTAGAATGGGAAGTTGAATAGTTGAGAGAACAAATGCTTTCCGTCTCTGTTGTACCAACTTGAAAGCGCGTATGATCTTGCCAGTTGTATCAGTCGCGGCCCGGACGGCCCGGACTTGTATGGCTTGTGCTGATGAAAGGGTGTCCCGTGACTTGGTCCTGACTCCAGCATTCCGTTCAACAGGCACGTCGAATTGTGAAGCCGCTTTTTCGTTGCACCGACAGAAAGGGTTCGGTCACGGGGATGTTTACACAGGTACGTATAATAAATGTTTCTTACGGGCAGAATGTTCCTGCTAAGTGGCAACTAGCACACCTGACCGAAGCCCCGGTATCTCGTGGATAGCGCGTTGCGGGTATGTACCATAGGCAACTCATATCGACGGCGTGCCGGAACTTTCGACGTGGATCGTGGCCGCATCCTGCGACTCTAGCAAAAATGCCAATGCCCTCACACCGATGGTCCAAACCGATTGACCATATCCGCGACGGGCCTTATTGTAGTCCACACCAGACACGGTGGTTCCTGAAGTCAGCTCATCACTGCAAGCTAGTAATAATACCTGCCAAATATGCTCAAACCCGAACGAGCTGCCAACGGCGACTAGCTGACGTTTAGCAGAAGCTCACTCTGCGCAAAATACAGGGTGTACATGGGCTGTCGCAAGGTGTTCTGTAGCCGATAAATCAGGCTCTTAGTTGCGATATCTTGTGACCTCGATTCTCCAAGCCCAAGCGTGGTCTTGATGTGCGTGGGGCCCGACGTCGGGCGCCATCTGTACCCGTGACATCAAGTATGGATGTACACATTTTCACATCAGTACTCCTCTCTCACGTATCCATGTCCTACCCATAATCAGTGTCAGTAACAAAGCCTTGAATTGACATTATGCCCGGTCACCAGGTCCATAATCAGTCCGATGCGGCTGTCAAGCGTTAACATACATTCTACCTTTCTCTCCTAGCGAGCTCCATGTCATGCACTCATTCGCCCTTAATTCCCATCCTGACACGTACCTGGGAATGTGCTTGGAGGACGATGAGATCAGACAGGTATAAAAGGGACTTGGGACAGTGCCATCCACCCCCAGCACCAATACCAGCCCAGCAACGCAACCTACAAGCATAATGCCATCAATTGCTGAACCCCCTTTCAAGAAGTACCAGGACTGGGATGACAACACCATCATCTCTGGTGAACGTGAGTACTCATTAGTTTACACAGGCGAATTTTCACTCATTTTTCCCCATGTGCATCAGATATCATCCGTGAGCACCTCGATTTACTCGCTATGCTGGGTTATGGCTAACCTTGAGTCACTAATACTGCAGGCGCCATCCAGGAATTCGAGTCCAACGTCAAGGTCATCAAAACACGGCAAGGCGACGCTTTCGTCTATGCTGTAGAGAGCAACGATGAGAATGCAAAGACCTACAAGATCGTCATTGGTCCTATCGAGGTGAAGCTTCCTTGTGTCGCCACGATGTTTCTGTCCAGCTCATAGATTATTGTGTGCAGATTGACGTGACTATCGACTTGAACAAGCTCACGATCGTCATCGAAGTCTATGCGACCATCCCTTTCCTGGGCAAGATTCAAATTACCAAGGCGGTTGGAAATCTGCGCGACGGCGTCACACTTACCATTGGATACCCACCCTTCGTTGGGGGCTCATTGACGCTGAAACTGGATGGAAAGGATGTCGTGTTGGAATATTCTATCGATGCTCTCGGATGGCATTATCAGGACAAGATTGTCATCGCCACTCTCCCTTGAGGGGTAGAATTTCTGAGGTGCGAGTCACTACTTGTTGTCTCGATACCATCTGACATATGTACATTGTAGCTCTCCTCTTAGATAGTGCGGGCTAAGTAGAAGAGGTGGAACGTATTATTAGTGATTTGCTAGTGTGTTCCCACCTACTTTTCTTCCTGGTTGTGTAAATTGTGAATTTCCGAAAGGCCGAGATGGAATATATTCCTAGTCTTGGTTCCAGTCCTTCTGGTTTTCAACTTAGTCGGCCTCAGAATCGCCTGTCCGCATTCGGAGAAACTCATGCCATTAGGAGATAATCAATGGCATAAACTCTTCACTGACCCATTGATGCAGACCGGTGATTGCTCGTAGTGTATCGTTACGTCCGTCATGCATTGTGGGTCATCCCGGCTGAGCAGGTCGTGAAATAGCGCAAGGTTGAAGCCGAGGTGTCGATACACTGGAATGCAGCTGAGACCTTGGTGCTGGGTTTGGATCAAGCTGTTCTTGTAATAGATGAATACTTGTAATGTGGGTCCATGTTGAATTGGCGGGCGTGCTGCATCGTCTTCATCATCTATTGCCGTGATGAAGACAATGCGGCATTTTTGCCGAACCCTACCTGTTGTATCACTTGAGTCCAATTCTGAGTCCACCTCAGATCTGCAAGGGGCACATTAGGAATATCAGTTTGGATGCCGGAGGATGGTTGGTATAAGTCATCATCCAACTCTGCGTTCCCGCCCGCAAGGCTATTGCCTCGACACACTTCGTGAATTTGGTATGAGCCGCGAGTGTCCCAAAACATCTAGTTACGAGACTGATATGTTCCGAGGTTTGTGGGGAAACTGGTGCTGTCATGTCGCGATGGGCACTGCGCTGTAAACATTCAACCGCAGACCTCAAGGCCCCATGGCGGACACTACACGGCGTTGCACTCACCACGGCAGACTCCCGGATGCGGAGGGAGGACCGGGGTCATTCAATTGCGGCGCCTTACTCGCTACCAATGTGTTGTAAGTTATGATTTTTCCTCGCTGGTAAGACCAAAAAGTCATCGCACAGCTTGCCTTCCGTTCTACAAGTTCAAAAACATACTCACGTATCTAGTGCGGCACATTTTACTTATTGAACGCAAAAAGATTCCATTTGCTTGTTCAAAGAAACCTTGCGACAAGGCACGCAAAGGAAGACAGTTCTCTGAGCGTATCGGGTATCACCATCATTGGTATTATAACGCCAGGCTTTCAATAACCAGCTCTAACGTCGTCCAGAATACGGTACTGTTACGCCGCAAACTCATATGACTGTTCTGGATGCCTCTGCCAAGTGCTTCTTGAACTTTCGTTGTGCAGCCCTATCCGGTTCGAACTCCTATACCTTCTTCACCCAGGCTAACATAGGCAAGGGGCGTTGAGGACGAAGAAGGCCGAAGTATCGAGACCGACGTTGACAATGCGAAGATGACCTAAAAGGTAGACATTGAAAGATCCGAGCGCGGAGGAAGACGACGTTGGAAAGATGGAATTCTTGTGCTCATGCTCCCGGTTTCAAATATGCGTTCCAGACCAAAGGCAGACCCACCTTAACTCCGCACGCCCTCCATGGAGATTGTGACTGTTCTGTTGGTCTCTCAGTTTCTACCGAGGTGGCTAGTGCCTGCCGTGCTACGTTCCGATAGGGATGGTTGTTCAAATATTAGGCTGCCATAACCGCCTTCACTACGCAGTCTCCGTTCCTGCACGTTTGCAGTTCGGCAGGTTTGTTGAATCATGCCAAGCGCAAGTCTTTCCAAGTAGTGTACGTGAACTTGTTAGCGCAGGGTCCCTGGATAAGCATTATTCCTCCAGGTTCTAGCCCGGGGCATGGTGGCGCTCCCGATGTCATCTGGCCGACTGATATGAACATTTTGGGCCTCACTTCCGAACAGTAACAGCTCGACCAACACCTTTCATACGGGGCTCAGGATCTGCAAAAATAATTTCCTATGCATTTGTTACAACAACAAAGGGGAAGCACTGTTCCTATATCAAGCAACATAAATGTACCTATTCATGTCATCCTCGTCCCGCCTCAAATACTCTTGTTCCACCAATCCCGCAACACGCTGCTTGATCACGCTCACCTCAGGGACGAAATGGCTCTTCACAGCCTCGACCGTCTGTGTCTTGAGCTGCTCGTATGTCAGCTCTTTCTTTGCTTTCATGATTCGCACGATAGCAGCGTCGAGGTAGTGCTTTCTGTCACTATCGATATGCGACTGCGTGCGCGTCGATTCTTCGGGCTGATAAAAATGTATATGATAAATCCGCGGGACAACAAAAAATGAAGGAAATGACGTACCGTTCTCCTTAGCCTGGATGGAATTGATATGTACCTTGGCCCGCGGGTCCGTGAACTCGGAGTTAAAATAGAAGACATCCGTCTCGTCAATGTCCTTCCCTACAGGTTGTTTCTTGAGTACTTTCTTGTTCGCACAGGCAAGACTCTGCAATATACGCTTCAACTCTCCCTCATCTGCACCAGAACATAACGAGGTCAGTATGCGCAAGATCAGTAAGTAGTGGCATGAAAGCACGACGAACCCATCCGGGTGGCCTCCAGGATCTGTTTGTACCCGAGCTCCACAGATTCATTGAAGAGAAGAAGCACGACTGCTTGATACAGGCTGACCGTCAACTCCTTCGTGACCGGTGAGAACCGTGCTTTGAGTGTAGCTGTGCCAATGGAATGATCCCAGTCCAGCTTGCGTCCTTGGTGTTTGCTTTTATAGAACGCAACATAAGCAGCGAGTTCGGATTGCATCTGTCGAACGAGTTTCCGATTTTCTGTGAGTAAAAAGCGGCGGTATGGAGCAGGGTTAACGACGTACCCAGAGCGGGAGATCGACGTCCTTCTTCCGAGATGCGAATGGCCAGTAACTCCTTTGCAACACCATAACAGATAGACTATGCCGCGAGCCACCGTCTGGGAGGCGATTGCGATATTCATGCAAGAGATCCCGCGAAAGCACCAAGTCGTTAAACATGTGGTCACCCATACCGAATTCCGGATCGTAGTCTGAAGAGGGATTTCGAGTCAACTTGTAATCAACAGCCGCAGAGACAATGAAGGCACAGACTCTCTTGCAGTTTCTTTAGCATCGCCTTTTCGAAGTCGTCCGATGCACTACGCTCCAGCAGTAGCCTCCTTGACAGCGCACGATGATAAAATGTCCTGAACACGTCTTTGTCGTCGGTGTACCTATACAACCCAAGCACTGAATCCAACAACTTGTCAAACTCCGCGTCCGACATGTCTCGTTGACCACGGCGCATGAGTCGATCCAGATGTTTCGCGATCAGTTCCGCAGGCTTATTCTTCCGTGCCTTGAACCCATATGCGAATGCGTCTGTGAGCGCGTAGGAAAATTCTCGATTTGGTTGTTTCGTTTGAGGATCAATGAATGCGTTCTGAAGTGCTCCTTCACAGAAGGTTTTGAACTCTAGCAACTTTTCGATCATTACGTCCTCGTGATCAGTGTCTTTAATGATGTTCGCCACGACATTCTGTCCTCAGGTGAGAAAGACGTTGTTCAGGAAAACGATCCAAACTTACCTGTACATATATCTTGAACTCCCGACAGAGTATATTGAGTCCCTCCATAGCTGCAAATTCCGTGTATGCCGTGTCGAGTCGGTCGGTTCCTCTAGCTTTCATAAGGGGGTCGATAGCTGCGCAGAGATCCAGTCAGTCACAGGGCTCGAACGACGAAACACGACCCTACCCCCAGCCGCAAGCCAATCCAGCCTTCCTTCCAGGAGTCCGCGCCTCGTAGCACGCTCTACCAGAGCCACTGTCGTTGTCTGAAAAACCACCAGTGCTCTCGTGCGTTCCTCTGCAACACGCCGCGCTGTGTGCTCGAGAAACCTTTCCGGGGTGAAACCCTCTTGATGAATCTTCTTTTCGGCTTCCTCTGAAAAATATGCTAGAGTCTGTTCACCCACGAACCTCTCGAAAACGACAGCGTAAACGCTGTGATTGACGAGATGTGACACGAGGTCCTGGACATATGCGCGACGAGGATTTTCCCTGCTGAGAGTTCTTTTTTTTTTTTTCGATAAGACGGTGGTAAAAGGTGACAGGATTGGTGGAGTACTGACCCATCGTTTCTCTCCCAAGATAACCAGTCACGCACGCCCGTCTGAATGGGGTCGATGATGGTCGTATAGTCAAGAACATGTCGTTTGAAAGATGTGAAAGCGAGATCGCTTAAGGAGGTTTCAGTGGATCCAAGCGAAAAGATTCATCTAATGTGGAGTTGCATACTGTATATTCAGAAGCCCCGTATTCTTGAGAACATACACGCGATCGAGATACGCCAGTAACGCGCGTACAAGCATCTAAAAAACAGTCAATAGAAACCATAAGCGCGTGGTAACGCCACAGTTGGGAAACACATTGAACTGACGACTTGTCCTTCGAACCATGCACAGACTTGTACGAAGCGATTCAACCATTCGAGGGAATCGCCATCTTCTGTCGCCTTTACTAGTTCATAGCGCAAGTTACAGCAGGATCGGTCGAGTTCTATGACCAAGGCATTATAGAGAACCGCTCCCTTTGTGCCCGCACAGACCACTACACGACAATCGTTGTAGACACCTTCGTACGTCGTCGGGAGAAGTTCTTTTGATCCTTTCGTCAACATAACTTTTAAGCAGTGCTTGACTCTCGCAAGCGAATTGTCATATGCGGCCCTGTCCTGTACTCCGGCTACGTCAAAGGAAAGGCCACCATGAACGTTCAGCACGGAAAGGTATCCCCGACGGAAGAAAAAACGACTCGCTCACCTACAAAATCATGTATTTGCACCGTCAGCGGACCATCCTTTTCTACCGACTTTCCCTTGACACGATCCCGAGACCTAGATGCAGAACCAGGATCAGAATCGGCATCTAAACGGGGCGTTTTGTTTGGGTGAGAAGATGCCGACCCCCCATCGATGACTGTGTGCTGGTAGGTGGTGAACCCTTTGGACTTTGCTGGCAACGATAATAACCTGAACAACACTTCTGTCATGTTGGACTTCACCGTTGTCGGTCAACTTGACATGTAGGACGCCTTACGTAGTCGACATTGATAAGATAAGATCCAACTACACACACTATCTGCTCGTTGTATGGAGAGAGGTAATGCACAATCACGTCTCCTACTGGCAACAGACAACTATACGACATCGCGGGCACATTGCAAGTGGTTTTTTCTGAACTTTTCAGGGTAAGCACACCGTGTTACAGTATTCTTCAGAGGCTCAGATCAAATCAGTGAATGATGTGGTAACTCCACCGTGACATTCAAGATTCTGCTACGCCGAGACATATACGTCACGCGTGTCCCAACCTGTCTGATGCGCATGATAACACAACCCCACACCTACGCCAGAGTTTGATCGAGGCGTGATTGCATGCTCCAACTCCATCGACTCCAAGAGGCGTTACTATAGACATACTGTGTCATAACTTGAACGAAGAAAAAGAAACAGTGAGCCTTGACGTCTCAGATCTCAACCAGCGTCGATTTTTTGCGAGAAAAAATTTATGATCGGTTGATCCGTAGCCCCGCATCCCAGCATGTCAACCGAACGATCGGCACGAAGCAAACTCTATTGCGACAAGCTGCCAATAAACTAGGGCCAGTCGGACAGGACATTGACCAACTGCATGAATTTACCGAGAATGCGGAACTGGTGCCGCGCTATGTACCAAAGGTTCACCGTGACGAACCTTCAACATCATACCGACAAAAGGCCTGCTACATCCAGTGCAAGATGAGTCGCTGTATACTCTGTATATATTTGGTATAATGACAGGGTACCGTAGGACCCTGGATGGTACTACATGTTGTAATGAGTTCTTATTGGCCCCTTTGTCAATTAGACTCGGACGTTGGACGTGAATACTAATCCTTTCTCTCTAATGTACCATGTAGTGACTGCATGTGGTCCTGGCCATGGGCCCGGCGGCCCGCTGTTAAGATTTTGTCGGCTCCCGGCGTCGGTGGAGACGGCTCCGCAATGCAGTGGTCCGCAGGCCTGGGTTTCAGGGCTCAAGCTCAAGCCCGACCGTACGGCACGTAACAGCCCGTTCGCTCCCTCGGAATTCCAGCAATTGACCGGAACTCCTGACCGTAGATTGGTATGTATCCCTCTCATGTCAACATCGATTCCCGATAGAGGGCTACATTACACATACTCGTCTTACAATGGCCCATCGTGAATAAATTAGTACATCAAGAATAATCTTGAGAAAATCTTAAGCAAGTACAATGTCGGAAGCTGATGACTACACAAGATTTAGCACTGCATGAAACTAGTACAGCGTGATACAGGGAAGCGCTAAACAACGGCCCCAGTGATGGAAAAAAAAGGACCGTGGATGAAAGGGCTGCGGCATCTCGGAATGGGAAGGAAGCTAACGCGATCAGGGTTGTTCTCAGGTCACGACCGGCATTATAGCAAAATTTCCTTGATCTGTAAGGAAAAAAATCGAGTCAACACGGGTCGATACCGTTAGTCCATGTGAAAAAGGTCCGAGGTTTCCTCACTCACATTCTTGGTGATAATAGAACTGTAGGTGAACAACAACAGAAAAGGCAAGGAAACAACGTGTATTGATCAACGATTCCATCGCAATTTACGCGTTTCACGTGTAGAGAAGCCGATGACAGCCGACAGCCATACGGAATATGATGCATGTAGAATAGTAGTCCGATAGATGAGAAATATGTTCAGAGTTGGAGAAACCGAGATTGTTGCAGCGTGGGAATTAAGCCAAGATACCCGAACAATGGGAAGCGCGTTATTAATGACCGTTGCCAGTTCACACAAGCGGCAGTTTCACATTGCGGAGAAAAGGGGAGGAAGTTAAATTAGTGCCGCAACTTCGAGGTTGGTGCGAAGAATGGTGCTATAAAGGTGAAGGTGGGTGGTGATGAGGTAAAACAATGGATAGGCGAAGGGATGGACAAATCAGAGACAGAAGGAGGTGGGCGCGATAGAGGAAATGGACTTACTCTGTGAACGAAGTCAGTGATAAGGTCAAACGTCGAGTTAATTAAAGAAGTACCTTCAACTGCGGCCATGACCACCCGCAGCATGGCTGTATCCGTAGCTGTTGTTGTACTGTTGGAAACGGCGCGGTCAGAGTGGCGAGGATAAATCAATCAGGTATCACGTACTGTACGTATATTTCTCGCTCTTTCGAGCGCCCCGCTTTTTGCGAAAGTCGAACGAAACGCTTCCTGAAGTAATCCCGGCCAGCCTTCGCATCTCCGGGTTCGCCTTCATAGTCCTACAACTTCCGGTTTGTATTGCACCAGTAACTAGGACGAAACGCCTCACGGGAAAAAAGTTTTTTATGTCAGAGTGCGCGACCCTTTTTCTAAAGAGATCATCTTTGTTCAAGAACAATATCTGCAATGTTTCGTCAATGAAACGTGAAGAGGAAGAGGAAAAATAACTCACTATCGAGGTCTGCTTGAACCATTGCGAGTGACATATCGAGTCCCAGATGGTCATGGCATCTTGCATTTGGTTCTGATTGCAAGAGTTCCAGGCCCATGCAACACGCAAAAGGCTAAATGACCTACCGCGTCGCGATCCTCCACTAGACATTGGTCATAGCCACTTAAAGCTAACCAGAAACAAGATGCTCGTTACATCTTGGAAACAATGTATCCACTTCCTTCGTTCGCTTTTCTGTCCTCCTACGTCAACCATCAGCATCTCATGGTCCTTTAGGTGAAAGGTAGTCTCGGTAATGCCAATTGTGCGTGCGCGACACTGCACGATGTCTTGTTCGGTAGGTTGGTACGAGGGCTCAAAAAGGCGGTCCAAGCATGGGAAAAAGTATGAAAGGCTACCAAAGATGCAATGAAAAGGGTTGTTCTAACCGAGGAAAAGGACATACTTCTCTGGCAGAGCGGCTTCGTTGCCTCTTTGGTATGCTTTTTGGACATTCTTGTCCCCCCAAAGGTTCTTAAGGGGGTCATAATACATGATCGGGAATGGCTCATGGTCTCGCAAGTCGCTAGCATTACGGATGACGTCCATGCACGGTAGATTGTCCTCTGCGACTTCCAACTCCATATGTTCCATTGCATCGAACACGTAGAGCATTCCCGTTATGAGGTTGTTGAATACTAGTTGTCGATAAGACTCGGTCTCTTCCGGGGAGAAGGGGATTTTGTGTATGAAGCGCATTTGCTGGAGCGAACGAAGTGAGGTCAATGGAGATGGGTAAGCACAAGAAGACATGCGTACCTTGAGGACAGTGGACTTCCCAGAGTCTCCCGAACCAAGCAGGAGCACCTAAGATGAGTCGATCAGTAAAAGAGACAAGCTGTACAGAGCGGTTGCTACCTTGACCTGAGAGGCCATCCTTTGTCTTTGCCTGGAAGGTGATGGAGTCAGCACGAGGTGCCAAAAAGAACACGAGATAGACCTCTTTGAGTTGCTTTTCCACCTGGAGGTGCCGCCGTCTGTCCTCTGGGTCCATCCCCCCTGTCGATATGCAGGCACCCATTATCTGGCGAGAATCAAAATGTGCAGGGAACAAATCGACAGAGCTCAACAAGTGCCAGAGGGAAAAACAGACAGAGAAAGGAATAAAACACGAAAAGTAAAAGACGGCGGAAAAACACAGACAGAAGCCTACGGAAGCCCGACCACGCAGGAGTGGGTATCGTGAGCAGAAGAGGCGCCCAGTGCTTACCAAATATCAGGGAATTTTCCACGCAGCCAATAAACTTTGTCCGTGACAAAATCCGTGATATTTGACAACACCTCAGCGGCCGCGGACTTGAATACTGAATGGTGTCTGCTGGCACTTGCTCAGGGAGAAGCGACTATCAATGATGTTGCCTGGCTTGGTTTGATGGCACTATCTGATCACAGACCAACCTGACAGCACATGCGCACTAAAGAAAAGCTTAAACAGACAGAAACTCTCCTTTACACACTAGGTACGCGCATAGGGTCTTACGCGCTGGTAAATGCGGAGCTCCGACGGTGTCGGTGTCGCACTAGCTAACATTTATATTGACCCTGTCTCATGGAACAGACCAGTAAGAACCTGCCAGCATGACCGATTTGGTCACGGACACAGGGAATCAGTGACGGGCGCGTGTCGTACATACTAGACATACGTCTCGCGTCTGGCTGCAGCTGTTAGCAACCTCAGATCGGGACGCGAGCCTAGGCGACATACCGTCGCCGATAGCCTCCTCATATTACCAATTACCAATGCTCAGTTACTTTCACGACTGCAGTGGCCTGTGATTCCATCTAATGAGTCAACTTCTCTTACTGCGTGAAGCAGATCGGAGCTAGAGCGGTCGCACATGAGTCACTAGCTTGGGATACCAAACCACAAGTTCACTACTCGCGTGATCTCCTAGTAAGTCTAAGTACAAGTTTGCACGTTGTCGGATCATTATTGCACAACCCGCCGACAGAGAGGGACAGCACAGGTACAATGGTAGCCGAAGTTGACAGTTGCAGGTTAGCAAACGCCCAATAGTATGAAGACGTGTCTGCGTGTCTAGTTCAGCAACTCTGGGATAGTACATAGATGCAGGATCCATGCCAGGGCCTCAGGTTGAAACTGCGATGAGACTGGGACGGCTGGGACGGCCGCCATCGATCATATTTCTAGGCCACACGATAGCACGTCAGTATTAAGGATCCTTGGGCTCATGCACATTCGGAACCCTGGGGTGTGCAAATTGAAAGAATGGGCATAGTAAGGCAAGTGTTCATACGAGTAACCCTTCATGTGCACCATGGTCGAAAGTGAATGACTGCCTTGGTGTTGGATCTCTGGTCTGCCTTCAAGGAAGATGAACCTCTGCCAGTTCTTTTTTACACAGCCACCTGCTCGAGTGAACCGGGTCACATATCGACTCCCTCGAAAGTGCATTCCGATCGACGACGCAGCCCTTGCAATGCCAAAACACACTCGAAAACGCCAAAAACTTGCCAAAGATGAAGCCGTAAAACCACTCGGTTCCAACCATCTCGCCGTTTTGACAGACGACGCGAGCAAAGACGATGAAGAAAGACGTCTGGAAAGCATGCTATTTGGCACTCCTTATGTTCCGTCGTCCTCCTCTTCTTCGTCAAAGAAAAAGACAGGGTTGGATGTCGAGGCTGGGCTCGTAATTACCGACGAAGAAGAGCCAGACGCAGGGGCGGAGTCGAAGGAATTGGAACACATGCTGGATTCAGATGTATGTGCCCCCCCTTTCCACGGAAAAAATGTTCTGGATCTTACATCCGAGACGTTTTCACTTTGGTTAACCAGCTGTTCTTCATTGATGACGGTGTGGCACCCTCAACCTCGGACAGTTCTACTGTTCCGGACGCGGCACAGCTGGTCATCCGGAAGTACCACAGTGAAAGCGAGAGCGATGATGATGAAGATGATGAAGAGGAAAATAGTGCACAAGAAACAGATGAAGTTGAACACATCTCTCAGGAGACCGAAAGTATACCCGAGATCGTCACCGAAGAACAAGACCAGACCACTTCCGCAGGGGATGCGCAACCCGGCCGTAAAGCACCTGCATGGGTAGACCCTGATGACGCAAATTTGCAAGTATCCCTAACTGCGCACAGTCGTCTTCGAAAACTCCGTGATGCACCTTCAGAAGATACGGTCAACGGTCGAGAGTACGAGCGCAAGCTGCGCCGTCAATTCGAACGTATCAACCCAACCCCAGAGTGGGCAACAAAAGCACGGAAAAAGCTACACCCTTCAAAACGGAGGAGATCGTCCGGTTCTGACTCCGACGTCGATAACACTATCGAAGATATCCTCCCTGACCTCCTAGCATCAACAGGCGGCATATCGGCTGGGAAAAAACCGAGGGTGTTGACCCAGGGCGTGATATCAGTCGACTGTCTGCGTGATGCCAACCAGGCAGCTCCCGCAGAGGGTGAAATTAAATCCGTCCAGTTTCACCCTTCCCCTCAGATCCCCGTTCTCCTCACGGCAAGCACAGACAGACGTTTGAGGCTTTTCCACGTACGTTTTCGGTCCCCTATTTCTCTCCTTCCCCTGTTCTTCATGTTGATGTTGTCACCTTTGCCCCTTCTCTCCATTCCATCAGGTCGATGGTTTGACAAACCCTCACGCACAAACTCTTCACATCCCCTCTCTTCCCATTACCAATGCTGTTTTCCACCCGTCCGGCTCTTCCATCTTCATGACCGGTCCACGCCCCTTCTACTACACCTACGACTTCCAATCTGGAGCGTCCCACCGCTCGCCGCGTGGGCTTTGGGGAACTACATTCTCATCAGCAAACCAAGATACCAGCATGGAGACGTGCGCGTTCAGCCCCGATGGTGATGTCCTTGCTGTAGCAGGCCGCCGTGGTTACATTCATCTCGTCGATTGGCGCTCAGGGTCGGCGCAGGTCGTGGCGGGACTCAAGGCAAACGCAGCCGTCAAGTCGTTGTGGTGGTCTAGGGTACAGGACGGTGAGCTCCTAAGTCTGACGCAGGATTCGCAGGTGTATGTGTGGGACATACGACAGCGAAAATGTGTTAAGCGATGGCAGGACGAGGGTGGATTTGGCAGCAAAATAATGAGCGGAGACCAACGGGGTAACTATCTGTCCATTGGGTGAGTATGACCGTCTGCTTTTTTCTTCTCTACCGTAAGAGATACTGAGCCTGGCTGAAATAGTTCGAACATTGGGCTTGTCAACGTCTACAACGCTCGAAGTCTAGGTGAAGACTCGAAGCCAAAACCTCTCAAAACCCTGGGCAACTTGACGACGAATATCTCATGTCTACGGTATAACCACGACTCCCAGTTGCTTGCCATGGCTAGCAACGTCAAAAGGGACCAACTACGTTTGGTACTGCATCTCACTTTATTTTATTTTCTTGCATTCATCCTAAACTAATCACCGTTTTATAGGTCCACCTTCCATCTCTGACGGTTTATGGCAATTGGCCAACGACCAAAACACCTCTTGCTCACGTTACTTCCATGGACTTTTCCGTAGGAAGCGAGTATTTCGCGATAGGCAACAATAAGGGCCGTGTCCTGCTGTATCACCTTAGGGACTTCGCGCAACAATGATGACATCCTCATGGGTTCTATTCCATCACACGATACATATATATCGAGAACGACAAGTGTGTGTGATTGAAACATGCGGGCAAAAAGCGAAGGAGGTTGGGTGGCGTTCACACACAGGTGTGATGTGCCCAAAACCCATGAGTATCGTCTAGCTTCTTGTGTAGTGTGCCAGGAGGTCGGTATATGTCTCTGATATCTATTCCAGCGGGACCCGCGATAAGTGTAAAGACCGATGTCCACTTCACGTACCTTCTCTGCGCGAGCTTTGCCATTCGGAACAAACCGACAGATCACGGTGGCGCATTCGAACCACCGTCTAGCCTCGTCGACAAGGGATGCACTGTATCATAATCAAGACAGGAGTTGTGGCAGTAAAGTCAAGGGCAGAAACGTGGGTGACGGACTGCAGGCATTCCACCCCCGTGTTGTAGGCAGTGCTAAGGAGCCATAATCGTTCATCTGTTGGATAAAGCTTTGATGGGGAGGAATAGAAGTCGTCAGGAACACAGATTTACTCCTCGCAGATACCCACAAAGTTTCCGTTTTCTACCAGGTCACCATGCTCTTCCAGGACTGCATTCGCCTGCTCGAAGTACTGAATGGCTTTAGACCGGTCAGCCCCGGACCCTTTGGCCAATAGGATGCTACATATTGATCGCAACCACCGTGAAAATTTGTCCAAAGACAGCTGGGTGTGTGCGAGGCATGCATGTAGGATTGCCTGCAGGTGTGGCGAGGAGTTTAGATCACCAAAATCCAAGCGTTCATAAGGAGTTGGCATACCTCAAGGGCTGCGTAGAGTACTGTGTGCATTATTTAGTGTATTCTCAGAAGCGTGAAAACGTTGTATCATGCCGTTAATGGGACAATTCTTGTTCTCCCACTAATAGGTGACCCATCATCAGGGCCAAGAAAAAAGGTCTAGAATCTAATGTGCACATACCAGAACGTCTCCAATTGCCTCATAGGTGACGAGAGATTGGTGGTGATCGCGTGCAGCCTCCTATGTGATGGAAAAAATTCTCCTATCACTTCCCCCCCATGAAAAAAAAAGGTGACGCACCTCGATCGTCTCCAGGACGGACGGCCAACCCCCAAGATGTGATGCTGATTCAACATGGAAGACACGCAGAAAGTGCAAGAATGATTGGAGATGGGAACGATCGGCTGGAGGAACCTTGTCCAGCAGACCAGCGATCCTGCCTGCGCACGATTTGATCTCTGCGGAGAGGCTCCGCAGAACTTCAGGCTACGGAACAGTTAGCTGCAAGTGTAGAACCTTGGCACCACCCACCTCTACAGCTTCGGCGCCTGATAACCGTTCACGCACTATGATCACTTATGACAAGAGCCTGTAAGCATCATACAACAAATGTCCGAACAGCGGCACTGACCTCGCCCAGAGGTGGCGGCGAAGGAAGCATTCGCAATATAGACGTACGTAGAAGGCTCTACTTCCGTCAGCGTCTTGGCTATGTATAATTCGAGTAGCTAATCTCAGTTAGGAGGGCGAAAACATGTGTGGAGATCTGGAAAATAATAACACGTCACCTGTCTTGCAATATCGAAAGCGTTAGAAACTTCTTCGCCGTGGTTATCCCAATTGGAACATCCATCGATTGCACAATTGTACGCAGTACGCCACAGCCATGATAAGTCCCGGATCACCAATGCGAAATTCTCGCAGGCGACATTTTCAACGAGGATCTTGGCTGAAGAACGAGGACAAAGCTAGGAGAAAGAAGACATGCTGAATGACGTGCTCACGAACCATTCTTGAAGTAATTCAGTAATGTCTTAACAAGGGGTGGTCTGTCAGGTGTAAGTATAGACATCGATTGATGGTGAAGTAAGGCAGTGTTACATGTTGGCGCCAGGCTGTCCGAGGAGTTTCAGAGTTAATCTGATGATACACCGTATCAGTGTCATGGCTTCTGTCAAGTTTTCGACGTCGATCCGAAAGTTCAAGGTATCTAGTAATGCCATGAGCACCGATAAAAGCAGACTCTTCATGTCGGAATCGTGCGCAAGCCGGCATGCCAATAGGAGCATTCTTCGATCGAAATCGGTGGCTTCAACCATTTCCCTCACGGCTCTGGTAGCTACCCAACAATCCGATCAACCATGTATGGAATACTCGTGGAGGGACCGTGACCTGCCTTCATCTTCCAAACCTGAGATTTATACCCGACTGTGGGTAATGCCACTCAATAAGGTAGCCATATCGAGTAGGCACAAACCTTGATGCACAGCGATCAGAAATACCACATAACGGGTCGTGGCACCATTTACGGGACACCGTTTGACGGCAAATGCCGCCTTTGCATACTCCTTTTGTTGAATATAGCACAGTGCAGCTTTGCGGAGACACTTCGAAGTGCATGAGGGTCCCAAACCTGAGAATACGGCATGGGTGCCACATATGAACCAATCGGCTGCCTCCGGCCACCGCGAGGCATGATAGTGACGGTCGCCATACTGCCATATCAGCTGTTTCCAGTATAAATGGTCTAGGTCGGTGTGCTTAAATGAACTTGACGACCTACAGTCAGACAGGCGCTCGCAGCTGCCTTTGAAAGTTCAACGTCCGATTTGACAACTTCTGATATGGTCAAGGCAGAAACCACGTTGCAGGTTCCCTTGATGGGAACAATGTTACTTGCCTTGGAACGACTCCTCCAACTCCTTCATCGCCTTCCCGTGATCATCACCCTTCGAGCAGTGGAATAGTAGTGACACAAGCAACTTTTCGATAGAAGCCACATTCGCGGACGTATCCAATGCCCGCAAGAGGCAACGTTTGATCGCGGAAGTCACGACACCGCTGCGGAGAACAACGTCACATGAACGCCACAGCATAATCTAGCTCATACTTACTACTGGGGAGTAAGGCTGCGAAGCTCCAAGAGAATGCTGTTTAATTACTGTTATCAGTCAGCGAAGTACACGGGCGAGAACTTTACTAACTCGGACAAGTCGCCCTCAGAAAAAGTCATGTTATCAATAATGGACTCCAGCGCTGATGAAAGTCAGTGCGCAGTGGTCGTAAGGACATAAAGGGTAACGCTCGGCCGGTCAGCGCGGCTTACCGTGAAGAAGCTCTGAATTCCCAGCTTTTTGCCGCTTGACCACAGCTAGTTTCATCCAGCGGAGTTGCTGATATTCGGAACTAGTCTGAAGGGAACATGTGACTTTTCTCCGGAAAAGAACCCAAGAGCGGTACTGGCTAGTCCCTTACGTGATCAACCGAGGGGTCAATAGTGGAGATAATCTCTTCCAGCGCAACTTCCGCCCGCGTCAGATTCTCTGGATCATGGGATGAGGCTAGAAAGTATCCCCGAGCTAACAGCATGCCGGTATGGTGTAGGTCACGGTATCACTGAGGATCCAATCGGAATGATGTAGCTTACCAAGACTCCTGAGAACGGCTCGCTAAAGTGGTCACGCCTTCAGTGCGCGGACAATATTCAATAGAGACATGCCGAAAGCACGAACCTTAAGCTCCGCTAACTCGGAGTTGGGGGTGCACTCCAGTGGCTCTATTACCTGGAATGCCTTCTGCATCCATCTCAGGGCATCAGGGGCTCTGTTGCCGTCCGCCATGAGTTTCCCGCCTTGATGACAAGTTCTCAAAATGGATTTGCCGATGTCCAGTAACTTGGAGGCCAGCAATTCTCGCTATTGGGAAAAGATGCGAAGAGAGAACCTTGGGAAGGCTCATCAGTGCCACTTACGTCACGAGTGGAAAGCAATGCAAGCTGTTTATCGTTGTCTGTTTAGATGATATGAGCCACTTCGTGATACGCATTCGATTGCGCCCAGGGTCCAAACCTGTGATCTTGTCAGCCATAAACATTGCAAGACCCTCGTTCTTCTCCCTCCAGGCCTGTGTGTGTGCCAACGCAAGGACTCCCATGAATATCAATCCAGTAACCCGATAGAAGCTTAACAGCCTCACGGCTTCCATTCTACTTGAAAAATACAGAGTGGTGACGCGTGCCTTGGAGTGTTCGTGCGTGCGATCCGGATCACTGTGGTTTCTCAGCGCCTCTTCAAACTGTTTGGACAATAGGGTAAGCCAAAGGACCCAAATGAACGCCACTGGAGAGATAAAAGCGATCTCACCTTGGCCGCACATGTCAACACGCTAGCAGCCGATTCGCTATTTCCGAGCTCTACGCCCATCACGAAATGAAAAGATGCTGTAGCAACGGAAGCCATAAAGCCGCTGCTATTCTAGGACGTACCTGAGAGTGCTGACCCGGTTTTGCTCGCTACCTGTAGCATATGCAACAGGGCTGCAAAGACAACACGCACGGGAATGAGGCACGTGGACTAAACCTTGCTACCACAGGGGAAGCAAACCTTGGATACTCGGCTCAGCCTCCAGGCCTGCCTCCATCAGCCGGAAACCTGCCAATCGTACTTTGGAAAACAAGGGTCAGGCCGTGGCATACTGTTGCACGACGAGACTAAAGGGGGACTATGCTGCATACATGCTGCGACAATAACACGGCTGTCGGAATCTTGACGAAATAGTCCCGAGGCGTTCCATAGGTTCACTCCTTAAGTGGGTGGCAAGGTGGCAGATGGTCACTCAATAGTTCCTTCCGCGCGACAGAGATTTCCCCGAAGGGAGTGTGGTCGCCGCCAATGAAAAAAGAAGGTTGTGACGGACCTTGCTGATCGAGCAAATCTGCTAAATGAGCATCGTTCCCCCACCTGAGACACTGGTCTGAGAACGATTTCGCTAGGGATGCGATTTGATGGAGGTCTTTGACTACGGAAGCCGCGTCGATGGAAGACGACGAAGGAATATCTTTGAGCTTAGGTTTGATCTTGATCGATATCTCTGCGGAAAAAAGGGGGAGGTATTCAATGGTAAAGCTTTCTATTCGCGCGCCCATACAAGACACCGTGAATTTGCGCGGCGCGCATCATGAGTAAAACAGACAGAATGGGAAGCCTTGCCTTGGATCTGGTCGTATAGTTTTTGCAAATTGGTTGTTGCCTGGCGTTGTTTCCTCGGTGTCGACATGATCCCGGTTCGATTTGACCGTCTTCGCCAGTGAATGGCTTGCTGTAAAAGTCAGGACGCGTTGCGACAGAATCGGGACTTGTCTTGTAAATAAATAATAATAATTACGATATTCGTCTTCCTTGCATTCCTCGCTCGAAGCTATGCTCAGTCAAGAGATACCAGAAAGTCTGAAAACCGTCGCTACAAAGGTCAGCCCATTGTATCTCCGTACAATGCAAAGTTCTTATTTTTTTTTTCGGGGTGCACATGACAGGAAGCACGCAGAGATGGCATGTTCGCTGGCCTCACCGCAGGTCTCACTGGAGGTACGTTACCTACGCACCTGAGAATTACAAAAATATTTAAAATACGAAAAAAAAAAACAAAAACACTACGACGCCATCTCACACTGCCAATAAATCGATTCGTAAACATCCATTGACCCCATTCGCACTGGTCGCGGGACCCACCTTCCCATATGGCTGGCACCCTTTCAAATAACGTTTCCTATTTGTAGCCCTGTTGGGTTCCAAGCTCCTGCGGTTTAACAGGAACCAAACAATCGTCTGCGGTGTCTGTGAGTTGGTGGCAGTTCTATTCACCCCAATTTTCATCATTCCTTTTTCATGCCCATAAACGCCTTAACGTCTTGCTGTTGCTGTTGTCCCGTCCGTCCGTCCGTCTGTCACTACCACCCTTTTGCTGCATGCGGATATGATCTTACTCTCTTCCGCTGCGCCACACATCCTTTGTGTGTCGAACATTCATTCATCAATTCTCCATTTGCCAACAACCGTCGCAACGACGACCATGACCATGTATACCCGGTGACGCAATCGACAACGTTGTGTGACCACCCCCTCCACTCTTCTCACCATTCACAACCCCTCCCCTCCATGTTTCCAAAACCCAATCAGTGACAGGAGCCCTTTCCGGATATTTTTTCACGCGGGCGTTCCTATCATCCCGCCTTGCCGTATTAAAAAAGAACCTCGCACAGCAGACTTCATCGGATGCATCTTGGTCCTCGGATGGGTAGATTGAAGGGCGGGCGTCACAATCGTAAATACGATCAAGCCTCTTAGTGGCTTCGAATACAGGTTTCGCATGATCAGCGGGCCAACACATTTGTATAACACAATGCCATCGTGTTTGGTTAGAATGCTTCCCTGCCTTGCCAATCTGCCGTGTGGTGTCTATATAGCGCTGTCTAATGACATGCTTTGATTCCTGTGGTAATGAAAACGTCCGGCGTGGAAGTGGCGAAGAGGGCCGTGGTGACCGGTGACCGGCGAACATGCTCGGCCCTACGAAGGTTTCTTTTTCGGACGTTGAGCCATCAAACACGAAGCTCACGCCAAACCATTCGTGATCATCTTGACAGTCCTCTTCGAGCGTGACGCCGCATCGCGACGTGGACTATCAGACTGGTTAAGGCATGATTCAGTAGCATCGTTTCATCGTCAGAGTGAGAACGTTCCTTAGAAGTTTTCATTGGACCTTTCCTTTCTCTTCCCGCGCCTAGCACCACCAACCATTTACTTCCCTTTTGTTCCTGTTCCTTTGCATTTGCATTTGGATGCAGCAGATGTGCTGCGCTGTCAATTGTTCGCAGCCACCTTTCCCCCGCTCCGTCACAGCCGCCACTACACACCGTTACCGTTGTCGTTGTCGTTGCCACTACCCTGATACTACCCTACCCATCGCAGGCATGTGTGATCCATGAAGAAGCCCGCTGATAACGCCGGTCTGGTGCCTCCTTCGCCCGAAAAAAAAACGGGTACCAAGCAAGGACTAGCTGCTACTAGCAGGCAGTTCCGTCGGTCTGTCCGGTATGTCCGACTCCGAAAAATATCCACCTTGTGCGACCCGAACGAGCAAACGCAAGAACTTCACAGAGAACATGAACGATCTCGAACACACAGCAGAATTCTTTTGATTATTAGTGCCGACATTGTATGTTTCATCTGCAACATGATCCCAAACTTCAATTGATCGCCTTTGTAGGTACGAGCAACAAATTTCCTAACTTGCAGGGACTATACGTATCACACTATCACTGCAATCCCAGTTCAGCAGTGCGGCTGTGCGCATACTATCCCCCATTGTGCTCTCAATTCTGTGTAAGGCGTATCTCCATATTGGCAACGTGCAATGATCAAGGTGCTCCCTGTCCAACTATTGTCACCTGGCCAGATGGGTAACGAGCTGTAACGAGTTGCCCGCACCGGAATACCGTACTACGGACCCTGCCACAAGCCACTATCATTCATGCCCTCCGTCCCTGCCTGCCAAGGTCATACACACGGAGTACTGCTACATACATGTCAGTGTCACCTCCATGGGATACGGGTACTGACGCAGAAACGATATGCTGTCACGCCAGAGGAGATCTTCCATATGGCTCTCTCCTCAACGCCCCAATCTATCACTCCGCCATCACGACGGAGTGGTACAGCCACCCTTGGTCCCTGCATACACTGCAGTTACCGGAAGGAACCCCGTCGATAGAAGAGAGCAACCCAGTCACTGCTCGTTGGCCCGTGGCATGGAGAGTAACAAGCGCTTGACTCATGACCCAATTCGGCACGCCTCGGGCTTCCCAGCCTGGGTCCCTGGACTATTATTCACATAGATTGGATCAATCGATGCTGTACGAGGCTCCCCGGAAAGACCCGATGTTTGAAGATCGGTCGCGCGGTCGCATAATGGATGCAAGGTATGCATCCCTATCAATATCATCTCATCTCCTATGTGCTCAATTTGCATGTCGGATGGCCGGCCATATGGGCTCGCTTTGTATGAAACAGTAACCGTGCGACGCGTTTCCTATTTCACGCGAGCGCTACTCTCTTCGATCTGAAGTCGGATATATTTGCTTAGCTTATATATTATATCAGGGTTCACCCCTGTTCTGCTTTTTCCGGTTTACTTCAGCTTCCTCGTGCTCGCCATGCGCGAAGTCTACAAAGAAAGAAAAAAACACCGAGGTCCGAAAGGAGCGTATTACCTCTAACACCACACCTTTCCCCCCCCTTTCTTTTCTCCTACTTAGTTGCTGCTCAACTCCGAGGGGCCCGCCCACACTCCTATGACCATAGTTCGGCTCCATTCGGGAACACTAACCTATGAACCGGGAGGATAGTGTGCGGCCCGCACATGCCAACCTGGTGAGATGATTTAGCAAAACGAAAAGACTCATCAATTATCCATCCCGTCCGTTCTAGCTGATATGATGATGCATCCCAATGGCGTATCGTTTATGTCTAGGTGCTCATCGCCTATCGGACTGGCTTCCGCTGCCAATTCGATAATGAACAATCTGTCGTTCCGAAAAAAAAAACTAGGAAACTGGTCCTTGTGATCCGAAAAAGTTGAACTAAGGTTCCATACACTGGGTACATACGTCCATACATAAACCGTAAGCTATAGCGGGCACTAGTGCTACACTTGTCATGCTATAGTCTCCACAGCAACTTGTTTGTGCGCCCCTTTAACTTCCATATTTGTGTTGTTATTTTTCTTTTTGTTCATTTCCACTTGTTCGGGAAAATCACTTTGGGAAATAAATTAAATAAATAAACAAGTAAAAAATATCGGGCCTCACTACAAATTCTGCTTATGTAATCTCCCGTGTGTCGGACAGCAAGTACCCATGCAACAATACAAACGTCGCCAGCGATCGCTGTCCAAAAGGTCCCAAGGTCGCCAGGCGCAACCTCCTGCCAGACAGGACCTGAAAATCAGTTTTTGAAACGTATGCAACGTATGTACAAAGTCGGAAAAGTCGAATTTGGAACACACGCTCAAAAATGATACCTCACCGTCGGATTGAACAGGGTATTATTACCTTACTCGAGGCTAGCGTCGCAGCAAGGGAAGCTGTTATACTGGTCGCGAATAAGGTACCCCTTTTATGTAGTGCTGTACTTGCCTTGCATGGTATGCGGAACAGCGTCGTCTGAACGCTGCGCTCGAGCTTAGCCAGCTCCGGGTGCCACGTGCTCGTACCCGCAAGTGACAGCCAACTTTGTCGCGAACTCACTCGACGGTCGTCGTCATCGTCGAGGCCATCTCGGCTGAAACACCCGATTCGAATTGCTAAAAAAAACATTAGAAAAAAAAAAGAACCTGCCTGGATCGATATAACCCTCTCTGTCCGAATTACGCCGTCCGTTTGTCGTCGTCGTCGTCGTCAGTCGAGTCGTCAATCGTAGTCGTGTCATTCCGAATCAAAACCCGAAATTGAAAAGTTTAACAGGAGAGAAATAATATTATGTGCCACAGGAGAGATCAAAAAAGCCCAAAATAAATATATATAAAAAAACAAAAAAAGGTAATGGCACAGCGGTTGTTTCTTTTTTGCAGTCAGCCCAGCCAGCACAGAATTTCACGTCATACCATATCAACAGCTCCTGTCTCAATCATATATGTCGATCCCCACTACACGTCCCGCGCTCGGAGCTACAGTGGCCGCCTGAACGGATGATGATGATGATGATGATGATACGATGATGATGATATTGATCACGGTGAGCTTTTGCTGACCGGTGCTGACCGGTAGGGCTGCTGCTGAGTGATCACGGCGGCGTCCTCCAGTACCTCCTAAGCATGAATGAGCTTGCCACCGATCATCATATCTACAGAAATTGACACGAACAGCTTCAGGGGCCCTGAGACCTGAGAGAGGATGATCCGTCGAATCCTGATTCAAAGCTGAGCAGAAGAAGAAAGTCGTACAGGACAGGTCTGACGACCCTTGATCATCGTGTCCGTTTTTTTTTTTTTCCACTGTCCCCACCGTAGTCAGCCTTCACTGCAAATATGCCAAACGGTATCACATGTCCCCTTCTTTCTTTTACGACTGTGCGTGTGTATATGTCTTGTGTCCTGTCACTGATCATATGTATGTGTCAAAAGGTCGCAACGAGTCACCCCTCGTTCACAAGCTGTACTTACACAACAAGTACTAATCGAAGCGATCCTCGTAATTAGCCCTTTGAAACCCCTTCTCTCATCCTTATAATATGAGGCGTGTCAAGTATGTCCCGGTTGTTTCTTTTTTAGAGTTCTGAAACTTACCCGTCACAGTATAATCGTAATAATGTGTGACTCCAAAACCCACGATCACATTCTGATCACGCACTGTCGCCCACATCGCCTAATCACGATGTGTCGATGTGTGTGTACACACATGCACATGATTATGGTTTGCTGTGTGTACCGAGAATCTATATTATCAGAAGCTCCGGGGCTGTTTCTCCCGTCCAGCCACCCTGACCCCACTGAGGGGCTCACACGGCTCGCAGCGCTGGCGATAACAGTCTGATCAGAACCACCAAAACGTCATTGTCCAACTAAGATGCAGATTCGGATGTGCGGCGTTGTTTTTATTCATTCCGTTATGCAGCTGTACATCATTACTAGCTTACTTTAGAGTCGTTCTGGTAACCGAGGAATATGGTAGTATCGATGGAGCGTGGAGTGCTGCGGTCCCAATTGTTCGCAGGAAAGAGAAAGGCAGCCAAATACGAACTAATGCGGTTAGGAGGATAATGATGTATGGATGAGGAGGCGTGACGAAATTGCTGACCTGAGTTGCACAAAGATAGACCGAGAGAAAAGAAAGAAAAAAGAGATACCCGTTCAATACTGTAGTACAATAAAACAGTTGTGTCATGTCCTCAAGTGAGAAATGTTATGCGGATGCCAATCAGAAAATGCCACGTATAAAGGATGAAAGTAATAAAATATTTGCAGAATGCCAAACAAACCAAGTAGACGACAAAAGCAGACGAAAAAGTCATCTGGCATACGCCCAGGTCTGTGGCGAAGGATATACCGGCGAGCCCCGGTGGTGAGATGCTTGATGGTGATACGGATGTGGGTGCTGGCAAGCGGGAGTAGACGCAGTCGTGTAGAACTGTACTCCGGGAGGACCAGCATTTGCAAATGGCGCAGAAGGGATGACACAAGATCCGTCCCCCCTCAACGGCGGAAGCTGCAGTGACTGGTCCCTGTCCACAGGAGACAACTTCATGTACATATGCGCAGAAACTGAACGTGCGGTTCCACATGTGGAAGACAGCTTTCTGGCCCAGATTGCATCGTGCAAGTGTGGCAACGAGGGCTGTCGGACACCCAGGGTCACATGAGAGTCGTGTGGACTCACGGACGCCGACTGAACATCCATAGGAACGTATGGAGGTGGCTGGACGGTGTATGATGGCGGGGGTTGCGGGGCAGGCTGGAAACACCGCAATCGAGCCTTGCGGTTCCCCTTGGGCTGCTCTGAGTCACCGTTGATGGATGAGCCAGCGAGGGAGTAATAATACAAACTCTGCGGAATTAATGAGATCACGGTACGTACTACAGGCTGGGAATGAATCATACCTCGGGCACATTGACAGGACGGTCCGCACGATAAGCGGCGACGAGGGTTTGTGGATGGCCTTCGATCACATTCGATCTCTGTTGCGACTGCGCAGCTCTCTGTGCATGCGGCGAAGAGGACAGGGTCATTTTAGCAAATGAGTAGAGAGAATCGAGTGGCGAAGAGCCAGAACTTTGGCAATTGGCGTAGTTGGTGTCGGGGATTTGCAAGGTCATGCCTGTGGGACGCTTGAGGGGTGGCAACTCCTTGAATGACGTGGAGGTCGGCGAGAAGGCATCGGCTGCGGAACGCTTTGTGCCCGAGCTGGGCGAGGGTGCGTGTTGGGGTGGAGTCACGTGATACGCAGATGCGGGCGGATTGGTGAGTTGCAGTGGGGAAGTCGAGCGTGCCCGGTGAGACGAAGACTGGCACCTCAATCGGTATGTGCGGGCGACGGGTACAGACGACATCGGTTGCGACTGACGACCGTGTCGCGAGTAGCGGGCGCGTATTCCACGCCACTTTCTGCTCTCCGTCTCCTTTGCAAGCACCAAGCCTTTCAGTAGGTTGAGCCACGACGCATATTGCTTGCCAGATACATGTAACGAGAAGTCGACTGCGGTCAAGAACTCTCGCTCCATTTTGTGGATCTCGCTGAGATCGATACCGGACACCTCCGACCACGTCTTGTTCGTGTAGGTGTTGCTGTGACGCGTTCAGTATGCATGGATAGACGCGTCGAATGGCACTCACTCGTCCAGGAATTTGTTCGCCATCATCAGTGCTGCGACTGCTATCCGGAACTCGCTCCCTGGTAGTCCGTTTGTGAAACGGTTGCGTTCCTTGAGACGCCATATGTAATGCAGCGAGAGGACGATGACAGACTGGCTGACTTGCGTCGTTTCGAGTAGCTTGTGCATGAACTGGACAAAGGCCGCGGATGGAGCGAGTTGCAGTGGCGATGTTGTGGCGGGTATCTCTGGAGAGTAAGGGGGACTCGGTATTTGCTGTGACGAGGAGAAGTGGGAGGACGGAGAGGGAGAGGAGAACCAGAGATAGCAGACCATCTCACATGTCTTCTCAGCGATGAAGCTGGCTGGACGTTTGAGAGTTGAGTCGAACCAGTCGATGAGGTGAGGGGCGTCATCTGGTATGAATGGCTTGTGTTGGAACGGTGGCTCAAAGACATCAACCTCGTCGTCATACCGCTGCTTTGTCCACGGAGGCGTGACTGGTGGTAGACACTGCTGGGTGGGTCGGCGGTCGAAGTGAGTTATGGGGGGCAGCGAGACGAAGGCGGTGGACATGGGCGGGGTGATGAGGCCATGGGAGGACCTTCGCCAGACATCAAGCGGTAGGAGAGTCGAGGTGGCCATTAGGATGAGTGTGGATGGGACAGGCCACCATGGTTGTTTTATAAAACCAGGGGCCCGCTTAGGAAAATCATAAAATAATAAGGAGGTGTGTGTGTTTTTGCAGAGGGACTCGAAGAATTTTGCAACCTGCCATGCATGCCACGGCGCCTCCGAACTCTCTCCGAGTCCCGCTTCGTAGGCGTAGCTGCTCCTGCGCAGATCTCACCCACCCACCCGTCTGGGAAACTCTCTCCCACGCTCTGCCACGGGGACTTTCCAGGGATTCCCCATAGCCTTGCCCTTATCCCTCCCCACGTGACCTCCTGTTTCACCCATATCACGGCCACAACACCCATAGTATAATGAAATTTAGCCTTATTATTTATTTTTCTTTATTTATTTATTATCGCCCGGCCAACTTCCACCGAGCCGCCACCTCGTCCCACTGCACGCCCTTTTGATCATTGTGCATGATAATAATTTAGTGATGAAACCATAATAATATCTCGCTCTCTGTCCCCCCCCCGCGGCGGCCTTCCCTCTGCGTTCCGGCCACCACGGTCCTCCTCCGTATAAACCATATCCTATCCTATTTGACTGCGCAACGACGTAAACCCCGACGTGACGGTCTAGCCTGCACCCCCTCGGCGCGTAAACCTGCCATTTCGAGCCTGCATTCTCGCTACATACCGCCACCCATTCTCCGGCTCCTCCGGCAATCCTTTACTGTACTAGCAACTGCCTTTGGCCTTGAAGTCTATTAGGAGGGGCGCGGCTCTACTACAGTTGTACGGATTATGACATTGATTCCGGCAATAATATTTTTGTCTGCCCTCCAATGCCTTCTCTACTGCTTTAGGCCCGCCCGTGCGGTAGCTCACCGCCTTTGTTCTAATTCATTCGGGTGTCCCGTTTATGTGTGTGGGTCTCCTGCCACCACTCCGCTCAAACTGTCCATGACATGATATGATGGTAATCATTCCCCCATCAATCCCAGGCCCTCCCGAAACTACTCGGCTGACCGCGCCGTCCAATTGTTTGTGGTCGCCGCCTCACCCCTGTTATAGGTAGTCACTTGCGAACGTTAGGGGGGCCCACTGCGTCGCCCCTTCTTCCAAGGAAACGCTTAATACTCGACAGTGAACCTTCTGGAAAATAATAGTTCGCCACATGAATTAAATAAAGTACATATTGGCAGGCTAGGCACCTGTCCGATTCATTATCAGACTGGACACGACAGCAACTTTCTTGTCCATCCGCATCGTATCGCGGCAATGTTCCTTTCTGGTGATCCCTTTCTTTATTCGATCACGAAACCTAAACGTTCTCGTCCACACAGTACTGCAACCCGCAATCGGAGACTCCCATCTGTTCTGGTATCTTTGACTCTTTCCTGTGTACCTCGCTCTCTCCCGTCCGACCGCGCTAAACTCGAAACCATCTTTCTCAACATCCCTTTTTGAGCCACTACCGTATCAGCGCATATGTATATGGCATCGCACTCCAGTCTATTACCTGTCCCTCACGTGTCCATATGCATCACGTACACCGGAATGTATCGCCTTGCTGCCACCCACTGACCGGCCAAAAACTCAGCTCCTCCCAACCTTTCCAGGTTTCTACGCCTCTGTGCCGTTCCCATGGCCCCTTTCATATCACGTGTGTCATTGTGAGTGTGCGTATTGCCATCCATCTTGTTCCACAGCTAGCTCTTGCCGAGTTTGGCTGACCCGAGAACGGGTGCAGAGACCGGTGTCCATAATACCCATCGCTTCCAGAAGGTAATACACACGATTCAGCCCATACAGAAGCTGTATGTGTGGATAGATGAAACTTACGTATAGCCATCCCCCAACCCCACATTACCCTGACCACCCCTACCCGCTGGGTAATTATCACCTCACACGAAATAGCGTTCAGGCAACACACGCATCCATACAGAAGGGGACCACGCACCTCTCTGATGCCGTGACCCTCGAACCCTCCATACCCGTACTATCCACTTCCCAAGTGGCGAAAAAGCGGGTTTCACCTGTGCGCCAAAACTGGATCCCAAAGTACGCCGATAACGCTGATCCGTGCCCACAGCTAGCTGCGCAGGGCCAGTGGTTACACAGAATGGAGTACGTCACTGATTTCGTTACTAAGTACACGGGCAGCTTATCATTGTCCGAACGCATCAAATTGGTGACTTAATCCGCCCCCAACCTCTGAAGCGAGCAGTCAGGGCAGGGTTGACACCCTCCTGATCGATTTCCTCACGCTGTCCAGTAAGTTAGACCGCTACAAGGTTTCAAATCTGCTTGGGTATGGTTTTAACTACTTACATTGACGGACCTCTTCCTTTGCTTCCGGCTGTTTGGTCCGTGCGATCCTTTCTCATGGCGCTCATCGGCGTTGCATAGTTTCCCCAGCCGGTAATGCTGCACGCACCTGCGATGGAACATATGTCACACTCCACGGAACAAAGCAAGTACATTCCGATCGTCTCTATTACTCAGACGCCGCGCTTGCTCTCGACCCATCATTATGGATCGGTGCATACATATGCCTGCGCGTTTTTGGCGCTTCGTCTCGTTCGCAGTGCGGACCGCCGACCCGCACGGTGGGCTATAGGCGTAGGTGGTAAGTACCGTGCATGTCGGGTATGTTTATGGAGATATGTGCACTCGCGATCAGTGTGTATGTGGCTGCAACAGATGGGTGGTATGGACTATAGCACGATGCGATATACATATGGGGTATTGTAAACCATGCGATTGGCAATGGGTCATTGTCGGTTCTAGCCACCTTGTAGGCAAGTCCGCCGCGATCATGGGCTCCGTTGGCGCCACAAGGGAATATCGTCTTAGTGCGTCCCATAAGTATCTAATGCATGCATGTGCACTCTAAAGAACGCACTAGCAACGTGGGCCGGCCGTCGACTAGAGGTTTCACATGCTTACTCGAATGTAGCACCACGTTGACGAGCATGTGCATATTCGAATCGAGTTGTGATTCAGTTACACGAGCGAGTTTTAGCCATAATAGCCCCACTAGGCTATCTAAGTTTCGAGGTGGGTACGTTCTAGTATGTACTTGGACATGGTGGGAGCGAAGTATGTACGTACGTATGGCCGCGGGGTTATGCATGTATGTACTTGGTCAGTGTCGGGTAATGTTCAGGTCTGGCCAAGTATGTAGTAGCGTTCCAGCTTCGGCAAGGTGTACTTACAGGAAGAATGTAATATAAAAAAAAACAAGTGCATCATCATTAGCGGAGATTTGCGGGCTAGCCTAAACTTCCTATTGCCCGACTGTCAAGCTGTCTCAACTATGAGTACAATTGCTAGTGAATTAATAAGTGATGGTGACCTCAGTGATAAAAGTTTGTATACTAAATACTACTGAACTGCCACAGACTAGTCTGACTCTTGCTACTAGTAGCTTCTTTCCCGACGTGATCTGAGCATTTCGTGGCCTTTCCCAAATGGAGGCGTGCAAACGTTAGCACGAATATGGATAAGTACGCCATAATAGCGGCAGAGTTGGGAACAGACTGAGTCCCTCATGACATGCCCAGTGCTTCTTCTGCAGGGATGAGTCATCGATATGATCCTCAGGTCGTTCGGACGCAAATGAGTGTTTTCACCGGCCCAGACCCGGATATATACGAGGTAGTATATGTACGATTGAACCGAGTGTCGGCGTAAGGCTCATCGGACGAAAGGAGAGTATGGACATACGGCACATGCCTGGTAAATCTCTTGTCCGCGACACAGCGCTAATACGGTTCATGGTAAGCTCTCTATTTTTCTATTTGTTCCCGAGGCCGCATCTAAGGGTGTATATCGGGAGGGCTAGGAACGATACGGTATATACGATACGTAGACAACACCCCCGGAATGTAACTGACAACACATAGTGCCGCAAACCAGGGACGACGGAACGCAGCGCGACGCACGCACACACGTCAGTCGGGAGACCCACCGACCAACGTAGCAGAAATTTTTCCTTGATTGCGGCAGATCCGACTCCCCCCCAACGGCGTCTAGGTTAAAAAAGGGTTGGGAATTCGAATTCTTTTTTTTCTCAGAATCTCGTGGCAGGCCGCAGTAGTGAGCAATGAAATGGTTTCGTACTACAGAGGGCATTCGCAGCCTAGCGTGCGAACGCACTTTGTGGTACTCTTTGCAATCCCTTTCTGTTTGCCTCTCTCAGCCAAGTCTGGATCGGCAAAGAGACAGAAAGAAAAAAAAAAAAAAAAGGATTCCGAATCAACGTCAGGCCGTCGATCATAACTTTCCTTTTCGCGCGCCACAGAAAAGTTGTGGTAAGCGGTCCCCTCCCTTCCCCTCCCATCTCCGGCCCGTCGCTCCTCCATACTTACCTTCCATAAGTACAAATACTGTCAAGTCAACGTTCTAACTGTAAAGCATTCGTGGGAGGGGAACAAAGAGTGTCAACATTGCTGCCAGATCATTCATGACAAAACCCGCGTGTCGCCGATCTATTGCTTACATAATTTCAACTTGGGAGAGCCGTACCTGGACATCACAGCCACCAATTCGGAAGCGGTGAATAATACCTGCCGATAAAAATTCCGTGAGGTATTTCTTTTCCTTCTTCTCCCAAATTCGCTTTGGAAAATAATATAATAAAGGGTCCCCCCGAGTCTGCGTGTGACGAAACGCAACTGGAGGACCCCGATATACTTATTGACGTGGACGGCGGCGATCTTTGAGTAACACAGGGTGAGATGAGACAGGAGGCGAGAGTAAGAGCGGCGATGCGCGTCTTAATTCTGAACCTGAGGAGTTGGATGTGTTTGGCGGTGTCAGTTTTCCAAAAGAGTGTGATAAGTTGATGCGGGGGCCCTTGTAGAACGTTCTGCGTCAACGTTTCGTTACTTTCTTCTTTGTGTCTTTAGTTACTAGGCGGACTCAGGAACTAGTAGAACGGCGTTGTATGACGTGGAAAGCAGTATAGTCCACGTACAGCAAATTTGGGGTGGTGCATTTCGCGAATAGTGGCAAGTGTGGTCCGGAGGTGATGCGACCCGGAACCTACAGGTACACAGTACTGGTACCCTCTTCTTCATGTTCCGGTGTTACTTACCCATCATAGTAGAAACCACAACCGCACAAAGTCCTTGGAATAACCCGGGCGCAATCGGCTCATGGCGGACCGTCACGGGGCTTCAGTCAGGTGAAGATCTTATATCCGAGAACCGCTTCTAAGGGCTGTGAATGGAGAGAGGAGGAAAAACAAAAGGGAAGAACAAACTTGGTGAACGTGTTTTCTGCTTAGAGATCTCCCAAAGAACGGACCGACGTGATAGTATGGAATGATGACGTTTCCCGCGGGCGTCCGTTAGTGGAACCGTCACATCAGCCCCTAATACGGTGCGGCTTGGACAGTGACATGCGCTGTGACACCGCGCACATGAATACGTCAGGTGTAAGCTCTGCGGTCGTGAGAAGTACATACATACAGGCAAGACATCACCGCCCGGATACCCTTTCCACGTCAGCCAAGAGGGAGAGGAACGTAGTAATCTCGAAAAAAACTTCTGGGGTGCATGACAGTGATGATATGATGTGGTTACTTATTACTTATCAGATATGGATATGTACAGATCAATTGGCCGGTACTCACCATTGCAATCACCCAGAACTATGCACGTAGCAACCATCCGAAGGATAGTGCCATAGCACGAGTAAAAATTTCCGCAACTAATCATAGCTACGCTGATGCGCTCACTGCGCAAAAAGTGGTTGCCGTCGCCCCTAGGTAGTAACCTACCTGTCGTAGTAACTTCTGCCAGATCGTGGGTCCATCTTGCATTGCCGCCACATCATCAATATATATCGCCCTGGCAAGGGGAATCACTGGCTTGGATATAGGTATCTTCGCGGGTTCACACTCGCAAGCGGTAATAGCAGTCTGTGATCCCTGTCTTTCTGTCTTTGCGGTGATTGCCAATGTCACGCCACGTGGCAAAATGGGGGGTCCTGTCTTTCTTTTTCTTTTAGATAAAAAAAACTCCTGGTCATAATAACACACCGCGGAACCCGGCTGGCGCTTGCAGACAGTTGCAATGCAGATCTGTCAGCCTGAACACGAAACAAAAAAATATATGCTATGCGTAATGAGAACGGGGGTGGCAGTCTGAGGTGACAGACTCCCTGTGGGTGTTGCACTCGGACATGATGCTGATAAACCATTTCATCCACATGTGCTGCCGGCGAGCCGGGCACTCATTGCATATCACGTGTTGTATTGATCAATCCAGCATGTACGACCCTTCTTACGTTTCGCCAGGTTTTGCCCCGTGTAGCGCAATATGCGAGCTACAGCATTGATCATGTTGTATTGTCTGGCTGGTTAAAAGAAAAAATAGGGGCGGGTCATGTGGACCGTCGGAATTTCGTTAGCCTTGTGAGTATTCCTCTGGAAGTCACCCGTATACAATTAGCGCGGAACTGTTCCGCTGCAAAGTGTCAATTGTGGTGAACCGCTGCAGCGATACAATCGATCTCTCAGTGAGGCCTGAGGCCCAGCGGAAGACAATCAAGTTCTGTTCCGTCTTGGACTAAGATGCGTGTCTCCTCTCAATCCAATTCAGTACGTATGTATACAGGTTTCCAAATCCACACATCTCCGCTGACCTTGCCATTATTCGACACTCCGATATCAGCTGGATCTAATTGAGGACAAGGCCCGAGGATGGTCAAGCACTGATTTGTGGTATTACAATGCACCGCTGATCATCGGACGCACTTGGACAGATTCAGCATCCTCCGACATGCTGGGGTCGAGGCCAGGTTACATACGACAAGTACTATCCGAGTCAGCGGTCTTTGGTGCCGGTGCGAAGCAGTCAAAGTGATCTGTGACTACTGGTATGTATACAAGTACCGCTCCCAGTTGTTTCTTTGACGTTTCCTGTGGCATTTGAAGATAAGTACCACCCCAGAACCTACTGCTACCATGCAGGTCTCGATGCTGGCGTTGTAGTGGATCGGATAACGGACGCCACGCTGTCGGATATATGGCTGGATGCCCTCGGATCATGCCATGGGTCATGGGTGGGCTTTCCGCAACCACCCATTCAATCGGGAAGTCGACGAATAAGAGAACTGCCACTACCGACGCTATATCCGGCAGCAGTGGCTGAGTTCCTGCTGAGCTGGTGAGAGGTTAACATGGGGATAGTATTCCACAGATATGTACTAATCCCGATTCTGGGCTTTCATGCTAATTTGCCCCTGGCGCGTGGTTCTGCTCGTTGACTCGGAGCCAGCGCAATGCCTGTGTGCTGGAGCTGGGTCTTGGTCTTCAATGCCTCACCGCCACAATACAATTGCAAATCCCTGCGTCGTTGTCAGGTGCCAGTGATCCTTGGTCGAACTTGAACGAAGGTGATTATTTGGATCGTCCAAATTTGCATCGGAAGACCAGGTATGATTCCACGTCTGATCGTGTTTGGAATGTGTCCTGTATAGAGCAAACAATATCGATGGTGGCCAACAGAAAACGTTTCAAGAGGATCGATATCGATGGGTCTTTCATATCGCCATCGGGAACGACGACAAAAGCGATGCGCCAAAGAACGGGTCGATAGCTCGAATGAGACATTCCTGAGTCATACCAACAGATTGAGGATCCACAGGAGCCACTTGGATCGCGCCTGTGTACCAACGTTTCAGGCCATACAAGGAGTCGCACGTTCCATGTAGGTGTGATGTTTGTGCCATTTCGTACTTTCAAGTCCCTGATTAAAATCGATGAGCTAATACGCCATTTATACGTATGCGATGAAGTCATTCCATCGATCGATACGGTTTTCGATGGATAGTCTGGGATTCGGACTTGCATGCAACGTTGAGTTGGGAAAGTTCGAGGTGAGGCGGCTCCACATTTACGCCAGCCGAATATAGTCGCGTCTGGTCTTTCTTTCTTATTCTTATTCTTCTCCTTTGGTTCCGAGTTGATTTGGAGTGGATAAGTTTGGTCGATGGCGGACTCATGGGATGCCGCTTTGCGTATGTGCAGGCTATACAGATCTCACGGCCTGTTGGAATCAGCAGGTAAGCCCAAGGCAAGGAAAGAGGTAAGTCGCCGCGCCCATCTGTCATGGAAGCCACGATGTCGTGTTTCGTTCCGGTTTCAGGAAAATACCCCATACATACGGATATTTAATTTCACCAAGTTCCTTGGACGTACCCGTCGGATGATGGTGCGTCACGAGTACTGCCGATGGTGACGGTGGCGGTTCTGTAACTTCTTGAGGTGGAGTACTCGACCCCGGTCAGCATCACCGCTGTACGAGAGAATTGAAACGGGGGGTTTCGGGCGTCCAAGGTCCGCGGATCCATCTCCCCTTCCCTCCGCATCTGTATGTGAGAATCCCAATATGGGGTTATTCGGGGTCTCGGACTGCTCGCAAGTTTAGGCACGACCTCGATGTGCCTTACTGGAGGTCTCAAGTGTGGCTGTGAGGTCTGCTTCGTGCCAGCGTGGCAAAGCGTGGCAGTCGATTTTCTTTTCTTTTCTTTTCCTTTTCTTGCGATGATGTTGCTTAACAGCGTGTTTAGGAAAGGAAGCTTTCTCGGGACGAAAGTCGATGCATAGGTGCGGGGGAACTTCAACGTAGCTCGGGTACTTGGTAATACCGAGTGCTGTGGCGACGGGGTGAATCTCCGAGAATCAGTTTCGTTTCGTTGTCGATAGATGTTCCATGTACCTACGGAGCTGTATTGATGCCTGATAATTAATTTCTGGCACAGAATACTGTTTGGTCCAGGGCTATACTCAGTACAATATCAAAGTTGGAAGGGTCATTTTTGACGTGATGATGGGTGGACTTAAGTAGAACTTGTCGCAAGCTAGAAGTCGATGCAGAGTGACATCGTCTGGCTCATTTATTTACGCTGTACATACCGGCTCGACGTCGTGTGGGATGATGGCGGTGAGGTTGTGTGTGTGGCGTGGTAACTAATTGCACGCAGCCCCGTCGCGGGCCGTCGTCGCAGTGGAATCCAAATCGAACTCATTGGAGTCGGCGGCTGGCCCCTTCTGCTCAGCGTCTTTGGCAACGACGTCGACCTTATTATCGAAGGACTTTTTGTCTGGGACATTTCCAACTTTATTTCATTCGCTCTCTGCCACTGACACGCACGTTCTCGCTCAACCCAAGATCCTTCGACGACGTTGACATTCTGCAGTCAAACAAAAGCTCTGCCTAAGGCTGCTATTCCCCTGAGAAATGGGTATCAGTTTTGGGTCCTTCGATGGCGTATGTAGCACCGCTGCGCTAGTCATCTGCCCGCTATTGGGCGCATCTGGTCAAGGCATCGAACCCAATTGTTATTCTCGCAACGTGCAAATCGGGTCCACGCTCATCTTCCAACCATGTAAGTTCTTCCTGTCCTGACTCTCTCTCCCTTGGATCCTCACCTTCCGTGGCCACAATTATTCAGCAACATGCTTCGTTCACATCGTCGCCATTATCATGACTGCGATCATGATCTATCACATCCGTTCCAAGTACACCGCAGTTGGTCGTAAGGAAATCGTCATGTTCTTCTGGTTGTACATGGTTATCGAACTGCTTGCGATGTTTCTCGACTCCGGAATCATACCAACGGCCAACATTAGCTATCCTGTAAGCGTCGAATAATATTGTCGGATCTGAACGTGGCACGCTCACCGAGGAAAACCCGTAGTGGTTTGCCGCTGTTTACACAGGTCTCATTGCAGCTGCATACTGCTGTCTTCTGATAAACGGCTTTGTCGGGTTCCAGTTCGCAGAAGACGGCACCCCTCTCTCGCTATGGGTTGGTTTCCTCCAGTGGTTCTTTGTAATTACGTTTACGTTTCTGACACCGCTCTCCTCTTCAGTTCCTCCGATTATCGTGCCTTTTCATCTTCGGAGTCTCATTCCTCATCGCCATTGCAACCTTCAATTCCTTTATCGGTTTTTCCCCAACCAAGACCACTGCTCTGTTTATTGTATACCTCATTTGGCCCATCTTCTGTGTCACGACGTACACACTGTCCCAACTTGTCCTCGTGTTCCGGACGTTGGATGACCGCTGGCCACTGGGCGATATCATTTTCGGCATTGCATTCTACACTATCGCCCAAGTCCTTCTCTTCGCTTTCAGCGTCACCATTTGTAATGCCATCAAACACTATCTCGATGGACTCTTCTTCTTTACGCTCTGCGTTCTCCTGAGCGTTATGATGGTATACAAATATTGGGACAGTATCACGGTACGTGTCAAACGCCACTGATCTCGCATCCAACATTCGTACTTACGTTGTCTTGTCTGTTTCTGCGATCATTCTACTTTCGTTCGTCCGTCGGCCATGTAGCGGGAGGATCTGGAGTTCTCGGTCGGATCCAAGGCTGCTGTCTGGGAAGTCAAAGATCCGCTGCTAACGGCGCCCGTTGCCGCGGATTTCGAAGAAGACACGACAAGCAATTATCATACGGGTGGTACCGCGGCGAGTTTGGTCGGTGGCGTGAGCGGTGGGCAATATTATTATGGCGGGGGAGGCAAAGGCGGAGCAGGAGGAGGGTACTCGCAGGGGGGATACGGAGGTGCACAACGAGGTTACCCACCTACATCAGACAGGTATTGAAGACTTCTTTCGGTGACTTTTGGGGGGATGGACCTGGATAAGTTTAAGCTAAGTACGACGACACGGACGTCGTTTAATGATCCCCTCCTTTGGTTTACGATGTGCATTACAAGCTGAGCTGTAGACTTAGGTTGAGTTGCATCTGGTGACCCTGTCCTTCCGAGTTGTTTACAAAGTAGTACTTAGAGAACATACAGGTGATATATCATACATCGGAACCGCCATGTCAGAGTCCATCGGTCCCCAAATTCCATCCCATCTGCTTCTAACTGTACTTGCCACCGCCGACGACGACTCAGACGAAGATGATTACATGCCAGCGCTACCACCCGACCTGACAACTGCGCGAACTAAAACTGGTCCGTCTCTGCCACCCAAGGGTCCGATTGCGCCGTACTCTGCATCTGTGTCTACCGAGAAGTCAGCGTCAGGCTCACGGTCTTCCTCGAGTGCTCCGGCTCCTTCGAATGCAGGTGCCAGAAGAGTATATGGACCTGCGTTCCCCACCGTCGGTCCTTCTGAAACAAAAACTCGCGCTGGACCGTCTTGTTATTCAGACAATTCGGACGGGGACTCAGACTCTGAAGTAGGCCCTCAACCTCCTCCAGCACATCTTGCCTCTGCCAACGCCCCCAACGAAGGAAATTCGGCTGTAGAAGAGTTTATCGAGAGGGAGGAGAGGAGACGGAAGAATGTGGAGGAGGCGAAGAAACCTAAGAAGTTGGAAAGAGAGGAGTGGATGCTCGTTCCACCTAAGAGTGGGGATTTGCTGGCATGTGAGTAGCTCCTTTCCTTTCTTTTATTTGCGGGGCCGGTCGGTGTCGAGGATATCGTGGGTACACTATCCTACCTTACTGTATGCTGTCTTGCCGTGTCCCCTGTCCTGCCGTATTCCACCCACGCACTAAACCTCCAATCTCATCAATAAATCCCAACAGCACTCGATCCCACCAAACTAAAAGCCCGCCAATTCGGGCGAAGTTCTGGCCAAGGCCGCGACGTCGACAACTCCCTCTGGACAGAAACCCCCGCCGAACGACAACAACGTCTCGCAGACGAAGTCTCTGGTCGGAAACGGAAGGCAGCGAATGCAGAGCCCGTAGAAGACCCTGAGGATGCGAGGAAGAAAAAAAAGAGGGATGAAGAGATTCGGAGGGGTGTCGAAGAGCATACGGTATGTTTATCTATCGGCGTTTCGCCCTATCTCTTTATTATCTATTGTTCTGATGCTATGATGTTATTACAGCGCAGAGTTCGGGGTGCCGCATTGGTCAATTCGCATATGGAGCGCGAGGCGCAGAAGAAAGGCGACGCCAACGAGGAACCAGCCGCCATATGGGATCACTCACGCGACATGTCAGTCGGGGGTCGTCTCATGGACGAGAAACAAAGAAGGCAAATGTTGAGAGAGGCGAGAGCCCTTGGGGACAGGTTTGGAACGGGGAAGAGTGGCGGGTTTCTGTAGAAAGGTTTACACTCCGTACGTATGTGCCTCGAGTTTTCCTGAGTTTCTGTGATTTTTTTGTGCTGTGTGCATGTCTTTAATTTATGTTGAATTCGATGGTTCCAGCGTCTATCATGTCAGTCAAGGAGAACTCTACATCTTTCAAGCGCATTCTGTTCGACTTTGTGGAGACGTTGCTGTCCGATTTCGAGGGTTGGGTCATGGTCACATCAGACACATACGGTCTATCTGAGTTCTGCGTATGCTGACGATACCTTGGGGTTCTATCGTGAACTCATAATAATCTGCGGTACGATCAACCCACGCTCAACTGCGATCTTATGTGCGGACATGAATTCTATGACCCGAATCCCAATGAGTCGCGTCTTAGAGTATCTCGCACCGTAGGTTCGTGATAGGTGACCGTCGTTGGCAGTCTTGCACTCAACGGCAACTACACTGTTTAGCAAATCGGAACAGTACATCCCTTCTATTTCGCTGATTTTATTGCGTAGGGCCAGTTGTCACTCATGGCCACACTAGATGTCATAGGTGTTCAGATGAAACCAAGTAATTCACACGTCCCCGTCCTCACTCATCCTCTGGAAAATAATGGCCGCTGTCACCTCGCGTGAAGTCGTCAATGCAAGAAGCCTTGGGCTCCTTGGGTAGTAATATGCCTTGCTCTTCCCCTCGAGTGAGTCCGGGACCATACGGTGTTTGTGCTTGACGAGTCGACAGTTGAGCCCCAACCACATACTTGCATTTATAAATTTATAAATCAGTTTCGCATGTGGGTTCGAGACCTCGAAGCGGACTTGGGCATTAGGTGGGCACCGACACTCCTGTTTGGCACTTTTTGTTATTTGTTAACTTATGGGAAGTAGTACAGAGAACCACCCATCATTCCTTTTCGTAGACAATACGACCGGGTATCCCGAGGGCAGATACGTACCTGAGCGACTTCGGATGTCAAGTCGTGAACACAGACAAACTTCACTAACCAACACCGCACACTAGAATTCTCTTGACATCCATTTTACACACCCGACATAAAAATGCATAGTACAGGCTATATTGGCTAGTTCTACGTGGGGTACACTCAACTGGGAAGGGACATGAACGGGAACGAAAGGAAAAAGAGAACCAAAAACAAAGGGAAACTCGAGGACGTTAGTCTCGTAACCCGCCATTTCAGGACGCATGCATCTGGGGGAAACTGTCTGAGGCAGAGACCGAAACATCTGGTGCTGGGACTATCGGAGATGCAGCTACTACCACGGGTAAATGTTGGTCATTAGCCTCTTGAACCTCTGTTCAAGGTTCGGTTTATGGCCATGAACGAATTCGTACAATTGTCCCTTGATACAAGCTGCATGCAAATCCATGGGGTCGACCCATGATGACTGAAGGAGTTCTTTATACAACCCTTTGAGAGAGAATTTCTCTTCAACTGTTCTGCAATTGAAAAACCCGTAGTCCACAGCAACAGACGGCACAGGATCCACATCTGGGGAGTTAATGAAGAGTTTGAGGTACCATACACTAGGGCGCACATCGCATCCGAACTCGAAGGCCTCGAGATTCCGGACTTGCTTTCGTTCTGGTTCAAGCCCCTTTGCATCCATCAACGCGACGAGGCTGTTGGATTGAAATGCAATCCAAAACTCCGCGAAAGAGCATTGAGAGATGAGTCTCCTGTACACCTGGGACAACACCTGTTCGCCTTCGTAGTCGCAGCAGGTTACGAAGCCGAATTCGACATAGAGGTCGCCGTTCATATTATCAGACTTCGAAGTGGGATATGGATGGTACCCGTTCAACAGAATAGCATACAACAAGAACGACTTGCGTTTCGCTTCTGGGATTAACTGGTGGGGATTCTTCTCCCTATCCGCTGGATCGAGGTATGGTCTGGCAACCGCTAACATGTCGGGGGGTCCACCTTGGGAGTTGAAGATGTGCAAATTCTGGCGGAACCATGCATAGTACGCGCCAGGAGTGTAGTTGGTCATGGTTTCATGCTTTGCTATGATATTTTCAGTCAGCGTGCCCTCAATTTGCCACTTGTGCAATTCCCGGCTTCCGACCTTCAAAAAGCGGACCAGAAAGGAGTACAGGCCAAAGAGTTTGGTTGAATCGTAGGCCGACGCAAACTTTGTGAATCCGAAATCTTCTTTGGTGTCTTCATCAAGGTCATCGAGCCAGTCTGTACAGCAAGCCCGGACGAGGTAGTCGGCAGTATCGAGAGGTCGACCTATGGCACACTTGAAAGTATGTCTATAGGAGTCCCACTCGTTCTCGCAGCGTTCACTACACAGCCACGGTCCGCGACATTTAGAGCACTTCCTCGTAGTCTCGCGTTCGCACTTTTCACATTCTCCAGAGAGCTCTGGAGTTTTGTGGCACTCCGAAGCTATGGGTATATCGTAGGTTTCAGTGGCTTCAACGGTTTCAACTTCTTTGACTGGGTCAGAATTCCTACAAATACCATGGTTGGCGCTCACGATCGGCTACGCAACGGAAGCACGCACATGATTAAATCCATTATACTGAAACCAAGTTCACGTCGACGGACGAAAGACGACTGGTGATTATAATCCGTAACTGCAGCCGTTGATTCGGCGACATGAGGAGTGGTCGTAATAGCCTTCATCATCTCGTCAACTAGGAGGTTCTGCATCTTTTTCAACGCGGAATGGAGGGCGGTGACCATGTCCTCAAAAACCCCACCTATGTCCGGGATGGACCACAGCGTGTAGATTTTGCCGTGACCCCCGCGAGTCCTGAACGTAATGCCATCGTGGTTGAAGCTCTCAAGGAATGCTGCACAGAGAAAGCAGGATAACTTGCTGCATCCAATGTATGGGTAAATTTCCTTGTCCACGGTCTTGATATCCATTGTCTTTATGATGTGAACAACAAGTTGAAGCTCTGCATGAGTCGGGAGATGTTGCCGAGAGATGTTATTCTGAAGCTCTTTGAAAGCGCGTTCCGCACCAATAACGCCGGACTTTTCGCTGATGAATTTCTTAACAAAGGTCGGATTCAAGGTCTGACCCAAGAACTTGATCGCATCTGTCAAAGGCGGCAAAGTGGCTGGACAGGTACGATGTGGGGAACTCTTCACAAAAATGATGGATAGACCGGAAAATCCTGGTAGATTGAGCGCCGCTTCCATGAGCGTATAATAGCAGGACCTCAGACGGCCCAAGAAGAGGATGTCCGAGAGAAGCCCACGCCCAATGGAAACCTTAGGACCGGAATTGATAAATATCCTGAGAAATGTCATATGCCGGATGGAATAGGTATGCTCAACGAGAAGGCGCCGCTGAGTCGCTCTGTTTCCAGTGCAAAAAATAGCATCAAGTTCGAGGATATGCTTCTGTGCAAGCTTCATGTAGTCGTCATGAGTAGCCTCTGAGTACGGGCCAATGCAAGAGTCGTCGCAGAAAAATTTGTGTTCAGAATCATCATCCTGTGGTAGCCGAGGGCTGTAATGAGGAATGCTGTCCAGGGATCCAGCCGCTTTGAACGCTTTCAAATTGGCTCGTAAGCTATCTGCATAAAAATCGAGGCGAGGTTGGTTATAACACAACAGTTCCTCCCAGAGCTCATTTTTGACCGCAGATATATCTAGGATGCATGAATCATCAAGTCTGATATGGATGCAGAGAAGAACGGGCCTACCGTTTTGCTGTCCGGAAACAGATGTACCGATAGTGGCAAGCAGCTTTTCAAGCCTGCGACGGAAATTCTCGTCCAGATTCTTGAAATTAGCATTACGAGCAACTAACAAAGAAATCTTGACGTCCTCCTCGAGGCGTTGATCTCCAGACTCGCGGAGCGCTACGCAGCAGACATGTTTTCCGCCCTTGTCTCTAGACATGATCTCCGCGAACCTGTCTAAAAAGCGCTGCTTGAATTCATCTTCCTTACCACCCCAAACGGTCGACTCGTCGTCCGCACAAACATCATTGTCTTCATGTTCCTCCTCTTCCTTCTTGCTCGGTTGAAGCTGGCCACCGTTGCGCAGGGATAGCAAGTTAACTAGGCTGATGAATTGTTCAGGGTTGTCCAACCGAAACTTGGCCATATTAATCGAGCTCTCTCGAGGGAGTCAGACGAGATGGGTTGACCAGGTTAGAAGGGGGGGGATTCAATAAGCAATAGATTGACGCTCGTAGATGTTACCGTGGGACACCAAAAGCAGATATTGAGAGAGGCCAGACCCCTCGGCCACAAGTTTAGAATGTACAAGAGCGGTCTCGCTTACTGCCGGTACCTGGATGGCCCAGTTCACCTTCTGAAAGTGATGCTGTGCCATCCTCGCAGTGCTTTGCACCGTAGTTTCGGGACAGCCAACAGTGGCCAGGAACTTGCACTCGACAGCGAGTAAGCTCTTTAGCAATTCGGATCAGTGTAGTGGCATTGGGCCTTAGTGGATAAACCGCTTCGACGTTGTTGATGTTGATGCATCGGACTGCGACCGGGCCACAGCTACGGAGTGGTCGACAATGCGGAGAGATTGGCCTATCCGGGCACACTTGATGAGGTGTGTACGTCCATGATTACTAGTCCCGTTGTCTTGGTAAAACATTTACTGTATAGTCACGAGCTGTGATATCCGAAGAGTCTCCTCGCATTTCCTCGCTCACATCTCCGCATTCTCCAGAGAGTTCTGGAGATTGACAGTCAAAGAGCCCGAGAACGTCGATTCACGCCGAGCGACCGGAGTCTAGCCATGTCGATGAATTGGGCATCAAGTATTCGTGGCAGGCTTGGAGGCGGAGCTGGCAAATTCGACAAAATGGACGTGATATTTAGTATAATAGCACGTACTCCTAGCTCAAAGCGTTCGAGGCGGATCCGGCGAAATGGGTGAATTTCTGTACAATCATGTGGCGACGTGCGTACTTGTGGTCGGTGTAGCAGAGCGAGAAGAAAGAAAAGAGTGGGAAAAAAAAAGAGGTTAAACCGTACAGTATACTGAACAAAGGTGAGTACTTGTGTCTATTCATCATCTGTATCATCTGTAACTTCGGCAGGTGATTCAGGGCGATGAGGAGTTGATATGATAGGCTTGTTGAGCTCGCCGCGCAGTAAGTTTTGCATATCCTCCAATGCAGAATCAAGAGCCATGACCATGTCATCATGCAATCCATCCATGTCCGGGATGGACCATCGGGGGTAGATCTTCCGGTGACTCCCACGCGTTCTGAATGTAACACCATCCAGAGTGAAGTAGTTGATGAAAGCAGCACAAAGGAAGCATGGTAGCCTGCTGCATCCGATATACGGGCATATTTCTCTGTTCATGTTTTCACTATACGCACACCTTGTGATGTAAAGGATGAGCTGAACTTCGGCATGAGTAGGGAGGGGCTTCCCAGAGACCTTGCTCTGAACCTGCTCGAACCTCAGTGTTGCCTTGATGACGTTCCATTTTTTGCTGATGAATTTCTTGACGGTGGTCATACTCAGAGCCTGACCCAGATGTTGCATCGTCACATCCGCCAAGGAAGGTGATGTGTACGAAAGAGAACGACGTTGAAGGTTCTGTACGAGAATTATAGATAGTTTGGCGAACCCCGGGATGCGCAGCGCTGCTTTTACGAGCGTACTGAGGCAAGATCGAAAACGGCCCAAGAGCTGAATGTCTTGGATGAGCTTACGCCCAGTAGAAACATTAGGACAGGAATTGATTAGTATCTTGAGAGACGCCATGTGTCGGATGGAATAGGTATGCTCGGCGAGAGGGCGCCACTGGGCTGCTCCGTTGCTGGAGCACAAAAGATTATCAAGTTCGAGTATATGCTCCTGGGCGAGTCTCATGTGGGCGTCGTGAGTATCCATAGAGTAAGGACCGATGTTAGGATTGTCACAGCAAGTGGTAGGTTCAGCATTGCCATCCTGCAGTGATTCGGAGCCAGTGCTATAAGGAGGGACGCTGGCCAGGGATCCAGCATTTTTGAATGCTTCCAAATTGCTATGCAAGCTTTTCACATAAACGTTGAGGCGCGGTTGGTTGTAATGCAACAGGTCCTCCCAAAGCTCCTCTTCGACCGCAGAGATATCTAGGATGTGCATGTCATCATGCCTGGTCTGAGTGCAGAGAAGAACAGGTGTGCCATTTAGCTCTCCGTAAACAGACGCACCAATAGTGGCGAGTAGCCCTTCAAGCTTGTTACAGAATGTTTCGTCCAGATTCTTGAAATCGTTATTGCGGGCAACGAACAAGGAAACTTTGGTATCCCCATCGAGGCGTCGATCTCCTGACTCACACAATGCTACAGAACATATGTGCTCTCCACCCTTGTCTCTCGACATGATCTCCGCGAAGCTGTCCAGAAAACGTCGCTGGAGTTCACCTTGTTCGCTAATACTCCTAACGGAGGGCACTCCTTCATCTGCTTCATCGTTGTTCGGTCCCAACTGACCGCCATTGCGCAGGGATAGCATGTTGATGAGGTCGATAAACTGTTTGTGGTCTTCCCACTGAAAATTGGCCATAACAATGGTGTCTTCGCAAGGGAAACAGACAATGGGCTCACTGGGTTGAGGGGTTCAGTAAGATGACTATGTAGCAGGATGCAACGTGTCAGAAGGCGTCAGCTTGACGGCCATGAAGCTTCCAGAGCCAAACAATAGTGCACGAACCTGCGTTGCCCATCGTTTGTCATTGTGCGCAGCAACAATGACTGCCCGTTTGAACGTAGGCACTCAACCTAATACAAACCTGACTTACTCGCAACCGTGCCTGTCACTGTCGACGACGACCCGGATGAAGATGACCACATGCCAATACTACTACACGACCTTGCAGCTGCGCGAGCTAAACTGGCCCGTCTCTGCCAGCTAAGGGACTGGCCATACCGTATCTGGGTTCCCCACTGAGGAGCTGGCATCGGGTTCATGACCTCTGTCGAGTGTTCCAGATGCAGGTGCCAGAAGAGTATGCAGACCTGCATTACCCACAATCAGTCCTTCTGCACATCCTGAAAGCACGACTACCCCTGAACCGTCCTACTCGAACTACTCGGACGCGGACTCGGATTCCAAAGTAGGCTCTCGACCTCCTCCAGCACATTCTCCCTTTTCCGGTGCCCCAAACGAAGGAAAGACGACTGTAGAGGAGTTTATCGAGAGGGAGGAGAGGAGACGGAAGAATGTGGAGAAGGCGAAGAAGCCTAAGAAGTTGAAGAGAGAGGAGTGGATGCTCGTTCACCCGCGCACTAAACCTCTGATCTCATCAATAACATTCAAACAGCACTCGACCCCACCAAACCAAAAGCCTGCCAATTCGGGCGAAGCTCTGGTCAAGGCTGAGAGCTCGACAGCTCCACCTGGACAGGGACCCCCGCCGAGCGACAACAACGTGTCGCCGATGAAGTGCCTGGTCGGAAACGGAAAGCTGTGAATGCAGAGCCGTTGGAAAACCCTGAGGATGCGAGGAAGAAGAAAAAGAGGGATGAAGAGACTCGGAGGGGTGTCGAACGACGAAGAGCATGCGGTATGTTTCTCGGCATTTTGTCCCATGGTTTTATTCTCCATTGTCTGTTTCTGATAGGCTGTGGTGTTATTACAGCGCAGAACTCGCAGGGCCGCACTGGCCTGATATGCATGCGGAGGGCGAGGCGCAGAAGAAACGCGACACCGCCGAGGAACCAGCGGCCATATGGGATCACACACGCGACATGTCAACCGGGGGTCGTCTCATGGACGAGAAACAAAGGTAACAAATGTTGAGAGAGGCAGGAGCCCTTGGGGACAGTTTGGGATGGGCAAGGGTGGTGGGTTTCTGATTTTCACACACCTACTACATATTCTCTTTGTGGCAGGAGGTGACAGTATACAAGAACTCAATAAAAGGTAAGTACTTGTCTCATAATGATTCCACCAATCCCAATCTCCACTTGCATATTTGTTACTAAATACATTCACCAGATTTTGGAACATCCCTACTTTTGGTTGCAGATCAATTTGGAAGTTTTCCCACAATGTGTCAGCCATGAAGAGACTTGCAGCATGAGACTTTGAGGACTTATTACAGGTTTGTGTGAGCCAGAGACAAACATTGTCTACCTATTTGACTTTGGCTGGATTAGTGTGCTATGCCTCCCTTCGAAAATTTGCTGCCAGAGCCTCACAACAGTTGCATGTTGAATTTGAGATCATGTGACCTCAGGGCCAACTACCCAACCACTGCCAAGCAGTGAACAAGTAAAGGAAAATATGACCAAGCCAGGATTTCAATGGTGCTTGTAGGATTAGTGCAGATTACTACTACTATTCGACCTTGCTACTTGGCATGCATATGCAAAACTTCAGCTCCATACATCTGACACACTAGACTTGTTTGACTCTGCAACAGTCTCTCTAGGTCAGATGGTCTGTACTTTCATGAAGACAATGTGTGAGTACTATGACACATGTGAACTACAACTACCACAAGAGACAGCTGTCCATGGCCACCATACTGCAGCAATGGCAGTAAAGACTGGTATATCAAGCTCAGCTGGGTCATCTGGACCCAAATGCAAATCCCTCAATCTGCAAACATACTGTCATAGTTGTGTCTCACCCTGGCTGGACTCAGACTTGCACTCATTCAGTCCAGCCTCAGCCTTGCCAGTCCCTTATCCCCATATAGTCTAGCATGATTAACACTGCTTTGCAGTGCATGTCACTTCAGTTAAGCTCTGACTGGTCTTGTCCCCAGTGTAAGTTAGGTAAAAAGCAATGCTAGGGAGTGCAGGGAACTCCTAGGGCTTGATAGGAACAGGTCTAGTTTGACCCAGAGGAGTTCTGAGCTTGGAGTGGTGAAAAGAGGTGAAGGAGTGACAGGAGTTGATCAAAATGAATGGAGTGGGGAAATGAGTGAGTAAAGGCATCTGGAGGTTGTCTGGGAGTGCCTCAAAGAGGGCTTGTCACAGTCTTTTGTTTTCTGTCTTCAATTTTGCTGTCTCACTGTCTGGTTCTTCCTCTTTTTTTAATTTGTGTACTCTAGATCTACACTAGTGCACAAAAATGCTGGCTAAGCTACCAAAAATGCGCCACACAGGTGGGCTAAGGGCCTGAACAGTAGTGGAATTTCCACTTCCTTATGCAAAACATATACAAACCAACTCTGTGTGGAGTTCAGCAGACTTCTAAGTTGATACTCAGCTGTGGTCACATGGCAATTGACCTCATATGCCACTACACTGTTGAGACCATTGCTATGGTCGAGAATCACCCTATCACTGTGAGGGACAAGAATGATTTGGACAAGGAGGATGAAGATTCTGATACCTTGTCTGATATTGCTCAGAGGGTGCTAGTCTTGCAGCAGATTTGGAACTACATGGTGGTTGCCACTACACTTGGTCTATACCAGGCTGCAGTCTCAACACTTTGAAGTGCTACCCCAGAACCTTACCATATGTCTGCTCTTTCAGGACAGGGATGGCTAAATGAGTTGCTTAATGGGCACCCCAAGTGGATCAGAACTGAGCTCAGCATCTACAAACATATCTTCCTCAGGCTGATATCCATCCTTCATGAAGGGGATCTCCAAGATTCAAAGAATGTCATGTTAGAGGAGCAGCTGGTGACTTTCCTGTATGCAATGGTGACAGGCTTATCAGCTCAGCACATCAGTGAGCAATTCCAACACTCAATGGATACAATATCATGGTGAGTGCACTGTCATTTGGATTGAAATTTTGCTAAACTTTACCCAGGTATTTTAAATGAATGCTCCATGCATTCTCTGAGGGTTGCATTTATACCACATATGTTTGCCTTCCTAGAGCCAATTCACCAGTCCCCAGTTGTATTGCCACCAATCCCAAATTTTATCTGTACTTCAAAGACACCATAGGTGCCCTTGATGGTACACACATCGCATGTGTGCCATCTGCAAGTGAATGAGACCTTATGTGCAACTGCAAGGGTTTCTTATCTCAAAACTGTCTCATTGCATGTTCATTTGATGGTATCATCACATACATTCTCAGAGGCTGGGAAGGGTTGGCTGCTGATGCCATGGTCTACCACAATGCCCACTTGTGGGACTTTGCTATTCCTGATGGGTGGTATTACCTTGCTGATGCAGGGTATCCATTGACTCCACAGCTACTCATACCATACCATGGCCAATGCTATCATTTGGCTGAGTGGGGGCAAGCCAATCTATGGTAAGTACCACTACATTTTTATGTGCATTTGATTCTCATTCATTCCCTACAGGCTGAGGGATGGCAAAGAGCTTTTCAACCTTTGCCATGCCATGCTCCAAAATGACATTGAGTGTAACTTTGGAGTTATAAAGCAATGTTTTCAAACCCTCATTCTCCCACCTGAATATGACATGGCAATCCAGTCCTGACAACATTGACATGCCAGATCCCAATGAATTCAATGAAGATGACAGGCCACTTTTACAGCTGTTTGCAAAACGATGCAGAAAATCTGTTTGACAATTAGTCTGTTTGGATATAGCCAGGATAGGACCCCGAAACCACCTCTATGGTAACATTGTGTAGTGTAAGCACATACTTAGACTTCATCCCTACAGCAGACTTGTTTTTCAACATGTCATTGCCATCACGATCCCCCACTCCTGTTGCAGAAAAATTACATTCTTTCACAATTTCACTTTCTGTCTATGGACCCAAGAAAAAGGAGAAGGGAAAGGCTGCACCAAAAGCGACCATGAAGACAAAAGAGCTTACTTTTGCTGTCAATGATACTAACTACCTTGATTTTCTACAGCGTGTACTGGACAAGCATGGTCAAGGACAATATAGGGTCTCAAGCAGTAAACATTTTCCCTTCAAGTTTGTACCACCCAAAGCATGGAGGTAAGTCGTTTCTCACTCTGCAAATCTGTGCTAACCATGCTTTACCTTAGCCAAGCTGTCAGTAATGCGATTGATGTTGATAACAAAGTCGACTACAAGGATATGGTCGAGAGGATTTGTAGCATTCACCCTGGCCCAACAAAGATCTATGTTGATATGGAACATGTGGAGAAACTTCTGACTATCGATGGCTCTGGAGATGAGAGCAACTTGTCTGGTGAGGATAGTGGAAAGCAGAAACATTCGGACCTTGATATGCACCTTGCCCAGTGGTGCATGAAACTCCTGAGCTGGTGGATAGTCATGTACAATGCATATCTTCAACTAACTTGCAAATTTCCTCACCATGGTGAATGCGGCAGTTGTCCATAATAATAACGCTGCAGGGGCCAGGATATGGGTTGGTAAAAGGCATCTGTTGGATAGATTAGCATGTACCGGCTTGAAGATGATTCACTTATGATGTGCTCCTTCAGAAATTGCAGAAATTGCTCTCCATCAACACCACCCTCGATGATATTGTATGTGATGATGCCATCAAGTGTGATGGCAGGGAGAATAGAGTAGCGCATTCCATGTATGAAGTACCTCCTGACTTGGCAACATAGACCTCTGACTGTTCGCCCATGTGGGCAAGTGGAGGTACACTTGTCCTTGGAAGCTTCATCAATGAAGACGAGCATATTCAAGTCTGGTGCTTCTGCTGCAATGCAATTCATGTAGAGTGCACGTGACTCCTTGTTCCTCTCAGAGGCAGATGTGGAGATGACCTTCCAAGTGATGTGGAGGCCCTGAAGAGTTCGAGAAAGTGTAGATGGAGTGATATGAACTTGATGCTTGAGCCAGAGCTCCTCTTGAAGCTCGTCTAGGTAGAATGTGCTGCAATGTTGAACGATGGCAAGGATAAATGTGATGTCTTTGAGGCTGAGAATGTGATGATGACTGATGGTATGGGAATAAGTGTTTGGGTTGTACATGACACCGTACCTGGTGTGAAGCCTGAGAGTTTTGTAAATGAGTGTTTTCTTGATGCCTAGAATACTACAGATTTGCTTGATGCTATAGCCATTTTGGTGAAGGACAGGAATATGAGACTTGAGGTTGATGAATACCATGCGAGAGGGCATGTGGGCAGTATGTTTGATTCTTAGTGTACTACAGTAACAGACAGTAGCTACCCACTAAGGTACTTCTGGGGTCCTATCCCAGCTATATCTGAACAGTCTGATTGTTGAACAGATTTTCTGCATCATTTTGCAAACAGCTGTAACATCTGAAGAAATGGATGTCAGAGGCCTGCAAGATACTCCATTGAATGCTGGGTCACATAGTCAGATGAATGCTGTGTGTGACACAATTGCAGCACAAATGTGGGAAGATTATTGTGCTGAGCTTCGCAAGAAGGGGTTGATTCAGTAGTTCAGTAGCTAGTTTTGCATAATATCCATGTATCCACTATGTCACCCTCAAATTTCATCCATGTCTTATCTGCCCTCAATTTTCACACTTGCATGGCAATTTTAAAACAGTGGTGATTGCTGTATAGATGCACAAGTACAGATGAACTACTTATTTCCCACTCAAATTTGCATATTCTGGAACCTTGTAGCCAGCAGCCTTGAGCCTCATCTTAACCCACAACATTCAGTATGTTGCTGACTGAGCAGTGGTGTTCTTGTAACCTGCAACATAGGAGGATTTCTCTTCAAACAACATTTGCAAGTGGACTAGGTTCTGCTCTGAAAGGTTCTTCTCAAGCTCAAACATCAACATGTATGCTTTGTTGAGACTTTGGCCCATGGGATTGTTGAGGGTAGTGAGCATCTTGGAGGTACAGTCTTGCACACCAGACATTAGATCCCACACCACATCTTCAGGGCCAGCCATCTGCAAGCACAACTTCCAAGAACTGCTGGAACTACCCAGGGAAGCCACTGTGGATGTGGTGTTGAGCTTGGCAGTGGCATTGCTTTTGTGCTTCTTGCCACAAGATGACAAACTAGATGATGGATTGATGGAAGTGCTTACTGATGTCATTGCAGAGGATGGTGGTGATGTAGGAATGGATGAAGGGGAAACCATCAGGCCAGGCAGGGACACAGGTGGCACACTGGACAGGGCCTGTGAAATACCCTGTGGTACAGGTGTTGTGAGTCAAAGTGTGGTTCAGTGGTGAAAACCAACCAAAACCAACACAAAAGACAAAAAGAGTGAGTGGTGGTGTGCCTATGTGGTACCTAGATGGTGGAACCTTTGATTTGGGTGGGGTTTTGCAAGCTACAACACTCAAAGACAAGTGCTGAGGGATGGGGGTGCTCCTAATGAAGAGGGAGCAAGAACGTGATTGAAAGTGATAGGGTAGACTGCTGTCAGCCTACAGAAGGATGGATGGCAACTTAATTTGATGTCCTAAGCTGCACTGAGGGCTTGGAGTGAAGTATATTGATGATAGACAAGGATAAGTGAAGTAGACAATAGTTAGACCCTTAATAAAGTCTCAACTATTGGAGCTGCTGAATGAATTACTGAGTGATGATAAAATGCGAGCAAGAGGGGCTCTCTCTGATGTCTTCTTCTTTTTTGCTATCTAAGTACAGTGATTTATATACAGTACAGGGGTGTTGCCCTTGGAAAACAAGGTGCAAACACTTGGTAAGTGATTGGTAACTGATGAGTAAGGAATGAAAGTGATGGGTAATTGTCTTGGAAAGCATTGGTAAGCATTGGTAAGGATTAGCAAGCCAAAAAGCGAAGAATCAGTAAGCAAAGTCAAAAGATTGGTAAGTATTGGCAATAGGTGAGTCAAAGACAGTCAAAACATCAAAGTATGAGTCAAGTAATGTCAGGAACTGGGAAAGTGCACTGGAATCACATTAGGGGGAGGCTGTGCATGTCACATCTTGAAGAGATTGCTTCTAGGCCAGGGTGGGATGACAGAGAGGCAGCACTGATCTGATGCCAATACAGTACATCCAAAAGTGGACAGGGTGAGTCAGATGTCAGCAGGGGTAAAGCTTTGGGGGTCTGTGAGGTGACAGGAGCATAGGGGATCACAACTTTCCCCCCCAAACCATCCTCTCAGTGAAGCAAATAAAAACTTCATGAATGAGGCTCCATTGGAAGAGAGGATGAAGGGGGAGTGTCTTCTGCTGTATCTTGCAACAAGGAGGCAAGATGTGCATCATACTCATCCTGGATGTGATCAGGGAGAGTGGAGAACAGTAGATTATACTGTAGCTGTCACAATCTTGGAAGAATGATGGATGAGACTGGTATGAAGACATTGCAGGGAGCAGGGAGGAAGGATCCATATGCTTCTTGGACTGGAGAGACTGAAACAACCACATAAGACCTTTCCAAGTGACACATCAATCATTTCACTTGTCCCCTTTGCTAGGGACCATGGCTACATATATCTACCAGGAGTTCCTGCTGGCCTCAGGTTCATTGAGGTCCAAGACCTTGATTGGCCTTGTACTTGTCTTCACCTGTTTCTGGTTGCTGGGCCCAGCCCTGGCATTCTCTTCATCAACTTTCCATTTTTTGCCTTTGTCAACCTTGCCAATGGCCTTGGGACTGGCCTCAGTGTCCTTCCCATCCCTGGGCCACCAACACTTCCCCTTCAACTGATTGCATTGCATGCAGGCAATGCACTTCTTGTTACCATCCACAAGGAATTCACAGACAATTTTAGCCTGGGCACAGCAGGTACAGCTAAAAAGTGGGTTAAGAGGAGAGTGCACAAGGATGAAAAGGACACTCACCTGGGGTCCATCACTACTTTCTTCACTTCAACCCTGGCCTCACTGCCCTTCCCAACCTCAGCCTTATGTTTTCACTTGGCCTCCTTTTCCTCCTCAGCCCTGTGCCTCCTCTCATCCTCACATGCTGCTTTCTTGGCCTCAGCCTTCTCCCTCTCCACTCTCTTGGCCTCAAGCCATGCCTGCTCTTCCTGCCAGGCTTGCTCAGCTGCCTTTTGCCTTTTTCTCTCCTTTGCCTTCACCCTCACCACCTCCTCTTTGTCATCAGTGTTGTACCTGATGTTGTCATCAGGGACTTGGGCCCAATCAACAATGACTCAGCCTTCATTGTTGTTGTCAGCAGCAGCAATCAGTCTTGAGTCAGACATGATGGATAAGGAGTGAGAGAAAGATGCAAAGGGTTTAGCAAGCCACAAGTAGCAGTTTTTCAAACTCAGCCAGGTTTTGGACTCAGCCTACCACTCTTGCAGGGGTCTCATGGGTTGAATCCCTAAGAGGGGGATACTCTCATAGTCATGTCTCACCCCAACCAGACTCAGACTTGCACTCATTCAGTCTGGCCTTGGCCTCACCAGTCCCTTATCCCCAGATAGTCTAGCACAGTTAACACTGCTTTGCAGTGTGTGTCACTTCAGTTAAGCTCTGCCTGGTCTTGTCCCTGGTCCACCCTCTCCCAGTCTCTGTTACCTTAGTCATACCTTACTAATACTAGTCTTACCAATCACCTTAGCAATCTTTGTGAGACTGGCATTACCAGTCTCTGTACTATAGTTATCTCTAGTATATGAACCCATAGATACTCAGCCTGTATCCCCTCAGTCTGAAATCAACTAAGTTACTCTGATAATCCTGCCTTGGCCTCAGACTTGGACTGAGACCCATGCAAGGGAATAGCACTGTAACCTCAGCTGCTAAGTCCAATCAGTCCATCCCTCTGTATCTCTGCTACACCTCTGACCCTGACCCCTCTCAGCCTCATGCCTGCTTCAGTCTCTGGTCTGGCCTCAACCCAGACATCATGAACTTAACACATACAAGTTCCACACCCTAGGTGACTATCCAAACATGCTCTGATGACGTGGTACAACAGATAATTACACAACACAACCAGTAGGATTGCTTTCACACAATTGTAAAACACTTACAGATGAATTTCATAGGGTGAATTTGAACACAGGCAGTTGAAGTGGCAGTACCCATGAACTTTGAAGAACCATGCTACAACAATGGCATTCATGAGCAAACACAAGGCTCGAGAATGAGTTATTGACCAAATAGTCAAGTCTTGATAAATTGGCATGTGACAACACTGAAGGAAGTGAAAGCAGTGGTGAAAACTGCCCAAGGCAGAAATGTGAGAGGTCTTCACCTTCTCAACATTATCACATTGCAGCATCATCACAAATTCCTGTGGACATCCCTGGTTGGCTGAGTTCATTGGCAGGTGACAGAGCTACTGAGGTATGTCATCTGGTGTGCATGGCTGCATGCGACCAACTAACTCTTTGCAGGACTTTATTGACTGCCTCAAAGACCATCTCCTTGAATGTATTCTTGGAGTGGACTACACTGGTGACCCACTGAGCTTTTCTGATGCCAACTGTGACAATCTTATCATCTCACATAATATGATGTATGAGCATCAGACATTGCATGTCAACTATACAACCTATGACCTCTGCCAAGAACAAGACACCATTAATCCATGCACTCATGCCAACATCATGCTCTTGTCACACAAGACAGATGGTTGTCATCACCTGTATTGGTACACACACATCATGAAAATTTTCCACATCAATGTATGGTACTATGACAACAATGCCTCATCTGATGGGATAAAGTGGATGAATGTGCTCTTTGTGTGGTGGTTTGGCCATGATAACAACAGACCAGGGGGATCAGGGTTTGCTGCATGCCAGCTGTATCAGGTAGGATTCATTTCTGACAATGACCCAGATGTAGTCATTCATGGTGTCCATCTGATTCCAGCTTTCTCACTCAGACAAACATCTGAATATTTGGGACCATCATTCATGTGGCCTGATGAGGACCTCCATGAGGACTGGTGATATTTTGATGTTAACATGTAAGTGAGGAAATAAATCGACATGGATGCATACTTAAAGCTCAGATAGGTTTGTTGATTGAGATATGTTCATGCAGTTTTGAGGTGGCACCATCAGTGTAGGGAACAAGTTTGAGTTCCCTAGGAGAAGTGGTCTTGGTCAGGAGTTTAGGGATGGAGGAGTTTGTTTCTCTTTTTGTTTTGTTTTGTTTTGTTTTGTGTTTTTGTTTTTTGTACCTCTGGACTTGGTGATGAGCAGCTGCATTGCTGACTAAGCACGTACACTGTGTTCACACAAGTTCAGTTTACCAAAAGAAAATCCATGTCACAGGCCCTCAGTAGTAGGGTGATTTTGTCTTGCATTTTGGTGAGTTTTTGAAGTTAGAATTATTATTTTGGGGAGTACCCAAAGGGCCAGGAGGACTGGCAAGAGGTATTAGACAGGCAGAGCTAAGTATTCATTTCAGTTCACATTTTTACATTTTTACTCCACTTCTTTCTCCAGAGAGAACCTCCCTTTTGGGTCAAGCACTATACTTGCCCATTTACTGACTAATTTCTATTTCTAGGTATCTTCTCTTACCAATTCCTACATCAGGCATAAGGTATCCAGGGAGTGGGATTCCTTCTTACAATCAGACTGTCAAATTGCTGGTGAGGAGGTCAGTGGCACACATGAAGAAGCTGATACAGCACAAGGAGCTGAGGAGGACAACAAGATGAGTGGAGAAGAGGAAGATGATGATACAGACCTGGATGAGGATGAGGGAAGCTCCAGCAAGCCTGATGATGACAAATTGGATGATAATGATGGTGAATTGGTGGCAGGCCTTGATGATAACAAGAACTTGTATGCCCAGGAGGGATATGGGATGCTTTAGTCACTCATCATTTTCATTCAAAGTCAATGATTTCTTCTTCTTAGATGCCTCTCAGCTTGAATTTGTAACATATATTCACACTAAATCATCATATATTTGATGTCATTTCTCAACAGATGCAATTATAGTTTGTAATTTGCATTACCAGAATTTGCCAATCTGCTTCTAAGTGGCAGTGGCCCTTTTGCTTCCAACATGGGGCCTTACTACAACAGGGTAATAATGGCAGGCAAAATCAGGGCAATGACTGTCAACATGCTTCAAGATGTCATGTACCTTGAAATTAATGGTGCCCTTTCATCCTGGAACATGCATTACTTCGATGTCAACATCACCACCCCTGGCAGGAAATGAGTCATGTTTCATCTGAAAGATGTCTGCAGTAGGTAACACAAGCTATCCTTTTACATTTAAACATGTATTCTAATTGTTCCCCTATCCCAGGAAGCCTTGTCATGATGTTGCTATACAAACAGCATCAGTAAATCACTTTTGCTGTCCAGAGCTGTCCAGCACTGGACAGGTTCCCTAGGACTGCCAGCACACAAAGTGGTTTACTGATGAGACAGCAAGGAGACAAAGGAGCAGGCCACACAAGCCAGTGACCCCTCCCTCACCCAAGCTGATGATACTACACTCACAGTAAAGTGTGAGCTTACATTGCAAGATGTGGAGAATGGAAAGTTTAGGTGTGCTGTTGGGTATTCTTTGTGGTTTCTCTACTGATGTCTGCTCACAGCCCATGCTCTGCAACTCCCTGCCAGGTATTCAAGCAGCACTCACCCTCTGAATATTTTGTCACTCCCCTTGTTCCTCTGGTCATTGTCAATGAGCTTGCTATGGCACACAAGAAGCTTAAGGTGCTGTTCACCCTCCAAAGTCAAAGTCAAAGTTTTCAACTTCAACTTCAGCAATGTAGTCACATGGTGATTATATAAGGTGTGCATGTGCTTCAGTAATGTAGTCATGTGATGATTATACAAGACAACAACACAACTTGTAGTTCAATAGATAACATTGTGATAACAGATCAGACAACTCTGCTATGGATCTTGAAGCACAGCAGCTCCAGCACCATTGTCATGACTCAGAACCAATCCCCTACCATACCTCAATCCTGACTGGTGAGGGGTGGATGCTAGAGCTCCTGAATGGTCATCCAGACAGGATACAGACTTGCCTTGGTGTCAGCCATGGGGTTTTTGATCACCTGATGCAGGTGCTCACCCATCATGGTTTTGTGCCTTCTTGCACTGGAATTTCTGTGGAGGAACAACTTGGGATATTCCTCTACACCTGTGTTACTGGGTTGTCATCCCAGCATGTTGCTGAGAGGTTCCAACACTCACCAAGGACCATTACTAGGTAGGGAGTTCATTGGACTGTCTGACATTTTTCTCACAATTTTTTAGATATTTCAAAGCAATGTTGGCTTTCTTTTCTGGGGGACAATTCTATGCATCCCAAGTGCAATTCCCCACCAACAACACTCCCATATCAACTATGATTACTAGTGACCCATGCTTCCAATTTTTCCAGGATTGTATTGGTGCAGTTGATGGCACTCATATTTGAGCATTCACTGCTGCTGAGGACCAGCCTTGCATGAGGAACTGGAAGGGCTACCTATCTCAAAACTGTCTCTTCATCTGTGATTTTGACTTCTTCACATATGCCCTCACTGGCTTTGATGGGTCAACTGCAGATGCACACAGGAATGACTTGCACATGCCACCTGGGAAGTACCTTCTTGCAGATGCAGGGTTTGGGACCTGTGATGCACTTCTGGTTCCCTATTGAGGTGTTTGTTACCATCTGAAAGAATGGCACCAGGCTGGATTAAGGTAAGTTGCTATTCCATCCTGCTCAGTGTACCTGTAACTTCTATTTTATAGACCTCAAAACCAAGAGGAGTTATTCAACCTTCGCCATGCTGGACTTAGAAATGCCATTGAATGGATATTTGGTGTTATAAAATGCAGATGGAGGGTTCTTCAAATTCCCCCTGAATATAGCATCCACACCCAAACTCAAGTACCTGCTGCTCTCTGTGCCCTCCACAATTTCATACAGCACTATGATCCAGAAGAGTTCTCTGACCCTGAACTTGCCATGGACATAGGAGAGGGTGATGGTATTGGAAGCCTTGGTGATGGACCAGTAGATGCTGCAGAGAGGAGAAGGGCTGATAATAGGTGTGACAACATTGCAGAGGAGATGTGGATTGACTATCAGCACCAGCTTACAATTAGGGGCCTTCTCTGAGCCTGAACATTCAGATTTCATGGTGTACAAATATATGTTCTTACAATTGTTTCACACTCATGTAGAAAAATAACTTCCATTGTAAAAAGGAAGCTAGTCATAGTCATGTACATTTTATTATGTACATATTTGTATAAAGGGGTGGGGGGACTTGAAAAGATATGCAGGGGGGGGGGGGGCACATTTGTATATTGTAAAAAAAACAAAAAAAACAAACACCTATCTCTGCCCATCCCAGTATTTCATCAGCTGACACTGCACCCAAATCTGCTTCACCAGCTCCTGATGCTTGAGGAAAATATTCACTTCATCCAGAGATGCACTGAGGAAGTAGTCACCAATGTTGATCTGATTGTCTGTTGAGAGCTGCAGCATGTTGTTGATGTAGTCCATGGCAGTGTCGATGAGGGGATTGGTAATGGGTGGTGGGGGCAATGGGGCAGTGATGGTGTGTGTGAAGTTATCAAGCCTGGAGGTGATGGTGGTGATGAATGAACTGTGATCTTCTTCAGCATATGCTTTGGCTGATGGGGGCTGAGAGTGCTTTGATCCACCTTCAGACATTGCAATGGACTCAGCTTTCCTTTTTACATGACTGATGCTGGTGACAGCTGATGACAATGATGACCTGGCTGACACATGCAACAAAAAACTTGATGGTGCAGAAGGGGGGATGAAGTTTGGATCCATGGAATGTGTGTCCTTGCGACAGTGAGCATTGAGAGCATGTGTCATGTTGAGGAGGGAGAGGGAGGGAGGGGTGGTAGGAATAGTTGAAGCAGCAGGGGGTGCAGTAGAGGCAGGAGTATCAAAGGCAGAGGTTGTGGTTGTAGAAGGCATGGTAGTGGCATGTGGCCAGTAGATAAACCAACCTCAGCCATGTGAGGGGAGAAGGAGCTCTATGCTGGCAAAGTGGGGGAACCTGGAATTGCAAAACAGCTTCACATCTTTGTGTGCCTGACTAGATGTTAGTGGATGATTTGACAAGAAAAAAACTACATTACCTTTACATACCAATCCAAAAGATCAGCATTGTCCAGTGAGACCATCATACCATGCTCATCATCATAAGCAAAGCCAGAGGCCACCAATTTAAGATTGGCAATGGCATAGTAGGATTTTTTAAGCTGGATAATTGTTAGCAAGGCAAAAAAAAAGAATGATACAATGACTTACCACCTTGAACTTCCACTCACACAATTCAGCTGTCTTATCACTGTTATCTTGACCCAGTCAATAATTATGAGCCATGTGGGCTGCTGCAGTGTTCCATGTAGCCTTCTTAAAGTTCCCATCACTGCGCTGTGAAAGATGAGAGGCCAAGAAATCCAGTAATGTGCCTTCCTCCTCTGTTGTCTATACTGCAGCTTTCTTGTGAGTCCTGGGGGGAGGCAGGGGGTTCTGTGGGTCTAGAGGATTGATTGTAAGGCCATGTGAGTGCAACAAGCAGGTTGATCCTGCAGATGAGCCAGTCATTTGATAATCACAGTAACTGGGTGACAATGGTTGCATACCTCAGGTGGATGCACATGATAGTTCACATCATGTGAACCTCTTAACTGAAGCTGAAGTCAAAAACTTGGACTTCACATTTGCAGGTTGAATGGCACCTTAGTGCTCCTGGAGCACTTGGCATTTGCTGAGTTGAATAACAGTACTTGCCAAGCTCTTGAACAATTCAAAAGCTGTCGAATGTGTATGCTGTAATTTGACCATTTTATAGATGAAGCAATTGTTTCTCATGTCCTTTGATTGATACTTCTATCGAAGCCCTCGCTAGTGGCGAGCTCAATTCACCATCGTTGCACCAATGGCCCTCCCAAAAGATGCATCCCGACCTCAATCATCATTGAATAATGATATCAAACCTCCGCTTTCCATCGCTGATTCTCTCACGAACATCCCTGATTCAGCGAGGAATTTTTTTACCACCGTATCGAGTCCCACCGACATTTTGTCCTCGAAACTCATCTCCAGAGTGGAAGGAATCGATGTTATCGAAGGGGGTTACAACTTTGTACACATCCTTAATCTCAACACCGGTGAATCTGGCCACCCCTTTCCCTTTGTTCTGCGCTTTCCAATTGATCCAGATGCCATCTCCCGATGGCAGACCTGTACAGCTATAGGCTGTATGTTGTACTGTCAGCAACACCCCGATCTCAACATACCCACTCCAGCCATCTACGCTTATAACTGCACCCATGGATCGGAATTCATCGCAATGGAATATATCGATGGTGATACCCTGAACAACGTGTGGCCGGACCTTCCAGAAGAGGAAAAGCAGAATACGGTCAACCAAGTGGTAGAGATAATGCGTACGATGAGGACAAAGGCGAGCTTTAAAATGATCGGGGGAATCAGGCCAGATGGTTGCTCCTGTCCTCTAGTCGATGGCAGGGATGCCGCGAGTGGGAGGGTATGTTTACCTGGACCGCATAGCTCCGCAGATGCTGAGCCTCGTACAGGGGGTAGTTGACGGTTTCGGTCTATACAATATTGGGCCGTTAGTGCTTCGACAATCACTTTCGCTCATATCTGCGTGGTGTACTCAGTTTAAACAGGTACGCTTCCGTGCGAGAATACGTTCAGTCCGTCTTCGACCGTCAATTCCATTACATAGATCAAATGTTGCACAAAGGTACACTCTTGGCTCACGAGGCAGGGTTCAGGGAGGAGATGAGCGAGTGCCTTCAGAGTTTGACGCCGGAGGAGGCATTCGAACTTGTAAAGAGAAAAAGGGATGATTTCATGGCACAGTCATACGACTGGAAGTACCCCTTCGTGTTGCGGCATGGCGACCTACATGGGCGGAATGTCATAGTGAGGTATGTTCTACTTTCTCTTGGAAGTCTTCCAGAACGAAGTCAATACAACGCCTAGCCACTCTTCCCCCCGCCGTATACTCGCGATTCTCGACTGGGACTTTGGTGGTTCTCACGCACTCCCGTTTGCTGATAAAGCCTTCGAGGTGTCTTCCCCAGACAGCGACGAAAATACTGATGTGCGCATAACACAAGCGGAAGGGTTGTATCACACACAACTCCAGATCGATGAGCTCGTCGGATTTCTCCCAAGAGACGATCAGCTGACCAAACTAGTGGCATCCATGAAACTGTTCATCCTCGACCTTGAAGCGGAAGCAGCGCGCGGCAAGGATGCCAACGCGAACGTTGGTTCTGATCCCAGTATCGATGCTGTGGCTGATGTCCCCGTTGATGCTGAGGAATAAACTGGTGTTCGGAGTATGTGCACGAAACCTGTGTGTGAAAGTGGATGCTCTGCTGACTCGAGCTTATGCTGCAGAGGCTTCTGTGAATGATCGTACAGCACGAACCGGGGCAGGACCCAAATAAGGATGAGTCCATTGACAATAGGAGATAGCTAGAATATGTACGACTTACGTGCCGAGTGAGCGGTAGGGTTCAAATGGGAATTGAAGGGATGCGTCGTCGTAGTCGTCGTCCCTGACTTTGTGCTCTCGATGATCCCATCTGTGTCAGCATTAATGACTGCTCCCAGCAATACACAACATCTTGACTTTTTGCATTGAAGACTGAGAAATGGAAGGTGCGACCTCTGCATTGAATGTGGTGCCTTGGTGGGCATGCATGATTTCCATTGCTTCCTCTGCCCTCACCATCAGTAAATCACTTTTGCTGGCCAGAGCTGTCCAGAGCTGTCCAGCACTGGACAGATTCCCTAGGACTACCAGCTCACAAAGTGGTTTACTGATGGCTTGAACAGCCACAGAAGGATGAGTGCTCAGTGACTGTAATGGGTCCTATGTATGAATTACTGTTGGGTGGCAGGCAGGCCAATGACAGCACCTATCACAGTGAGTTTTCCACTATATAGTACCCTGTTATATGTAATACAATGCATTAATCTCACACTTACGTTTGTGATGGCATACTGAAAAAATCCACACTTGAAGTTTAGATCCTTTTCTACATGTTTGCTCAAGTTTGAAGTTGGAGCAAATGTCTAATCATTGTGTAATCAATAAGTATGGTTGAATAGCAGATGTTGTCCAAGAAGGAAGTTATGGCAACATGTGCAGTGCAGGGTGAAACTTTAGGTTTTGTCCTAATTTGCATAACTGACAATACATGAAGTACTGCCAAAATTCCAGTAGCAAATTTTACTTCAAGTCTAGAATTAGTGTTCCTACATGTGCCTACACTTGAATTTTTTCCATGGCCTGTACTAATTACCCAACAGTCACCTGTTCATTGTCCAATGATTGCCCAGTGTGATCATCCATTTTCACATAGATGTTCTCAGTATCTATATGTACATACATACACTACATTGGGTATCTAGTATCAGGCAATGGCTATCTCCATCCACAGAAATGGTTCCTCTGACACTTTCAGGCAGTCCTGTTCATGGTGAGTAAGCCCAGAAAGCCAAATGGAATCATAGATAGACTGTAGTAAGCCTGGGACTGGAGTGCACAAACTTTGAGGGTTTCCAGGGGCATGAATCCTCTGGATAGGCTTTGACCCTTGGGGTGCAAAAACATCATTGTTGACAAGTCTCTGGAGGTCAATAATATCAACTTCCTGTTTGACACTGTGTTGCCATGCCATATTCTTAGCTTGGAGGATAGTCATGACATTATTGTCAATGTCACTGTCCTTGGAACTCATCCCATGCTTACCCAGTGTGTGGATCAGCTGCAGGAGCCATTGCCAAGTATGGAGATCACCTTCACCATTCATGGAGTCTTTCTTGAGAGCAATGATATGTTTGAGAATGGCACATCATTGTTGATATTTCTAAAACAGGTTGAGTTACTGGTATGAAACAGCAAAATCAATGCCCTACATTTCATCATCATGTGGTCTGTCTGCTCTTTTTGAGTACCCAGGTTCATTCCACTACCAACAATTCTTCAATCTCAGTGGAAGTTTCTACTGTGCCCTTTGTTGTAATATCTGGCTGAGCTTTCCACCATGTCATGTGTAGACATTTGTAGGGTTCACATAGGATTTCCAACATGTAATCATTGGACTTCATTACAGGCCAGTGTTCTTCATTGCCTTGTCTCTGAAATTCATTGAGAAGGTGGTCGATGATGAAAGAATTTCATGGTGAGGAACAGCCCTGTGTGAGGTTGAAAGTTGGTGAGTCCATGTTGGGTGGTGGACCATCTTTGTGATCATATGCATGGACATCATTGGGGGGGGGGGGCTGTTTCATTCAAAATAAATTCATGGTCCAGACTTCTTTTGAGTTTTTCCTTGAAGAAGTGATGGACTTCACTCTATCACAGCTGGTTTATCACATGAACAGAATGAGCAATATGTCACTTACCAGTATAAGATCACAATGTCCTTGTGGCTTTGTAGCCTTCTGTCTCCACTTCTTTATTCACCTCCTTTTGTTTTTGAGGTGACTGCCATGACCACCCTGTTTGTGGCATAGTGATAGCACCATCACCAAGTACTTTCCAAAGTGCAGCTTCAACCCCCTTGGAAATTGCTTCCACCATTGATACAGGATCACTGTTATTTGCTGGTCACCTTGTTTACAAGGTCACTGCACCTTGAAATTTGTCACTCATTTTTTGACATCTGTGAACATTCCCCTTTACAAAGTCTGATTCAAATCATGTGGGTGAAGATTTGTTGGCATGCATTTATGTACTTGCATTTATGTATGATTGTAACAAGCTCAAATGTAAAGGTGGTTAACTTGCAGATGAAGATCAATTGATGGTGGCAGCAAATTGAAGTCATGTGCCTATGTACAATTGCATGCCCAGACTGTCCCCATTCATCTGTTTGAACTCGAAGCCCAAGGGTTTACATGTGGATAAAGACCAATTGATGGTGGCAGTGAATTGAAGGCATGTGTCTTTGTACTCTGGTTTGGCACAAGTGCAATCTATGTCACTTTGGCTCTTTCCCAGTCTAACATTGTCTTACAATTGAGAGCCACAAGCCTTTGGTCCTCTTCTCACAGATATTTGCCCAGATGTTGAGTGAATATCTTTTCATTGAAATCACACAACAGTTAACTTGTATCCCTGCCCCAGCTGTGCAACAATGCCATGTATGCATTGAAGGGTGTAAGCCCCCCAGAACCCACCTTGTCTTGCACTTTCTGCATCATCTTTGGTATGCAGGGCATGACATCAGCTATCACCAATCACTGTACACCTGTCAAGTATGGGTTTACCCTTGGGTGACAGGGGTTAAGTCCAGTTGACCAGAGTCAAGGCCAGAGGTCAGGGGCCAAGTCCAAAGGTCCAGAGTCAAGGCCAAAGATTAGGGGCCAAGTCCAAAGGTCCAGAGTCAAGGCCAGGAGCATGGGAACAAGTCCAGGACCATGGGAAGCCAACTGGTCTTGGAGTGCACACAGGGGGAAGCCAGTCTGGGGTTGGATCTACCTCCCTTGGTCTCAGTTTATGTGCTGTACCCTTATGCAAGCCAGGGAAAGGTCCAGGACAGGGTCAGGGATAGACTAAGGCTCAGCCTTAGCTGTAGAGTAGACTCAGAGAGTAGTACAGGGTTGAGGGTAATACTAAATTGATATTCTGACTGGAGTGCTACAAAGTATGCACAGGGGTTAAATACATGAGGCTGGTCCAGAATAACAAACATGAAGCTGGACTTGTTAATAAGCTATTAGCAAGAGGATTAGCAAGGTAGGACAGCCACAGAGGCTGTGCCAAGACTAATAGTCTAAGTCTGGGTGACTGGCATAACTGGGGTCAGACACAGGTTTGTACAGTAAGCAAAAGTCAGACAAGAGGACTAGACTAGATATAGTACAAACATAGGAAAACAGACTGGAGTTGTGTCTGAGTGACCTGGACATGGACCTGGGAGGACTGGGGTGGAGCAGCATGAGGCTGAGAGGCCAAAGGGGACTGGAGATAGGGGTAAAACACTGGACTTGAGTTATCTAGGCCAGAGTTAGGTTATTTAGGGCTGGAATTGGGTTTCTTAGGTCAGACTAGGTTTGGACTTGACCAGACATAGGGGCTAGGGGTCTGGGCTGGACTGGGATTGAGTCTGAGAGTCATGGATATGACAACACCCTCAGACCTAGATATTTATGTGCCCTTGCACCAGATGTGTTACTTGTCCATGAAGCTAGAATGCAAAGGTACATCTTTCTCATTTCCATCACACATTAACATTCTCTGAGTAGAAATACACCACATGTGGTGTCAAGTTTGGCAGATGCCAAGAGTATCATCATTTGCCTTACAGTTGCAGGTGCATGCCCTGCAATTTGACTGATGGTGGCTGTCTATGGCTTCAAATGTCTGAACTTCATCACAATCTTGTGAAGTCCACTGACATCCTCAAGTGCTTGGGGGTCATCTGTCATGTGGTTACTGGGTGGGTACATATGCAGCATATATCCTGCCTTTCTGGATGGCTATTCATTCATGTTCAACAACATGTGAGTTCCTGATACTGACATTCCTGTGCATGCACTCATTATCTGAAGGGATCATCTCTCCAATCAGTGCTTCATCAGAAGTGGGGAAATTTAGAAGATGCCCACCAAAACCTCTGAGGAATAATATCACATTGTTGATGATTCATTAGCATATAATGAGGTGATGGAGTGGAGTGGAGGGCAGGAGATAGGCTGTGTTTAGAGTGTGGGTGGTGATGCTGATGTGGCAAGAAAGGGGTGAGACCTCCAATGGCACTGCAATGGAAAAGTTAGACTGGTACAAATATTGATTGCTAGCCATAAATTATGGGAATCAATGGCATGTCTGTAAACAAGGTGCCTGCTGTCCCCGATGGCCCTATCCTCTAGTGATAGCTCAGGTTCTGAAGCAGTAGATCAGAACTCTTCATCATGAATAGGCTATTGATGGTGAGATATTCATATCAAGTTGTATATTTCCTTACTTAGCTCATGAGACATCCTGATGAGGTGGGTTCTTCATTAAACTGCTTGGGTTTGTTTGGCCTTCTTGATAGTGTCCAAATATGGAGTTCATGCATGCCAGGGCAGTGGTGCAGTGGATGCTTGTTGTGGTGTTTGCAGCTGGTTGTCCTGGAAGGTAGGAGACTCCAATTCAGCTGGGAAGCACACTAGTTCAGCTTGAGATGCTGTTTGCATTGTCCAAGGGCAGTCAGCATAGCCTGACAAACTACATAGTTTGTTCACTTACATGTCTATGTTGCATATTGTGTTGAACCATTGCTGCCAATTCCCCCTCTTTCTTTGCTTGGCAGCATGTCACCACATCATCACCAACCTTCTTTAGTTCTGATCACAAGTGCTCTTCCATAGCAGCAGTATGTTGCACAATCTTGATTTTCTGTAGTTGATCACATTCTTTCAGTGTGATGTAAACTATCAGGAGTGTATAGTGATCCACAATGACTCACCTGCAGTTCACTTCAGAACCTCAAAAACTCCTTCTTTTGACCTGCCAGTAAGGTATCATGCTGATGTGTTGTTCCTTCATTCATTGAGCAATGGCCTGACAGAGCACTGAGGATGGCATACCTGAATTTCATCTCTGAGCATGGTAAGTTCCTGCTCATGAGATTTAAGAAGAGTTTCCTGCTGTCTGTTGTTTTCCTTTTGAACACATGAGTGTGATACTAAGTAAAGCTATGGACTTCTCACACAAACCTCTTCTTGGAG